TGTCATAACCGAGCCTCAGTGCCTCTTATTTCTTAATAATGTAAACCAGCTGAGAAAAAAAAGAGAAGAAAGAAAAGCAGAGCATGTGTCAATCAGTGACAAGTATCCCAAATCCCACATCAATTTTTTTTTTACGAGACCTAATTTCTGACCCCGTTTTGCATCCAGGAAATACATATTTTCGTCGCTGCTGTATCTTAATTGCCGCTAAGAAAGATGAAAAAAATGTCAAAGTTGAGTCATTTAGTGGGTTACGCACTGCAGGCAAAAACAGGGGCAGGAAGGGGTCTCGGCCCATAATTTGTTACAAACATTTGAAACTTTGGCTTGGATGCAGGTGGGAAAAGTACACGTAAACTGCCAATTTACGACCCGCTGTACATGTACATGCACTTAACCATAACAATCCTGCAGCCGATTTTAAGAACCTTTGTGCAATGGCGTAAACTCCACTTGCGCCACATATTATTGAGCAACATTTCACGCTGCGCAACATTTTACTTATGACACATTTCACGAAAGTTTCATAGCGCGTAAGTCCACGACATGTGCAATAAATAATGGCATAACTTCTGCAGTCATTTTAGGTGGCGTAAGTTGTGGCATAGCAACTGAAAATGAACTACTTTACCAGCAAATCGCGATCGCCATGGAGCCTGTTATTGCACAACTTATCAAGGCTGATACGAGACACTCATAGCCAAACTATTTTATTCACGACAGAATGTTTAGAGTTGCTGCATGATTCCGAAGGAAGTCGGGTAAAAATATTTTCAAAATGGCGGGCGGAGGTGATCCAATAACTGTTTCGTGACAGAACAAAATCATTCACCAACAGCCGTCGAAAATGCAGTTATTATCCTCGTCCAAGATGTTTAGATTATAAAAACGTTGCACAGCTATACCAGGTTTCGTGAAATCGATCATAAGCTTGTTGTGCAGCTACCCAGCAAAATTGTTGAGTAAGTCCTATGCATGGCATAAGCTACACACTGTTGCGTGAAATCCACTGCAGGATTTTGTAAACTATAGTACTTAAGTACTTTAGGTTATAATGTCATTAATCAATCAATGTTGATCAGCACAAAAAAATGGAAGAAAAATCCAACTAATAGGAACCAGATACAGCAAATGTGAAATCACTTAACTTTGAGGTTGGTAAAAGCCCAAGTTACATCTTATTTGAGTTCACCAAATCTTTTGGTGAAATTCATTCTATGTTGCTCATCGTATGTGTACCGCACCAACAGAATCAGGTTCAACGTTTAGCACTGAGTACAACATATTTAAACATCAAAGCAAATTTTAATGCTATGTGACTGGGTGCAGGCTTGCTAATACTCAGCGTGAATGCAAATGGATGCAACTTTGGCATCAAGAGACCCACCTGGCTTACTTCTTAAGAATGAAATATTTTTCCACTTTTGCAACTTTGAAGTTCACGTGCCACAACATCAGCCCTTCAATGCACTTTTAAGTTTTTACTTTCACAAAATCCACATTCTTGATCACATGAATGAACTGGCCCCATTGCAAGACGTTAACAATGTATTACTCTCATTTCTTTGATAAGTTTGTTTTCGTTGTAAGAAGCTGAGGGAGACACGAAGCTTTGAGCAAAACGTTTGGAAAGATCACCAACTGCAACAAATTTTTACTAGGGACTGTACCAGTACCACTGTTGATCAGCACAGACTTTGAACAGGTGTGAGGACCAATTCTGCAGTGTCATAGCACCCTCACCATACACTGCCAACAAAAAGCCTGCCCCCCCCCCCCAAAAAAACCCCACACACACACACATGGCCCAGCAACTTATTTTCTCAAGGACTCAAAAAAAAAAAAACTGCCGTAATTCAGGAGCACCGCGCGATGAATCACAACGCTCGGTGAATAATTGCGCGAAGAAAATACACTTCCTGGGTTCTTCTTGGCTAGAGGAGGATTGCGTCGTGCTGCTAACTAACGTTACATCCTGTTGCACGGGGAGGTTTGAGGGGGTAAGAGCTTGCGAAAATGGTTCGGCCACAATGTTTGCCCACGGCTGCGGGGTTCTGCTCCAGTGACTTGCACACGTGGCGCGTATTAGCTCGTGTCTAGGTATGGGTCACCGTTGGGAGGATTAGGTTCTCGTGACAAAATAAATTCCGTAAACCATAACACTATTAGTGTTCCTTGTAGAGCAAAACAAAAAATGTGCATCGTTACTGTGATGCCTAAAATAGCTTTAGTGAGCACCATTTGAATTGTTAAGTTCCTTTTCATATGCATCCCTTATTCACTAGGGTGACACATTAAGTACTAATTTGAGCCTTCGCGGTTTCATTACCTATGATATTTTCATCAATGTTAAATTCCAACTTCAAATTCACGCTACTATCAAAACAATTTTGCTGAATAATTTGCATTATAGCAAATGTGCCCTGCCAATATCATGAGGAATAACCCCCTCCTTTAACTTTTCCAGTTACATACATCATGTTAAAAGCGCAAATCACTGGTTTTCCAATGATACCAAATTTATTAACGATTTTGAAACAAAAGATACGTATTGTGCTGCCAATTGCAGTGAAAACTTCAGTTTTTCCACTTTTGGGGGTATTTTTTTCTGAACAAAAGGGTAAAGTGTGAATCTTGGATACCTTGGCTACCCCAAAGTACCAAAAAACTATATCAATTTTGACATGATTTTTTTAGTATATCTGACTTCAGATGTTGATTACTCAAAACAAGGTTTTGGTGGACATTCCTCATTTTGCCACAGCAGTTCACAAATTGTTTTTCTTGAAAATACTGGCTCCTTAACTCGAATGGACCAATGATAACCAGCCATAAATCAGAATTTCTCAGCACTTTACAAAAACGAAATTCACTGAATTTTCCCTGATATTTCCCTGCGACATTTCCAAAATTCCATGAGAAATAATGTTTAAATTTTTAACAAGGTTGCTGGAAAGTCAAGAGGTGGTGTAAATGTAGCACAGCCAATTGTTATTGTCTGGAGACGTAAACACTCAAAAGCCACCATAGCCAGCCAGTCAATGGACACAAATTGGACGCACGGCACAAGACGCACATACGCCAAACTGGCAAAAAACCTGTCCCTTCTGGGTCACTGTCAAATTCCCTGAGTTTTCCCGGATTTTTCAAAAACTCTCTGAATTTTCCGTGACTGGAAAAATGGAAACTCATTTTCAAGGTTTCCCTGATTTCCAGAATGTCTAGGAACCTTGTACATATAACATCTATTCACAAAATCTTTGCTTGAGGTCATCTTTCAGTCACATATTTGTTTTCATTAATTCAGAAAACAGTAAAATAATGAACAAATTATCTCCAATTTCTCTCCTTAGCAAAAAGGGGGGGGGGGGCCTGGGGGGGGGTGAGTTTGGATAAAAGGTGGAAAAAGCAGGATTTTATTTGGGGGGGGCAGTCATTCTGAAAGCTGCACACTAGCTGTGGACTTATGTTGATGGCTTATACAAATGCAATTACAGTTCTCTGATGAACACAAGTGTTGACATTGACGTGCATCCTGAATTTTCCCCGCGTTAAAAAAAAAGAAGGAAAAATCTAGGAAAGGTAGACGTAGCCCGGGCCATATTGTTCAGGCATCAAACCCGGAAGGCTGTTACTGTGACAGCTAGTCAATATGCAATACCATTAAGACCGTACATGTTGTGTTGAAACTGGCGATTGTGCCGGGCAGGGTTTGGAGTGCCCACCGTATGCGCACACTAAAAGCAGTGGGCTCAATGTACAAACTGTGCGAATTCCTGCTAGTAGCTGTACGAGAGGTAAACTCATGAGATATGTCTGAAAAGGACTTCATATCGATCGGGAATCTTTGTAAATGTAAAGAATGGGCTAGATTTGGCAGATTTTTAACTTAGTTTTTTTTCAATATACAAGTTAATCTGTAATGTCAAATGTGAATTTCATCATTTTGCAAAATTCCAATGAACCCTCAGAGACACATCAAAACTTGAGTCTTAAAGAAGCGAATGATTAAGTTGACTGGATTCAAGGAAGAATGACATTTTGTGTTAACTTCATGGAGATACAGAGTTTGCAATATTTCTTGTGTATGGCCACCAACAGTGAGATGTAAAGATGCAATATTTCAGAGACAGGTAGTTTCAACTTCTAGAGCTGACTTTGGATGATGCTCTTACAATTCAGTATTCTGCATAGGTATACATTAATGCGGGAATAAATACATGCTTGACCGGTTTTAAACATGTATGTCAAAACCAACTGGGGGCCCGGACACGGATAATGGCCCTAGCCTTCGGCTCACGCCATTATCCATGTCCAGGCCCCTAGCCAATTTTAAACAAACTTGTTTAATACAGGCCAAGCACAAATTTATTCCCATTCATAAATACCTTTCAGTCAAAATGTCAAAACAAGTCAAAAATTCACATTTTTCAATTATTTTGTTCAACAATTTTACCTCAAGTTTTGTGAAACACCCATCTGGTCGTGTCTATGGTATGTGCCTCACACTCGTAGTGCTAAAAATCTCCTTTTATGGACACTGGTGCACGTGGCACGTATTCAGTGATGTGGCGCAGAATGCAGCGGTGCAGGAATTAAGTGTTTTAACACCAGGCGGTGTTTTATCAGCGGTTTCAAACCACCCATGTGATGGTTTCTCAACCAATAGGAATGGGTAAACTGTCTTGCATTATGAATATTAAAATAATTTCACAATGTTTGTAGGATCTACTGCTGAGACCTAATTTTTAAATTAAGGTAAAATTCGTAAGAGAGCCCTGATAAAAAAAAACAAGCCAGAAAAATCACTCAACTTAAAAAACTGAAACAAAAGTTTCCTCCCAATGCCGATCTTCTCTAAGAGGACAAGCTAATGATCAAGAAACTAAACAAAGTGACTATCAAATGAAACAATTGAAATAATAGATTTGTGCAAATTGTTTCATTAATGTTGAACATTCAACAAAAAGTTGAAGAAAATAAAAGCATAAAAGGCTCACCTTTTCCAATTCTAATAAGTGAAACCGCAGTACCTGGATCGACTGAATCATCTGTGAAAAAGAGAAAAGAGAAGAAAAAAACGAGTGACAAAACTGATTTGAATCCCAATGAAGCCAAATTACATGAGCGCGGCAGGTGCCAAGTGGTCTAACTCCTCCTTGGGTCCCAATTAAGAATTGGCTCGGGCACAAGTCCCAAACACAACTTGGGGACTCTCGAGTCACGTCGCATCACGTCTGGCAGGGGAAAAAAATGACAAGATATGGCATGAAAGTCAAGCAACGGAAGGCACGGCCTAATATCCAGACAGACCCCCAGCTAAATTAGAAATCCTCCGGTGAATACCAAAAATCTATTTAGCGCTCTCACATTTCAAACTCTGACGGTTTTTTAAGAGACACACCAAAAAAGTCTTTCTTTGCCAAAGTCTTTAAAGGGCTGTGTCTTTCTGTATCTTTCATTTCGAGAAAAGGGAGGGAAATGATAATAAATATGATTGGGATGTTACAACAGGTGGGCCATATTTTCCAAGACTTCTTTTAACGTCTGTTTTGAGTTGGGGAATGAATCACTCAAGAAATCAAAAGGAGAACAAAATGAGTTGTCCCCGAGGGACGAAGCACCAGGAAATACTTGCCTGATCATTTCCTTTACAAATCTTCCTCGGTATAATTTCTGTATTAGCTTTACTTTAACTTTTAAATAAGTCTTACTGTACGTTGTATGTAAAGTCATTAACGGCACTCCAATTTTTTCGTTCCGAGTCTACTCACTTACAAATTTGCTATTATTTCCCTGGTAGCACTGAAACTCTTTAAAAAATATGAAAAACTGTGAAATGATAAAAGCAGATTATGAGAATACAGAGGTTTGGGGATACAATCATCAGTTAATATGACCTCTCAAGATTTTCAAACAAACCTGGCATTCTAAAAGGCATGAAAGTTTAAACCAGTTTCTTAGAAGCATGCCCAACAGCAAAGTAGGGTCAGCTGGCAAATACTTTTCTGAACAATACACAGTGAAAAGCAGCGCATTGGGCATGCATGTCACTACTGGCCAAAAAAAACCCATCAAAATACCTGTTCAAAAGAAGGTCTTTACTGAAACAAAAGGTGTGTGTTTTATATTAATAGAAAATGGTTTACAGGATTGGAAAAAGGATCGAAGTCAATTCATCTTTTAAATGTTCACGTTTTTGAGACCCTGATAAATGCAATATTTCAATAACCGAGAGTAATTAGGCAAAAAAATAATAAACCTGCTTCTGATTACATGGCATTTGAGAATGAGGCAGGTACATGTAGGTAGGGACATTTTTTTTTTTTTGTACAATCATATGGAGGCATCTACGTGAAGTCAAGGGTAAAAGGTAGAAATTGATGGCTTTAGGTGCTTTTTTCTCATTTTTCCCATAAAAAAAACATTAAGGTAGGGGCTGTCAGAATAGGGAAGGTAGGGAAACTGGAAGCAGAACTATTTTTTTTTTGTGGCCTTATCAGTGCTTTGCTAACTGCAGCAACACCACCAACACAAGCCAGCAGCGTGCACAGAGTCAAACCCTGGGAGGACGTTGGTAGGCAGAGCAGTTAAATGAAACTCTAGGATGCGCGCTCTGTCTTCAGCAGGAAATCCTCGTGTCATTCTGAATTTAAAAAAAGTTGTGCTGGGTTGCCAGTGAGTTGGTTGCTTAGTGTGGGCAAGCCGGCCAGCTACACGACTTTTAAGTTCAAGCACTTGCATGGCTCTGAGCTTATTGTCTGTACTTAAAGTGGTACCGGTAGTACAGAAAATCTGCAATAACCTGGTACGCAGTTGGGGAGAGGTGTACTCAGTCATACGCAGGCCAGCATTCACCGTTATTCTGTGAAAAAGGGCTCACTCACGACCTGCCCTACATCTGGGTACCAGAAAGTAAGCGTCGCCATTGTAGTAGGCAAAGATCGTTTATAGTGTACCATGCAGTAGGAAAGTATGCAAGCTCTCAAAGCTGTAATGGATGGCAAAAACTGTGAGAAACAAGCCCAGTGCTTGGTCAGCACGATTACGACAACCGTACGTGGCACAGATAGTGACCATCAATGCTGTTTGATAAAGAATTCACGGTTCTTTTACGTGGAAATAAGCCCTACTGGCTAGTTTACCACGCACAACGCGGTTGCTAACCAAACTCTTGCCTACTGCAATGGTGGCCAATCAAGGGGAACCCAGATGGCAACGTGGTACTTTGATGTCATACGATTGGAACCTAGTATACCCAGTGAATTTACTGTGTGTAGTTTAGCAGAGCTCACATTAAGCAGAACTACATCTTGCACTCTTGATTGAAGACTAACATTAAAAAAACAGAGTTTAAAATTGTATTCTTCCAAATGTTGTTGAGCAAGTACTTGCCCTTTTTAAATTATTTTCAAATTGTCCGACATGTTTTTAAAAAAGTGACCAGGGATGGGACCAAACAGCACATACGCAGCGTGTGATGTTGGTGCCCAAATTGTTACCGTCATTTTCTGGAATATTACAACGTCTGTCATTGTTTTATTGTATTGTAATATCATACACAGCCATGGCAAGTGTTCCATCTGCTAAACTGTAATCTCTCCTTGGATGTCACCCCAATCAAACTTCATTTTCATAGTTTTAGATTACAGACTGACAAGTCTATTGTAACACAATTATTAATATATTTATTTCATATTCAATCATTTTATCTGTATCTCCAGTAAGATTACAAACAGAAATAAACCAAACAAACAGATAAAGTGCAACCCCCCCAAAAAAAAAAAATTAACATGTAGGCCTACAGCTGACTTCTATATTAAAATTTTTAAAAATCAAATTTGTTTAGTATCAACACAAAGAGTTTATCTTAGCATAGCTAGGGCCTACACCAAAGAGAACAAAACAGAAATATTTATGAAAGGGGTAGGTGTAATTTATCCCAAAATGGCATTCAGTGCCATTAATTTTGTGGTTTTGCTTTGACGCACAATGAATGAACCATAGTACGCATACTCGACACGTACTTGAATGCTGCATACACATCGGAATGTAGCCTTCGGGCCAGTATCAGGGACCATACACAATGAACCCTGTTATGTTAAGTAGCCCGGCTAAGCCCCAAATGACTGGTTTTCATTATGTAGTGGGTACCAGCCGGCATACCAACCCAATAAGCCAGTTTGGTCATATTCCAAAATGTGTACATGTGCATATCAAGTGTCAAGAATTGTCAGTTCCAGATCAAGACAGAATATGAAGCCAATAGGTACAATGTAAACAAAATCTTCAATCTGCAATCTTCCGTGCAGTCAAAAAGATCAAAAGATGGTCTGCACATACATTCTAGAATAAAAAAAAATTGTTAAAAATTTTCAGAAATATTTCCATAATTAGTGAAAAAAAAAGAAAATTTGACTAACTTTTAAAGTTTTACACTGGACTAACTTTAGAAGTTCAGAACATGACTACAATGGACTGTTAATTCAAAAAAGGAAAGATGTCAAAATCTTGCTATTCATGTACCGGTAGTTTACGACCCCGTTCCATAAGAGAACGAAAAGACACTCTTATGTTTTGGGACTTAATACCTAAACAGTTGGCTATAATACAAGCCAGAAAAGTCACTTTGTGTTTGGAATCATCTAAATACCAGTAGTTCGCTAAGATTTTAATTTTGTGGAAAGAGGACAGGGTTTTGAGTTATGAACGGAAAATGTAAAACACAAAGTTGTCCTAAACTACACGAATACCAAAATCTTGATAGACAGCATGATTTTAAAAAAAAACCTTGCAAAATCCACAGTTTGTTGGAACATTCTGCTGTTAAAAGAAAGCCGACCCTTGCTTAAGTCCACATATAAACACTCCACATAAATTCTTTAAGTGAAATAAAGTATGCAATTACCAAAGTCTTCTTTTTTTTCTTATGAAGAGTAGCACGTGAATACATATTACAATGGCTGGCACTACTCACCAAACTATCAAGTTCTTCATTACTGGAGAAGTACTGCTTGTCAGTCCTTGCCTAAAACAAACAAAGCAACCAAAAAAAATCATTTTGAGAAGATTGACATAACCACTATTCCTCATAACTGATAATTCAAGGCACGAGAGCCAAGGGCGGATCCAGAACACAATTTTTTTTGGGGGGGGGGCCAACAAAAAAAGTGTGTCTCCAAAAAAGTGGGTCAAAAAATTACAGCGTGGGCTTCAGGGCCCGCTTAAGGGCCGCGAAATTTTTTTGGATTCTCGATGCTCTGTGGTGCGATCTGAGGCAATTTCTGACCACTTTAGCCAATGTTTTTTGAGGAAAAGATGGTGGTGTACTCATTGCCTGCCTTTATTGCGACGTCACATAAAACAAAAAATGGTTTCGTTTTTTTTTGGGGGGGGGATGGCCCCCTTTGGCCCCCCCTGGATCCGCCCTTGACGAGAGCTAGCCTAATACCAAGTCCTTCACCCAAACCACCCAACCCTTTAAAATCAAACTGCATATTTTGTTGGAATCTATTGGAGTGAGTACTGCACTAGTCAACTGATTATGCTTTACATGGGGTCAGGCATACTACCATAATCAGAGTCCAACAGTTTGGGTGTTGAGTTACAAATGTGTTGGATTTTGCAAGAATGAGGAAGGTTCCTAATAAATCACTCAAGGGGGTTAGGGTTAATAGTGAAATGTACGAGTAAACTAAAAAAAATATTACTTTACAATTATTCTGACTATAACCATGGTTCCTTTTCTACATCGGGGCACAGGATAGAAAATATTGATGAATGAAGCATTACAAATTGCTCTCTCAGTGCTATTTTTTATATTCACCTGAAAAAAATAATGTTTTAAAATATTATTAACTAGCTATTTTTTCAATACAAATGTTTTTGTGCATTATTGGGCATGTCACTCAAAATAAAAGCTTTTAGAAAACATCCAAAATTATAAAAAGATAATAAACCTGTAAAGTGACAAATTATTAGGAGGACTAAATTGAATATATTGAAGTGCCCGGGTAGAGAAACTTTAAAAGCAGAGATATAAAGAAATATTATAGTTATCGCGCTATAAGAACAACTTCTTCAAAGCAATCTTGCATATCTCAAGAACCAGTACATATGCACAATTGCACATTGAATTTTTTTTTTTAAATGTAAATCAGGAGTGATCAACCAGAAAGACGTTTGTCAAAACCAAATGAATTTCTACATGAAAAGCGAAATCACCGAAATCCTTCACATTTCTGTAGCATAAAAACATGCCTTGCTGTTATTAGCAATATAAAAACATTTCCAACAATTCAGGATTTTCTGCCTATTAATTTTTTCTCTGTTGTACGTGTAATGACTGTTTTGCTTTTCCTCTATTACTAAAAGCACTCTATGAAAAGCCGCTGTCATAGGAAATTTGGACTCCGATGAAATCTGGTCTCTTTTTCCTTATGGACTCCAACCCTCCCACGTGGCCTGTCTCTGTCCTAATTATGTTCACCAAGGCATGTGCAATACAACCCAGGAGTCTGTATTTCATACTAGTTCCGTCCATTTCTCAAAATTACAGCAAAAGCAAATGTTGTAAATCCCCTTTGATTATTACTTAATAGTTTCTTACAAGAAAAAAGGTTTTACATCTGTACAAAAAGCTGATGGCGGGAGAAATTGGCTATTATCCTTTTATTTTTTTCCAAACCGAATAAAGTTTATCCGATTTCATCGAAAGTTCCCATTCAGCTCACAATCATACACCAACAAAAAGTGACGAGTGAGGTGCTGCATGCAATGCCCTCCCAATGATTGGGTATAGTTTGTGGGATTCAATGCAAGACTACTGGGCCTTTACAAAAACACTCCAGAGCTGTAATGGTAAAAAGAAGTGGGTGGTAACTCTCTGATCAGACAAATGGGCAGGCTATTCATATAACAAGAAGGCCACTTGCAAGCAGAGACCATGGAGCAAATCTTGGATGTTCATGAATATGTTTTTTAGATTATTTTTTTGTTAACAAAAAATGAAAGGCTTAATTTTTTTAAGATTGTTTTCGAATACACGGCGAATACAAAAAAAACGAAACCCACATGTCGGAACCATTGTTTTAGTGAAGTTTTGCATGTCGCACTTTCAAAAGCTAGGATATGACAGCCCAATTCATAAGCTTTCATTTAGTACAAGAATCATTAAAATCACTCATGTAATTTTCAAGTTACGGAATTTTGAACACAACCACCGTTTTAAAGTTCTGTCGTCGGATCACAAAAAAGTAAGTGTTCTTTCAGCAAAACGAAAACAAATCACATAGGGATGTGTGTGAATTGTTTTCGTTGTGCTGAAAGAACGCACACCGTGTTTTTTTTTACTCACCCTGAATACGGTTTCCAAAATTCAAATTGAACAGTGGAAATCACACCAAATTTTTAAAAAATCCAGATTTTCATCCAACCACTACAAAAAAAACTAAATTAACCCTAACCGCTCTGAATCCTTCAAAATCCTCTTTGCCAAAGTGGAGGAATTTCTAAGAGTGAGGTTACATAGCAAAAGTGCGTTACTGATTTTGTAGGATGCACTTTGTCGAGGTCTTGGGCCGGACCTTGTGTTGTTTTTGCTCAGCCATGCATACATACATGTATATGCCTGGATTATGCTTGAAATCCTCCGTACTGCTCCAGGATATAACTGGCCAAGCCTCAACATATTGACAGTCACTGCCACAGGATTTTGCAGGATTCAGGCAGTGGTCATCCCTCCACGGACCATATTCAAGTAATAATGGAGGAATTTGCAGGATTCAGGCATGCCATTTTCCATGAGGCCAAATAGAGGATTTTGCAGGATTTAGGCTACATCCTAGCAGAAAGGCCTAGGGAGTTAGGGTTAAAGATGAATGGTCGTACCTGTTTAGCAAATACAGCTATATCTTCATTGAAGGACTCTGAGGAACATACATCGCCGCCTGCCACCCCCGGCTCACGCGGTGTGCAGGTCGCAAGCTCACACTTCTCAAAGATGAGTGCAAGAAGCGGAAATAAGGGATGGCTAAAATCAAACAAAACACACACAAAAAGAGAGATGAGTTTTGTTTTTTTGTAGATTTAGTTTAAAGATGGACGGAGACGAGACAAAAAGTTAGGGAAAGACAATGTACTGATGTTTAATGAGTAGGATATAAAGTTCCTGTTTATGTACGATTGGTAAAAAATGTGTTAACTACATGCACATAAATTGTTTTTTTTTTTGAATATCAACATTTTTTTAAAAAGTGCAAAGAATCATAGGGCTGTTCCAAATATATTTATACTGAATATTTAAATATTCAATCATCAACCAAATATTCAAATAACTTTTTGTCGGATCAAAATTCGTAAAAAAAAAACTACGCACGTACACAAACTACTGTGATGTTATTTAAATTGTAAAGATGCGGTACTTAATTAGGTAGAACGCCATGGTCCAGTGGTTACGGTGTTGGACTCATGTACGAAGGTGCGTGGGTTCGAACCCTGCCAGGAACACGGTGTTTGTGTCCTTGGGCAAGACACTTAACTACAATTGCCTCTCTCCACCCAGGAGTATAAATGGGTACCTGTGAGGGTCGAGGACCGATTGAGCGCTGAAATTGGCTGCCGCGTGGTCCCATGGCCTGATGAACGGGGTAATAATTGGGTAAGGATGGAAAGCACTATATAAGCACATTATTATTATTAATTGTCAGATGCCACTTTTTTGTGGACGGTGGTTCACTGTTCCCATACTTTTAGCAGAGCCTGTGAAAATACTGCAAAACTCTCCAGCGGCCTACAATATTGATCGCCGCACGCAAATTTTTTATCGGCGCGCTTTGCGTGCAACTTTTGACCAGTGTGGCACCGAGTTGCAGCTGGTGGGGTTCGAATATTTGAAATTCGGTCAACCGCAGTTTTAAATAATCAAATACTAACTTATTCGAAAACAGACAGTACTTAAGAATAATCTTTGACCATAAATTGGCAAACATCTCGCATATTCAGTAATGTAGGCCAATCTTCCACGTCTTTGATGACATGAAGAAAAGTGTGGATATTTATTTTAATTAAGGACACGTGTACATGCACATGTATATCAGGATGCAATACATTTCAATTTAAGCTAAAAGAGGAAATCCGTTCAGGAAAATATTTCTATGTGGATTGATGTTTCCCGTCAAGCCGGCAATATGTCACTTTGCCAAAGAGAATAATCAGTCACATCTTTCTAGGTGCTTTCCCAGGGTCTCGACCTATCACAGACTGTAAACTATCCCTTTAGTCACATAACGGACTAATCATAGACGCACGTGTACGTACCGGTAAGCACCTCTTTAGCAAGCACCCTTGATTTCGGGGACCGATCTGGCCAAACTAATAAGGTCAAATGAAGACCTCTTGGTCGTGCTAGCGGGCACGTGCCCGGTGCGTAAATTCGGAACACATTTTTCGATTTGATATGATTCATTGGTTGACCCGAGGCCATATCCTATCATCGACTCATCTGCTGTGTGTGTATACATGTGGATTCACAGAGTTTGCTGCCGCGCGGAACTCATGCAAAGGACGTGTAGGCACTTGCAGGATCAAGAGGAAAAGTTAGACTACATGCGACTCCAACTTGTCCCTCATCTAATCTCATAGATTCTCAACAAAAATATGTAAAACTGCCAAAAGAAATATAAGAAAATAACCAGTTAGGGCCAAAAAGTGGGGAGAAACCGATATTTTGCTCTTCCGCCCTTCCAGAAAATAAATTTATACGACATACAAGGTGAGTAAAAAAAAAAGCAGAACCCAAACCCCCAAAAAATGTATTTCATTTTTTTTTAAATTTGTAGCACCAAACACAATAATCACTGAAAAGCCTATTTCATAAGCTACGTTTAGATGAAAAAAATAACTGAAATTTCTCAATCCGTTCAAAGAATATCACCATTTAAACGCGATGACCCTAAAACCTCTTTCGTCCAAAAAAAGCAGTTTAGTGTGTATTCTTACTGTTTGGAACAACACAGAAAATGACACAGAATACTTGTTTCCACAACTGTCAACAACTGTACCGGTAGTACACAATATCTTTATCAACAACCCCGGTTAGGCAAACAATATGATTTATAAAATCCACCTTTTTTTTTTAAAGACAGGCCTTCAAAAGGACTTTGTTGAAAATTGTTAACTTTTAAACTGAGGTTTTATCGCTGGTGATGTTTGAAGACAATTGTGACGACGATTCTTGAAATCAGATATTTAGACGAAAGATGTTTTAGGGTCATTGTTTTAAATCGTGATATTCATTGAACAAATTGAGCAATTTCAGTATTTTTTTCATAAAAGTAGCTTATGAAATTGGCTTTCCAGTCATTATTGGTGCTATATACTTTTTTAAATATGAAATATAATTTTCGGGGTTTGGATTCCGATTTTTGGACTCACCCTGTAAAAACAAACATACAAACAAACAAACAAACAAAAACCGAGTCCTCTTACCCATATATGGCATCTTTGTCCCTTTTGTGAATGTCTGTCACCCCCGTGGAGACCGGCGTCATGACGTTGGGGGTGTGGCTTGGGTAGAACTGTGGGTGGCCCACGGCCGGGGCGTGGTTCAGCTGAGGTATGCTGGGCTGGCCATAGGCCTGGGAGTAGTGGACCGCCGAGCGGGGGGCGTGGGCCTCGTACATGGATGTAGTTGATGATTCTAGACCGCCGTAATGGGGTAAACCATCCTCATGATACTGCATTTCAAGAAAGTTTGAAAACAAACACATTTTCAATTTTTTTTTTTTTACAAATTGATGTATTGACCCTAACTCCCTAGGCCCTTTTTGCTAGGAACCATTCTCAATCCTTCAAAATCCTCCAATGCTTTGCACTTGTGTCCAAATGAAGGATACCCAGTGCCTCAATCCTTCAAAATCATCAGACAGTCCTGCCTTAAAAAAATGCATTCATCCTCAATCCTCCAGAATCCTCCTCCTTTTCAAACACCATTCATCCTCAATCCTCCAATATCCTCATGTTTCTCAAACACCATTCATCCTCAATTCTCCCAAATCCTCCAAAACTGCCACAGGGATTTTGGAGGATTGAGGTTGGTTAGGGTTAACCTTATAGCAACCCTCCTCAAAATCAACCGGGTGGTTTTGGAGGATTTTGGAAGATGAGGCTGAAAGGGAAAAATAGTGTCCATTGGTTTGGAGGATGCATTATCTTGATGGCTGTGCTCTGCATTATGTTAAGCCATGCATAATTGAGGCCCACATTATACTGGATGCCATCCGCACTGCCTCTAGATATCATCCGCAGTGCCTAAATGCATTACAGTGGTATCATATTTACATGCGTGTACACATTTAATGATGCAAAAACCCAGTTATTATATAAAGGCAAGATATACATGTAATACACAGCCTTCATTGGAAGAATCTAGTTCTCATATTCACTCAAATTATGCAGAAAAATATTCAAGCAATAATAATTTAAACATTGAACAAAGGAAGTAGCCAAGTGACAGTCAAATACATGAATGCTGCAGAAGCATTTCTTTCCTTTTTTCCCGGCTGCATCTTTGTTTTTATTTATTTTTTAACTCATACATTTGCAAAATATTTTGCACATATTGTCAATATGTTGTCTTTTAAATTTTTCCCACAAAATTGTAGCTCTGTAGAAATGGTTATGGCTCTTTTGGACGCAATTTTGTATCAGCAAAATAGTCCAGAAAACTGAAGAATCCATCCGCCATCTTGAAAAAATCTGCCATCTTGCGAAACAAAACAAAAGGCCGGACGAGAAACTGGTTTTTTTTGTTTCTCTCCAGAAACTACTTCTTTTTTCTTTTTCTGGGCCTTACTAACAAACTTATAAATCCTTGCAACCTTTTTTCAAATGAACTTGTCATGTTTGGCATACCAGGAAAATGACTGTCCACATACTAAGGGTGACCCCATATAACCTACAGGTCAAGGTACCGGTATAATACGCAGGGTTCTTTCTCTTTGTATATTAAATTAAGTTATGGCTGGAACAAGTCTATGGACATAGCCAAGCTAGCAGCTAAAGCCTTAGACAGATTAAGACAATTTGTTGTGCAAAGGCCACGGGAGACAAAAGCTCGGAAAAGTTACAATTGATACCGGAGGAAAACAGGAACTGTCAGTTGTACCACCCCCTTGTCTCTTTGCATTACGCTGAAAACAACAGGCTGGTTTAGTAACTAAAAAAAAACTCTACGTTTTTCCCAATATTTTAACTGCTTGTTTGAAATGTCATAATTTACAATACTGAAATCATGTGAAAGGTTCCCAATGTAGGACGGATCACAAGGGAAGCAATACTGAATCCAAATTGGTCAGTTAAAAATAATTTGATCAGACAAAGAATAGGTGGTGTATTTTATACCAAATGAGTTGACATGTTTTCATTAATTTTCAGGTTCAAAAATCTACAAGCTACTTTCTCAACAATTTTATGAGATTTTCACTAAACTTGTGTCTATTTCGAATTTAAAAAAGCACCTCAATTTAGCAGCTTAAAGTTGAAAAGGCGTTTTATTTGAAAAGGTCGAAGCCATGAACGAGAACTTTTCAGTTACATTCAGGGTAAAATGTAAGTGGTAAAATAATAATTTCCCCAATGAAGATGAATATTATGAAATTGATGATACTTCAAATGTTGCACTTGATTAAAAATAAAAGTTGGTAGTGTGAGAACCACAAGGGTTCCAGTTTAGTTCAGTCATAAAGTAAATGTACTAAAATACAGTGAAATCATGATAAGTCAAACCTCAAGGGAACAGGTTCAAATTTGACTTAAGCAGAGTTTTGAGTTCAGCAGGGTTGTATATCATTGTTACACTACTGAAGGGAATGGATTCTTTGTTTAAATTAACAGTTGTTTTGAGTTTGACTTGTCAAAATTTCACTGTACCAACACTTAAATCACTGTCCAGGGAGTATCAGGGGTTATTTCAAACCCTGACTAAGATACTCAGGCAACTAAAAGTTGAAATACATTTATAAAAAGAGTCCACACTGCCATTTTTTTTCAGATGTAAACCACTTTTGTTGTGTTTCACTCTTTCCCATACTGTATTAACCCTAACCCCTTTGAGTGATTTACTAGGAACCTTCCTCACTCTTGCAAAATCCAACACCATGGTAAACTCTACACCCAAACTGTTGGACTCTTGATTATGGTGGTATGCCTGACCCTATGTAAAGCATCATCACGTTACTAGTCCACATGAACTTACAGGGTTGAACTTCTCAATTTTAAACAGAACAAAGCAAAAATGGGGCAACTGTTATTGCTTCCCGGTGTATTGGCCTTTTGTGCAATCTCTCACAACTTGACAAAAGTTGCCCTCCCCCCCGCCCCCCAAAGAAGAAACACCCAGTTTTCTTTTTCAAACTACATGACTTTTTCAAATTACATGGCTATTCACACAAACACACCCTCATGACATTTTGTGCCGGTGATATTCTGCACAACAACACATGTACCATTAGGCCAAGTAAAAGAATAAACAAGTTTCTCGTCTTGCCCGCTTTCTGGTTTACTGCCCGCCTCCTTTTAAAAAAAAAATTTATTAGTACACTTGCAATGTATTTGGCAAATATATTGTCAATATGTTGTCTTTATATTTGTTTCCAACAAAATTGTAGCTATGTAGAAAGGGTTGCAGCTGCTTTGGACACAATTTCGTATCAGAAAAAGAGTCGAGAAAATCGAAGAATCCATCCGCCATCTTGGGGAAATAAAAGCAAAAAAAAATAAGTGCTCCCTCCTTATTTTCCAAAAAGCCTGGAGAAACTATTTAATATTTTTACTCAGCCTTGCATCATTGTTACATGATAGCGCTTAATTCAAATAACATGCTGTGCAAAAGGAAAAAAATGAAATAAAATTTTGCAGATCTCATTTTGGGACTGTCTGGCCCCTAGTGCCAGACTTCAATAGATGCGGCTTGAGTAAATCAATCCGTTAAAACTGGAATCCCAGCCCTGGAGACTGGCTGCATGAGATTCGATTCATAATCCTGTCTCCTCGTGATTAGCCGGTGATGGTGGATACCATTATGTGCACACAGCATGAATGTACACAGTCCTCCGAAAAAGCAACCCTCCCCCCCCCATGTCTTTGTAGGCAAAGAAGATTTTTGTCTGGTTTCCCTTCAGAAGCTAGCTGGACAAAAGAAATGGAATCTCACTGAACACAAACTTCTCGTGTCGTTTGTCAGCACTTGTAACATTTCAAAATAAATGGAGTAATTTCAATATCTCCTTTGTGCTTCTGAAATCATGATTGCTCCATACTTTTTTCAGTCACAGCTTTACAGATGAGTTCAATGTCAGTCAACACTGAATGATCGGGAAACTTGACATTTCCACGAAGCAACGCAGGCTTTGAACTTTAAGTAAAAGAGTTTGGCATAATGTTTTTGTTAAAAACTACTTTAATTTATAAATTATTCACAAATTCAAGGTTGGACCTAATTTTTGTAATTACTCATGAACTTTTTGTGTATTTTCAACAATGGATCAATGAGATATTAAGTTCACACAATTATAATCAACAAATCTCTGGGACATGTTTTCTTTTTGAAGCAGCATTGTACATTGATGAGCCTTTGCACCATTTCTAGTTTTCTACAATATTTCTACAATTTGAAGAAATCTGGTAAAAGTTTGCTAGCGGTTGCTGTTATCTCTATAAACCAGGGGCTTTTAGAATGTAGATGCATTGTCTCAATATAAGCAAGTTCGATATTTCAACTGCACATGCTCATCAAATCGAATGCGCATCAAAGGCGCATAAACGTGCAAGGAGACAGGCGCACAACGCACACGTGTTAATTACTAGCAGAATGTTTATTTGCATAACATCACGTAAACATCATGTCAGCGATTTTATCCTGAATGACCTTTGACCTCGACTACTACCAAACTGGCTTATTTGGCCAAATAAGTAATATGACCTGATTTTATGGCTCTCCTGTTTAACAATCTCTGCTTCACTGATTAACAACGAATTCCTACTTGTCCTCATGCGTACGTCTCACAAATAAGTCTTCGTTTACTCTAGGCTGAGCAAAAAAAAACCAATAGTTTCTCGTCTGGGTTTCTGAAAAGATGAAGGAGGCGGCCCCCGTTTTTCCCCCCAAGATGGTGAATTTTCCAACATGGCAGATGGATTCTTTTATTTTCTCAACTTTTCAGCTGATCTTTGCAAAATTGTGTCCAAAGGAGCCATCGCCCTTTTTATAGCTACAATTTTGTTGTCCAAAACAAATAAAAAGCCACTATTTTGACAATATGTTTGTAAAATATGATTGCAATTAAAGAAACTGCCAACTGTGCAATGAAGAAATGGTATATATTAGCGTACACTGTTCCACAATTCAATGCAATGTACTTTCTCTCAATCCTTCCGATCTCTCCGTAAAAAGGTCTGGCAGATTACAACGCAATATACCTCAAACTAAAGCACACTTTTCAACCATGTATACATAAAATGTATAATTATATTAAAATACATAACATTCCAAACTACTGAACAGGCAAAACACAAAAGCGCAAGAATAGACTACACTGCCACAGCATGGCAGTAGCATCTTCCATACAACTTGCTTGCGCAAACTAGTTCATTCATGCTAAATCGTAACAAGCTGATGAAGAGTAACCCCGTTTGCTTAACACATTGCAAACCTTTTTGTGTGTTAAATAATGCGATACAAATACACACAAAGCACGTCCTCGCCGATTAGAAACACCAACAATCGGGGGCTGAACAAAAACCTAAATCAAGCAAATGAGTTGTCTGGATTAGACGCCAAAGCACAATAGAATTGGCTACCCACCCTCTGTGCCATTTGGGCCGAACGAATGCCGTGTGTGTGCGGTCAGATTCACCGTGAGCTGTTGTCGGCGCCGTTCACTGCAAAAACCATCAAACGGGGAAAATTTCCCTCAAATACTCATCCAAAGACAATATTCTATGCACTCCTTCCGTATCCACATCAATCTTAGAGAGCCACAGAGACCGATGAACTCGCAGATATGCCAGTAATCTGGCTGGAAATTGACAGTTTAGGCGGCTAGATTCGATCACTTCGGCCCGGAGAAAGCAGCCATGTAATTTGTGAATTCACATGCGATATATGCACACGTTCTTTTTCTATGGTACGGACGTCCAGGGCATCCTATACAAACTGTGTGGTATTATAACTGTGTACAGGTGCATCATAATGAGATGGGTAATCTCAGACGGCTGTTGTATGCTGTTTAAAGGACAAACATTCCTTTCAGTTATGTGGGGAAAACTGGCACATTTTAATACGTTTTAAAGATGATATTCTTTTGACAATTTATGCAAGGTTCCAGTGAATTATTTGTGTCTGGTAATCTTAGGGGATCAATAACCAATTTGTGAAATTACAAATAATAAATTTCTTCACCTACAACTTGCCCATAATGCTCAATAATTTGGATGGGTTTTTTCCACACACACAAATATCTGCGATTTGCTTGAAAAGTCCAACTACTAGTATTACATCAGATATTTGAATAACTTTTAAAGATGAATTTTTGGACAATTTATGCAAGGTTCCTTCCAGTCATTTATTTGTATCTAGTAATCTTAGGGGATTAATAACTAATTTTTACAATAACAAATAATAATTTATCCACCTACAACTTGCCCAAAATGCTCGATAATTTGGATGATTTTTTCACACAAATTTGCGTTTTGCTTGAAAAGTCACAATCACTAAAGTATTTCTTACATTTATTGGATATTTAATATTTTATGAACTTAATGTCAAAATTCTCACTCCGCTGTAAAATAATTATTAAAATAGCACCCCAGATAGTAACAAGGAGTGACAAAAAGAAACAGTCATTCAAGTTTCGAATTCAAAGTTAAAATGAGTTCATTATCTCAAATGAATTTTCCAACAACCGCAGATATCCGCACTTTACGTGGTAAAGACTCAACTGCAACAGTCGTTGGACGGACTTAACGATTTACGATGCAGCTGCGCAGTGAAGTGAACAGGCCAGTCGAGACATCTGTCAATCACTACTGTTGTCATGGCACGCAAGCCATGATAGATGACTTTTGTGGAAAATTTTCTTCTCCATTCCCTTCTGCGGATCCAATGTGTTAAACCCCCCCCCCCCTCTTCCACATCATAGGCGGAGTCAATTTCGGAAAGTAGACTGAAATTGTGAAAACGTCTTCATCCACTCATGGAGGAAGTTGCTTTTCATAATCTTGCAGATCCGAGAGAAGTGGCTAGTTTTTTTTTCTGCCCAGCTGCTCACAGAATAAACTCAATTTGGATTTTCGTGGCCAGCAGGTCGAAAGAAAATGCGATTTGCACGAAGGAATTGATTCGAGCGTAAATGTTGTCAATTACGCAGTCATTCGCTTGTTCACTATCAGCGGTAATATTGTCAGAATTATCAGCATGTCTGAGAGTGGTTTTTTTTAGGGGGGGGGGGTGTTGCATTTTGCACATACGATGTACACGGTTCAGTAAAATGGTGCAAATTCCATCAATTCATTATGAAGCTAAGAGGCTAACTTGTTGAGGTGTTTGAATTTTGATGAGTTATTTTTATGGACCTTTACAGTTTTATACACCTTTTCAGTTACAGACAGGTAATTTTATTCTACCAGAAAGAGTTTTATAAGTTTTCTAAAAATGCCAGACATGATATGATTTTTTTGGGGGGGGGGTGTCATGGACACATTGCCATCTTTACGATTTTATCTTTAATTTGAATGAAACTTTGGTTAAAATCTTATTTCCGTAGATGCAGGGGTGGACTTATCCCCCCCCCCCCAAAAAAAAATTAATCGCGAGTGATGGAGCAGTGAACGGAACGGATTCCATGCGTCAAGAAACATTGGTCTCCATAAATAGCGCCCTCTATTTTCTCTCTCTCTAAAATTTAGGAAAGTGTCGGAGTCGGCCTGGTATTCATCCGTCCCTGCTGTTAAATTTTAATCATACTTTATTCTAATTATGCGGAAAAGGGCGAGAAGGAAGGAATGAGGCACAGTGAACAAAACTCTAATTTGCATTTTTGTGGCAATCAATTCTTCCAAATCAAATGTTTATCATGCGTGGCAAAAAGTGAAAAAAGTAATCTTTCTGAACCGATTATAAAAAATATTAACTGTCGATTAAAATGCCTTAATCAGTCACCTTTGCGATGCATGGCGTATCACTTGTTCCCGCGATTGATTTTAAAGATTGACAAAATTGACTTATATTTTTAATATATTCAAAAGACATTGTAAGTGTGTTTACATACACCCCATCCCATGATGGTTACTTTGCGCAAATAGTTTGCACAAATACAATATTCCAACCCCCTAAAAGAAGAACCACCATTCAATTTGTCCATTTCGCAACATTTGTTTTCAAGTTTATTATCTAAAAGTCTAAATTCATTACCATAAATTCATTATTAATGGAAATTAGTTTATGTCAATGCAAATGTAGTAATAGTACAAGAATTACAACGATCATTTTTTTTATGGTATGAATTCTTAGGAAAATGTACAACTTTTTATACACTCCGTTTCTTAAATTCTTCAAAAACCTTCCATCTTATGGTTAATAAATGAAGATTATCAACTTAAGTAAACATCCATAAATACTCAAAGTTAAAACCATTGCTGTTGGCATACAAGAAACATGACCAAAATCTTTGACTATGCAGAAAACCAGTGGAAAATTCATGACACATTTTTTGCACTTCAACTTTCAGGGGGTACAAAGTCCCATGTTAAATAAGAAATGACTAGGCTCATTCTTCCTGAATCCTGTCAAATCCTCCTGGTGGATTTAGAAGAGCCAGGGTTTGAAGAAGTCATACCCTTTCTCATCCCTTAAAGTTGTCTCCCCATGCTATTTTTGACTTTCACCCTGAAATGTACATTTGGTTTTTAAATTGCTATTATTTTTTTGAGCGATACGAAAGTTACTCACGTTTGAATGAGGCATCGTACACAAAAGAAATCACAAACATTTATGGAATAAGTGCAAATTTTGAATCATTTGTGTCCCGAGTATAGTTTCAGAGGGTTGAAAATGCCCAAACGGAAGAATATTAGGTTTTTTTCTGTTTAAATAAAATATACAAATTGAAAATTAATTCCAAAAAAAAAATTCAATATGCTGTGGGGCATGGATAGTGCAACTTTAACAATGCTAAACATTGCACTATCACACTTTAATTCTCTCATTATGATGGACATATCGGCTCAAACTAATGTCTGCTGAGGACAACCAGCCTACCATGCATACCATCCATGGTAAAGGTCTTTATCTGCTCATTGATAATTACGCATTGTTTAAACTCCTTCTAATTAAAGGAAATTGATTCCGTAGTCAAATAATTATAGACAAAGTATTACACGTCATGTTCACTTGAGGTTTTTTTTCCTTACAGAAAATTAATAATGCTTAAATTTACATACAGTTTAGTGCAACATAAAAAAAACCATTCCAGCAGGTATTCCTAGACCACTGGATGAACTACAGACAAATACTATATTAATACAATGATAGATGTCGTGATTATTTTCACAAGTGCTTCATATATTTTCTACAACAGAATGAACAATTTGTAATTTTTTTTACAATATCTGGGTTTTTTTTGCCATCATCTAGCATGTCCATATGCCCAAGAAGTTCAACTGAAACCATGGAATAAAGTAATAACTATGTGCTAGTCTTGAGGACATCAAGAAATTGCCATGTCTTTACATGAGAAGAAGCAGCGTTGCATTTGAGATAGTTAGACATGAAACACAGTGGCAAATTCAGATGAAGCCCAACATTTGATGGGTTTGGGCAGTGTAATTCAGTAACAAATCTGTATAGAGCACCATGTTCCAATGGCAACAGTGTCCAACTCGTGTGTGATGTGCGTGAGTTTTAACCCTGATTGAGGAAAATGGTGCCTGTGTTCTTGGGCAAGACACTTTACTGCAATTGCCTCTCTTCCCTGGTACCTGTGAGGGTAAAGACCAGATTGCGATGATTTTCGAGTACTTGTGTTCTTGGGCAAGACACTTTACTACAATTGCCTCTCTCTTACCTGGTACCTGTGAGGGTAGAGACCAGATTGCGATGATTTTCGAGTACTTGTGTTCTTGGGCAAGGCACTTTACTGCAATTGCCTCTCTATACCCTGGTACCTGTGAGGGTAAAGTCCAGATTGCGATGATTTTCAAGTACTTGTGTTCTTGGGCAAGACACTTTACTACAATTGCCTCCCTGTACCCTGGTACCTGTGAGCATAGAGACCAGATTGCGTTGATCTCATGCTGCTGGAAAAAAAACTAGTCTCGCCTGTTGAACAGCGGTAAGAATTGTGGAGCCCTTCGCGACTTTGGTATTAAGCGCAATATAAGCATCACATTATTATGATGACACATTCCTTCTCCTCCTAACTCGAGAAGAGCATTGAGCCTCATGTAAAAGTAACTGTAGCTAGTCTGTACCGTGACTACGGTCCTAGATGCAGCAAAACCCTCCAAAATAGTCTGTGGATTTTGAAGGTTCCAGAAGGGTTACGGTTAAGAAAATTGAAACGATTGTTTAAAAATCATCCAGTTTCAATTCGGAATCACTAAATTCAAACAGTGGAATGATTTCTCTGCGTTTTTACTTTTAGATTTGAGCTTGTGTATAACGAGCACGAAATATTTACTTGAGTATTCACATAAAATAATATGCATAGGAAGCTTGTATACCACTACTTAAAAGCTGTCTGTTTTGATTGTAAATTATCAACAAGAATCTATTTACCCTGAGGTACTTATTAAACCTAACTCCCTAGGCATTTTTGCTAGGATGCAACCCCAATCCTGCAAAATCCTCCAATTGCCTCCATGTAAAAATTGCATACAGCCTCAATCCTGCAAAATCCTCCGTTATTTCTTGACTGTGGTCCTTGGAGGGGTGACCACTGCCTGAATCCTGCAAATTCCTCAAGCAATAACTGTCAATATGTTGAGGCAGAGCCAGTGACATCCTGGAGCAGTGCGGAGGATTTCAAGTATAATTTAGCCCTAAATTTATGCACGGCTGAACACAAACAACACAAGGTCCGGCCTAAGACCTTGACACAGTGCATCCTCCAAAATCAGCCTCAATTCTTTATAGCCTCAATCCTGCAAAATCCTCCATTTTGCAAAGATGATTTTGCAGGATTTGGGATGGTCAGGGTTAATATTAAATTAACGATCAAAATTCTTTCAGCACATTTCAAATGAAATGCCAAATTTTGAAATTTCAGAAATGCACTATACAATGCACTGGTTGGTACCCCTTTGACACTAAAACAATACAATGTACTTGCACCTTGTAACTAAAAACTTGCTTACGCTAACTTGGTAAATGCCTTAAACTTGCATTCCCTGTGCTGTTTACGGGGTTCATACTGCAAAAAAATTATATTCCTTTGCTGAATTGCTATTTTCCCAGCAATACAAACGTTACTCACTTTGAATGATACTTTGACCGAAACAAATGTTTTCCATGTGGCCCATGTTTAGTTACTGAATTATTACTTGAATTATTGGCAGCCAGACACTGGGAATGCAACTTTAACCATATAGATACAACTCAATCTCACTAGCAGTACGTTCGATAACTGCGCTTACTCGTGCAAGCGCGACAGCGTTCGATTTACCTCTCACGTGACTTCTCGCGCTTACTCGAGCCTGGCCCAAGTAACCGACTCGCCGAGCCGGTTACTTGGGTAAGTATCCCATAAGGCCATGCAACGTCCGGCGGGCGCCTCAGCTCAGGCCGTGTCCAAAACGGGCTTCCACGGAGCATAGAGCTACAAACCCTATGTAGCTCTATGCAAGGAGCTATGGCTACTAATTATTGTCAGCGCGTCCCCGCGTATTTTCACTGGGCGTGGACGTGCTCTAGACAGTTAATTGATTTGGATGCAGCCTCCGCGAGGGGGGCAAGGGCGGGGTGCAACTCAACCCCCCCCCCCAAAAAAAAAGCAACCAAAAAAAAAAACAGGAAGAACACTATAGGGGCACAATGTCCCTGCCCCCCTCTAAAACTAATAAATCAAGAATATGTTGAGAAATACAGGAATTTTTTTGGAAAATATGTTTTGCCTCCTTCTAGAAAAAAATCCTGGCGACGCCCATGTTTCCAGCTCTTGCACGAAACTTCACCCGAAAATGTTCGTTTATTTAGCTCCACTGCGCATGCCTGTCATTATGCGAGGACCCAGGCGCGGGTAAGCTGGGGGAAGTAATCGAACGCACTCTGAGTGAGCCATGTTAACTTGCTCAGAAACACATTCTATGATATGATAACTTAATTTAGAAGTTTGACACTTGACCTTTGATATGAAAACTTAATTGAGACTTTTGACATTTTCAATGAATTAAACTGCTAATCTACATGTAACTACCTAGACCAAATCTTCCAAAAAACAAATGTTTTTTTTATTGTATTAAAATACAAATGTTCTAAATTCATAAAACCCCACAGGGTCTACCTTCATCAATCCTGCCAAAGTCTACACCACCCTCCTGTTGGGTTTTCAGGATCTGAGATAAGCAAGGATAACTCTTCGCATGTTTTTTTTTTATACAACAAACATGCCACTTGAAAAAAATCTTCTTATTTATTTAGTCAGTGAAAGACTGTAAAATACAAATTTTCACATCATGATGTTTCTTTGAAACCCAACAAGAAAAACAAAATGAATACAACTTAAGATGGTTTGGCATTTTTCCACAAAACACACACTTACAAATAAAAGATACAAACTCCGATTAAGCTATTTATTTTTACCTAAAATAGAAAAACAATCCCTCAATTCAGCTGGCTCTCCTGACCTTTCTGGTGTAGTTTTTTTTTATGTTGATGAAACCAACACGTAGATCATGCTGAAGGCAAAAACACAAAGCAAGGAATGCATATTTAGTAACTTGTTTAGTTCAACAAACATGATTACAACAAAAGGAAGAATTCCAAGACAGAAAAGTCAGGTTTGGGTTGTATAAAGTTCATCAAAAAACTATGTGGTCCAATGGTTACGGTGTTCGACTCGTGTGCCGTGGTACGGGGTTCAAACCCTGACCGGGAACATGGTGCTTGTGTTCTTGGGCAAGACACTTTACAACAATTGCCTCTCTCCACCCAGGAGTATAAATGGGTACCTGTGAAGGTAGAGACCAGAATGCGCTGATCTCGAGCTGCTGCAAAAAACTGGTCTCATAGCCTGATGAACAGGGGTAATAATTGTGAAGAGCTTTGAGACCTTTGGTATAAAGCGCTATTATTGCACCAAATTGTTGTTGTTATTGTTGTCTAGAGTATGCCAACAATATGTGTAACCATGGCTCTGAATGCAAATTCAGAAGTCCACAATTAGCACAGACAGACTTAAATTGTCACTTCGATTAAAAGCAGTACCATATTTATATTCTCAAAAACACTTGATGCATGAATTGTGCTAGATAAGAAAAAGCTGAATTAAAAGTCTTTCTTTGGACACTTTAGTGAATCATTACACCTCACTGACATATTCTGTCTCTTGATTGGCTGAGAGTTAGTCACATGGTATTCCCTATTCTTACTATTTTACTATGCACAGCCAAGAAGACTATAGCATGGCAGCTTTGCTCTAAAAAGTATTATTACACCTCGCCCACAGATTCTGTATCTTGATTGGCTGAGAGCGGGTCACATGATATTCGCTATTTTTACTATTTTACCATGCACAGCCAAGACTATAGCATGGCAGCTTTGCTCTAAAAAGTATTATTACACCTCACCCACAGATTCTGTATCTTGATTGGCTGAGAGCGGGTCACATGATTTGTGCTATATTTACTATTTTACCATGCACAGCCAAGAAGTCTATGGCATGGCAGCTTTGCTCTAAAACGTACTACAGCAACCAACGTAACAACTTGAGGTGATCCATGGAACATTCCACTTCCCTCACGGAAAATGAAACATTCCTTCGATCATCTTGGTAGGCACTTTTTACTTCACCATTCGAATCAATCCACAACAGTATATATTACTCTAGGATTGATCACTTACCTGTAAAGATAGTAAAAGAAGGAGATGAGATAGAAGGCTAGTTTAATCCACCCTTCCCTCATACACCGTGACAGGACGTCGGCGTTCATAATCGTCGTGGGATCATACAGGCCCGGGGAGCTCATGACTGGCCGGTTGGCATATCTGGATAAGGGAGAAAGGGAGTAACTGAAGTAAGAGAAACTGCTCTCCACTCTTCGACTTGACAACTTTGTAACATCTTGGCTCGACACGTATTGTTTTATTTTCTGAGTTAACCACTAGGCTTGGGTGAAACCTGGGCTAGAATCAAATGGAATCAATTCCATATCTTGAAATCTGAATCATGACTTTTTTTTGGTGAGAATCTGAACTCTGTGTAGAAGCTGGTTTTAGTTTCTTGACAGTAGACTCCGGGTACTGCTTGACAAGTCTGGGGAAGGGATGATTCCAACATGAGTTCAATGATCAGGGATGTGATTGGTCTGTGACAAAAAAAACCTGAAAATTTTATGCATGAAGTGCAAACTCCGGCGAGTGCGAAGCCATTACGGCGTGGGGTCCGGGGCCCGCTTAAGGGCCCCGGAAAATTTTTGATTTTAGATGCTCTGTGGTGCAATCTGAGGCAATTACCGGGCACTTTCCTCTGAAATTCTGAAGCAGAATTTGTTTTCATTTTATGAAGAATTTTCCTTTATTTGTTTAAATGTAATGTTGTTCTAATAAAGTTTTTTCTGTACTCAAAGTTGAGAACCATGCTGTTCTCCTAAGAATTTTTTCAACCCTGTAGGGGAATTTTTGTTGTGATACAACAACCTGCGAAGCCACGGCGTGGGTTCGGGGCCCACTTAAGGGCCCCGAAAAATTTTGAACTTTAAAAGCTTTCTGGTGCATTTTAGAGCATTTCAGAGGAGATCTTGTAATATTTTTGTAAAAAAAAAATCAAAATTGTAAACTTAAATCACTTCTGCTTCCGATAACATGCCTTTCAAAATAGCGTCGGTAGTATTGTTTGGAAAAAAATATTTCACCATTTCTATATTTGTAGTAAAGCAAGGAATTGTTTATATTTCATGTATTTTGTGCCTGGATTATTCTCATTTGCGCCACAAAAATTATCAAGACTAGCCATCAAAAGTGATTAAAACTTGACTCACCTAATTAAAAATCTATATATTTGAGGTGGGTCATTCCACAATTATGCTTAACGTACATGTACATCACGGCCGCTAGCGCCGCAAACATTCAGTCTGGCCGACCGAACATCGCGCCGTACACACGGCCGGCCCGGCGCAGTATAGTGTGCATTGCTGCACTGTGTACGGCCGGCGGCCCGTCCCAAGTGGCCGAAAATTCTGCAGGACTGCAGAAACACGTTACGATGTTTCTCCACAGGTTCGAGTTTTGCAATCTCGTCATTTCAATGGAAAATACATACACAGAAAATGAAGATCACGTTCTGTGAATTAATTTGCAGAAATCCTCTTTTTCCATCGATGGTTGTTTGGTATTTTTACTATTTTTACGATCCAACTTCGGCCGATTATACGCACGGAAAACGAACCTGTGAGTACTTGCAGTAGTCACTGGTTCCGGTCCTTCATCATAGCATTGATTCTGTTAGCACGCGAAGGGTACCAGTGTACCATGCTGCACTCGTCTGCACACCTGACAAGCGCAACACGTGCATCTCGAGTACCGACACAGGAACTAGACCTACATAACCACAACCTCGGCCCCGAGCGAAAAATCATAAACACACTAATGGCAACGCATGGTCTTCAACTTCGTTCTCACATTGGGTGTCCAATATGTGCGTGCGGCATACATATCGATCAATGAAGTTTATGTCCGTAAGTAAATTTCGGATATTTCGGCAAGCAAAACTCATTATGAATAATTAATTAGCACATTCTACCCCCCTATTTTCTCAACGGATTCACACGATTCACGTTGGTGGACTTTTGATGCCCAAAAAAAACGGATTTCCGGATAAAACCGGAGAAATCACATCCCTGAATGATTGAGAAACTTTGGAAAGAAATAAACTCTACAGAACTTCTAATTTCCAGGTACCACATCACAGGTCAAACCAATTTTGATCTCCTGTAAAACTCTGGAAAAATCTGGAACCACTTTTTGGTTTCTAAATAATCAGTGTTCTTTTCATAGGATGAGTCACTATAAGCAGTTTACTGGTGTTATTTTCTGAGAGTTTTACATTTTCTTGCTGGAGAAATTCTGAGTTGATTCTAAACAGCATTACAACTACTGGATAAAATCAGAATCACTTTTTCAAAATTGTTAAAAAATCTTAAGTAGGGTGCATTACAAGTAACCTGTTCAACTTTCAGCTCAGTGGATACTTTTTACTATAAGAAAATAGAGAAAACATGCACGATTTTCTGGGTCTTGTAACTGGACTCTGCTAATGAGTGTAAAACAGTGTGCCCATGGCATCCAATTTCAAAACCACCTTCAACGTTTGTTTTCTTCCAAACAATACCATTTCAACCAGAATAATTTCACAGGGTATTCGAAACCAATCCTATCTTCACTATGAGCAAAGCTTCTGGCATTAAAATCGGAAGGTACTTTTCCGCGTAATTGCAAATGTGTTGGTCAGTCTGAAAATTGTTCCCACTCCCGTTAAAGATATAGTCCATCATTTGTAATTTGTGCATTTTGTTCGTTTGAAGCAACAAAAGTGGTCAAAATCTAATGAAGGATACTGAACAACTAACCTGATGAAGTTTCAGCTCAGCTTCAGCTGTATATTCCGAGAAAAACAGCATTCTAGGATCTCAATTTCAAATCAAAAGTTGCTGAATCATGTTTTGAATTGTTTTGAATTGCAGCTTTACGCGATGTTACGCACTGATCTGACGAATTATAGCAACCGCGCGCGCCTGTGCGTCGTGCCAATGCTTGCGCGTGCTGCGCCGAATAACAAAACGAACTACTACTTTAAATTTTCCTACGGTGCGTCTTAAGACGCACCATTGGAAAGGCCTTCTTTCGTTGATTACTTCAAAATGATAGCTTGCCAGAAAGATTAATTTCACAGGGAGTTTAGTCCACTTACTATCTTTCAACCAAGTATGTTTTTCAACAACAATACGACAGTTACTTTTTCGGATGGCTGCAAATGATGGACTATAGCTTTAAACTTTGTACACAACCACAATATTGGCGAAAGGATGTACACTCTTTCTAAGACATGCACACACACTTCTGAAGCTTACCTGTAGATATGGTAGGCAATGAGGGGGATGTTGAAGACAAGCGTCCCAAACTGCAACGCCGCAAGGAACAACACATTGTAGAAGATGTGGACAATGTACTCCGGTAGCACAAGCTGTCACAGGGGGAAATAAAGCCATGATGTTTATGTAAGAGAAATCTCCAGTTTGATGGTAAACTTATGTGATTGGAGACGTACTGCACAAAGTTTTGAGAGCCACTTTTAGAACAAGATTGAACAAACAAGGGCAGAAACAGACAGGGATGAGCAACAAGTAGTGATTATCATTAACCCTAACCAAACTCAACCCATCAAAGTTCAACAGCAGGTTTTGTTTAAATCTGTTGGGATAGGTACAGTACCCCTAAACTGATGGTCTTTTACACTGGGGTTGGCATACATCCAGAAACTAAGTCCAACAGTGTGTGTGCACGATTTCCCATGTGGGTGTTGGAATTTGCCTGAATTGGTATGGTTCCTAGTAATTTATGCTGGGGAGTTAGGGTTAAGATTCATGTCGAAATGTGTCCTACCGGATTCAGACTGTTGCACTGATCAATTGGGTTCTTGTAGTCCGTCTTCAGTTCATCAAATGCAATTATCTGAGAGGCAAAGCAAAAGAAATTAGCAACATTTTCAATCGGTCTGAACCATCACTGACATTTATACCAAAAGTAGCCTTCCAATTTACTATCAAAAAATTTACTTGGATTAAGCCTAACCTTCCCCAAATCCTTCAAAATGCTCTTTGCAAAATTGAGAAGTTTGCAGGATTGAGGCTACATGGCAACAACATGTGGCTGATTTTGGAGGATGCACTGTGTCAAGGTCTTGGGCTAGACCTTGTATTGTTTATGCTAAGCCGGGCTGTGCATAAATTAAGGCCTAGATTATACTTGAAATCCTCCGCACTACTCCAGGATGTCACTGGCTCTGCCTCAGCATACTGACAGTGATAGATGGAGGAATTTGCAGGATTGAGGCAGTGGTCACCCATCCAAGGAAAACATTAAAAAATACTGGAGGAGTTTGCAGGACTGAGTCTATATATGCAACTTTTACGTGATGTCAGTCGCAGGATTTCTCAGGATTGAGATTGCATCCTAGTATGCCTAGTAAGTTAAGAGAGTAATGGTACTTAACACCACATGACTCATTCTGTCGATAATTATTCTGAGACAATGTATTCATGGCTTGCCGTCTGGCGCCATGTTTACATCGTTGTTGTGACTTTGTATTCAGGAGATGGGAAACAGACCTAATGCTACTTCGGACTTCAATGGATCAAAGAAAATTTGATATGATAGGGCCCAGTATCCTCTGTACAGAAAGGCCACACTTGGAACATCTACCCGAAAGTGTAGATTTTCACAATTAGAGTTTATGTGTAGTTTATTTACGCTTTTTTTTAGAAGCATACTCACCCTCTTTATAGGGATAGAAAATTAGTCCCCCCTTTTTCAGACATGTACTTTTTGTGTAATTTCGTGTTGGAATTTAGATACGAAAATGTGTGCAAACGAACCTGGAAATTACACGAAATATAGATGTCATGTCTGAAACAGGGGAGACTAAATCACTAATTAGGGCCTACCGTATCTATTGCTTTAATTATGTGAGTGTGCTTCTATTCTAAAGCGTATTTTCGGGTAAATGGTCCAGGTACCACCTTTATTTACGGAGGTTGTCCAGTAAATTGGCCGCAAAGATTCCCATATCTGGCCATCACTTTTCACCCTGTGCACAAACCCTATGGGACTGGTCTAAAAATTTAATTTGTAAAGTCAGTGTTTTCTCAGTAAAAATTCAAAATTTGTCACTGCGAATTTTGACTTTTTAGGACATATTATCACTTTCTGATGGCTGATAGGTCATTTAAGGGAAAAATAAGTGATGGCCAGATATGGGAATCTTTCCAATTGGCCACATTTTTGGGGCTACAAAATACCATACCAACCAACCCACAGTCCACACCCACTTTCCCCCCGTCTTCCTTTGTGTCGGAAATAAACGCCCACCCTTTGCCGCAATACAAACCAAAACAATCAACGGATATCTAGGCTGGATCTTGCAAAATACTCACGTGAAATATCGCGAAAAATATCAGTACGGCTGCTAGTAGCATCGCCAGTAAGTAGCAAAATGCGACAAATGTAAATGCCATGATTTACAACCGAAATATATTACTTTTTCGACTTAAAAGGGGTTGCCGATTGACTTGCTCAACGCTGATTGCCAGTTCAATGGTACACAGCATCCGAAGACGACCGTACGTACATCTGGTAAAATATTTATCGGGTACCAGTTATCACTTCAATCGTGTATCATTCAGTGTGGCATTGCTTCAGTTTCATGACTTTACGGTTTACCTAAATAAATTCTGTGGCAAAATTCCTTATTAATTAAAATAAAAAACGATGAAGCAGTGAAATGTAAGTGTAAAAGTACACGAAATATTTCACCTATTACCGCAAATATATGTACAGTTTGTTGGTCATGTTTGTGGTTAGATCAGTCAGCTCATAATTTTCTGACTCATCATTTGTACAGGTTTGTACATGGCATGTTAGCAGACGACCGTCACATTTTTGTGCGTGCATTCTTAACATTCTGGTCTCTCTTGTGCAATGACTTTCTGAGAACATGAGACAAAGAAGAGGGTGATGCAGATCGGGCTTTAATTTTGGATTTGGTAAGTTCCTTTCTTTGAACAGAATTGTTGTATTGATGATATTTTCCCATGTTTCTCCTCAGTTTTTCTTCCTCCATGGTTTTAGCGAGTGAGTGATGGTGAAAATGAATTGGAAAGAATGGAAGATGCCTTTTTAAATTGTATGTCTTGTAGGGCCTAACGTTATGATGAAAGTGAGGGTATGTAGGATAAGATGATGCTGGTGGTTTGAATGAAAAAGGAGATGGTTTTTCTTAATAAATGTTTTTTCGTCCCTTTTCCTTTTTTTTGTAAGATGTTAATTGTTATCCTTTTAAAATTATTGTTCCCTCTTTATTTCTATCATTCAATCACTTTCTTCTAGTTCTAATTTTATATCGTCAGACCCTATTTCTATTTCTACGCACTCATCTTTTTTATTTGCGTTTGGCAACGCATGCGCGTGCCGCATGCAAAACGCTATCTCTGTGCAGATTATGGAGGAATCGAGGATACATTATTTCGAAAAGAATGTTGCAATCTGACGCCACTTTTTTCCTCACATATTATCTCAATGAAGGTCAGTCATTCCACAAATGTTGAAAAGACATGAATCGGGGGACTGAGAAACATTTCCAATTTTGTTAAAAAAATAGGCCTACTTTGAAAATGCACTCGACTCTCCATAGACTTTGTACACAACCAAAGAAATGGCAACTGGCATCTGGAACTGCACTCTGTCTATTATTTCTTCCATTAACCTAACTTTTGATGCATGAGTTCATAGATTGTTATTTTTTAGTCATATTTATTTAATTTTATTTAATTATTTTGCATACTTCCTTGTGTTATCAAGTTTAGTTGTTTATTTAATAGACCTTATTTATATTAAATAATCTATGTTGACATTGTGAACATGAATAGACAGGGTTTTTTTTATGAGGTACCGTGTTTTACTTTCAGTCAATGATTTTGTAACCGTAGGGCCTACACTAGACTACTTGTACTTAAGTACCGGTACATTTTGTTGGTACTCGTACTCATGGAACAAAATTGCCTTGTATTTGTAGTACTCATGGCAAAGTACTCGTACTCATACTTGTACTCATGGCAAAGTACTCGTACTCTTATTTGTACTCATGGAAATGTACTCGACTACAACACTGGTTTCAGTACACTTTTGTTTGCACTGGCCAGCTTCAAAATGTTCCCTCCCCTTGCCCTCAATCTTATCCTTTTTTGGCACCATTCGGCTTGCCCTGCCTAGTTTTTTGGGTTTTTTTAATGGCTTAAATTTTTTATCACTTACAAGTTTTTGAAATGTTCATGTGCTCTTTTGTTCTTTAACTGTTGGCTGAATAAATAATAACACTAATGAAAATAAATGTTATGATGTGATGGTGAAATGGATTACAATTTTGGTGACAATCACAATCAAAGTTAATGATTGATGTTTATGATAATGAATCACTCATGCTTGGTGATTATACACGTTCATATTGTCCCATGGTAATTAAATGATTTAAGTGACAAAATAAATGTTCCTCCATGGTAGCTCTGGCTTTTGAAGACTGATTCTAGTAACATGTCACCTTTCGCTTTCTCAACCATTACCAGATAAGATAACATCATGGCAAAGGCTGTCTCGCCCACTGCCAGTGCCACAGCCGGCGTCACCATGCGAGTCCGCAAGTCCCCATCCAGGGACAGACAACTTGCCACGGGGCCCATGGACACCCCGGGCCTGCCCCCATTACCCAAAAGCCTCAGCAGTCTTCTGAACGCCAACAGTGGGACGTGGCGAGAAACGCTACGCATACAGGCCCACAAGAACATGATCCAAGAGAATCTGTCCTCCTCCAAGACTGCGGAGGAGGATAATTCTACGTCTTCGTCTTCCTTGTCGTCCGGGGGTGCCGCCATCGGATTGGGGAAGGCACCCCCAAAGAGAGGGAGACCCAAACGGGTGTCGGTTCCTCAGGGGAACCTTGACGGGGCTCTTGCTATGCTGAGGAAAGAAATGGTGAGATTTTCATGATGAAAGAAGCAACGATTTCTTATCAAATTTGTTTCTGCAGGGGGCGGGGAGCCGGCATCTGGGGAAAATTTGAACAGTGGAGGGAGGGGCGGGGAGCTGGACTCCAACTGAATGTAGGGGGTGCTGTTCATGTATTTCTTGCATACTGAGACCCAAAGTGCATACATGTACAAAAAATGAGAATCAAAATCAGGCCAACTTGACTCGTTCTTTCACTTGAAACCTAATATTGATTTACATCACCCGATGTAAAATTCTTATGAATAGTTTAATTGCGGTACCCGCTGCTACATGTACATCAGGTTCGAACCAGCCAACCGATCCTGCAAGCTCGGTGGTCGAGTGGTAAGACCTTAAAAATGTCTTGCCCGTATAATTCCTGTAGAATGCCATGGTCCAGTGGTTAGGGTGTTTGACTCATGTACGATGGTGCATGGGTTCGAACCCAGCCCGGAACATGGTGTTTGTGTCCTTGGGCAAGATACTTAACTACAATTGCCTCTCTCCACCCAGGAGTATGAATGGGTACCTGTGAGGGTAGAGGACCGAATGTGCGCTGATATCGGCTGCCGCGTGGTCGCATGGCCTAATGACTGGGAGAATAATTGTAAAGCGCTTTGAGATTGTTGATACGATGGAAAATGCTATTAGCATTTGAATATTTTTATTTTGTCAAACATATTGCTCTTTTTTGTGTTGTTACTTTACTTCCACTGTATTTTATTTACCCAATTCTGCAAGTTTAGTAATGTCTGTGTTCACTGAGGTGTTTACTTACACACAGCAGTGAGACAGATATGTCAACACCTTTGTCTAGCTGAGGAAGTCTTAAGTTTTGTGTTGTTTTGCTCCTAGGTTGGACTGCGACAACTGGACATGTCCCTGCTCAGTCAGCTGTGGTCGTTGCATGAATCCATACAGGAATATAAAGTAGTGGTGGAGACGATGTCTTGTATGTCGGACCGAGACAGTATGGATCTGGACAGCGAAGATCAGTCACTGAGCCCACTCAGCCCTGGCCTGCTGTCGCCGACATCCATGGTTTGAAGATCTCTCACAGGTTATTTTTGTTCCAACTCAAGGGCGGATCCAGAACACAATTTTTTTTGGGGGGGGGTCCAAAAAAAAAGTTTGTCCCCCAATAACTGGGTCCAAAAAATAACGGCGTGGGGTTCGAGGCCAGCTTTTTATTTTTGGATTCCAGATGGTCTGTTGGTGTGATCTGAGGCAATTTCTGACCACTGGGTAACCAATTTCTTTTAAGGAAAAGACGATCGTGTACGCAGTGCCTGCCTTTATTGTGATGTCACTTTAAAAAAAATGTTTGGTTTGTTTGGGTTGGGGAGGGGGGGGGGGAATGGCAATGGCCCCTGTTGTTTCCCCCCCCCCCTGGATCCGCCCTTGTTCCAACTGTTGTGCCTGATTGCTTTGTTCCACATTTTTGAAAGGAATAGGATCATTTGCATTTATCACAAAAGTGACATACTAAATCATGTTTTCACAAATTTTAGGGCCATGATTTTCTGCTCCACTGGAAAACGGAATGGAATTAACAGAATTCACTTTTTGTAACAATTCAGCTTTTTTGGGGGGAACCCTATGATTTGTGTATGGAAGGAGATACAAACCATTCAAAATATTTTCTGTAAGCCTGTTTAGCGTCAAGCATGTTGTACAGCTTTGGGCAGTTTTTCTTTTCTGTTAAGTCTGTCGCACAATTGTTAAGGACAGAAATGTGGCTCAGTTCTTGTTTTTCTAGTGAACATCCACTATATGACACACATAAAAAGGGAAACGGATTTTCCTGCACAGATTTATGGTTGAAACAGAACTTACAATTTCCTGAAATGGTAACAGACATTTTTGAAAATCAGCGACCCTAAAATTTCTTTGAACAATTCTGGTTTTAAAGAATATCTTTAAATTTAAAGAATATCTTTCTGTTTAGGAAGTTAGAGTGACATTTGGAAATGTTATATGGTCAGTCGACTGAAACGCTGTTATGAAAGGTTTTACCGACGCACTTTGTCGTGAAAAAAATTACACAAAGATTTTGCTACGTGTGCCTTGCACATCTTTTTTGAGTTATACTTTATTTGGCCACAGTGCATTGTGCCTCTGTGTGGAATGTTTTATTAACTGCCTTATATTAATTCTTTGTGTGCAATTTATTGAAGGTTTTTTTAATTAAAAATAAAAATAGTTTAGAGGAGTAGTTAACTCAGCTTACTGCAGTAACATGTGTGTGTAAATGATGGAAATACTGGAGTTCCTCCCCAAATAATGTGTGGAGTTGGATGGGTTAAAAAGATTTTTTTTCTGAAACTTTTTTCAAAATACGCTTGCTGGTTGTCTCCAAGCTCTCCAAGAACCCCCTCCAAATTAATAACTTTAAGGCATTAAGAATCAAAGTGAAGTTTACAAGTGGGTTTGCAAGATTTGATCTGGCCTTTTGAAAAAAAAATTGGATAGAACTTTTTAGAAAGTTTTGCAGTTTCGGTTCTTTCAAGACTAAAAGCAAACTGCAGCCATTTAAAACAAATTTGTGAAAACTTGCAAAAGTGCCAAACACACTTGCTGCCTTTTTATTGAATTCAAGAGTTATCCATGTAAGACTTTAGCACATGTACAGTAATGGTGGAATTCTTTTTTGTTCACTTATTTACCCTGTTAGTTTATATTGGGTGTAAAAAAACGAAGGCTAATGCAAAATTGTGATGTCACCGCAGATAATATTAATGCAAGTTCACAATAGTTGAACACATTTCAACTCGTGAATTTCATTGCGAATTTTGACATAAATTTTGCTTTATGTTCGCATTTGCCCTTGAGTGTGATGGGCCTTAAATTATTGTGTGTGCTTGTTAAGCAGTATTGAATTACTTTTGAATATAATAGTCACAAAACAAGGATTTCATGGAAAAGGAAGTCAAAGAGTTAGGATCCCAAAATGGTGTTTGGGAATAAAGGTATATTGGTTGCAACATATTGTGTTTCGAATTCTTAAATTGAAACAAGACAAGGCAGGCCCCTCTCATAGACAGCCATCTTCGTAGGAAAGTTACAGGTGTGTGTTCGCGCAGTGTGCAGAATTTGAAGAGTGTACAAAATATGTGCTGCCATGCTTGTTAAATCTCAAGGATTAAATTGTAGTGCTAAAATGTGTGTTCCCCAGTATTTACATGTATCTAACCACACTACTGGATTATGGATTGTAGATGTGTTGGGTATGTAGTATTAATTCATACATTTTGCAATATTTGTACTCTGCGCTGTTGACCAGTACTTCTCACAAAAACAATAGAGTTTCGATTTTTTTCGTGTTTATTTTTCTTGGTACCTTAGTATTATTGTTTTTATATATCTGTGCTGAATGTAAAATATACGTGGGTAAAAATGTTGGTAATCCCGAGAGGGATACTTGGTGTGTTTTCTTATATTTTTTATGCAATATTTATTCAAAGATCATGCTGTTTGTGTTTAAAATGTACTCGTACATTGAATTCAATTTTATAAGTAATATTTTTTGTATGTAGACCCCTAGATACATATTTTCCCAGTTATTTATACCAAAAGGTGAAAGCAGTGCTTTGATTATGAGCTAAAATTTAAAAAGATTTCAAAATTAGGTTTTGTAATGAAAATTCCTATATATTTGTAATTCTGTTTTTTCATTGGTTTGGGGGTTTACCTAAATACTGCCTGAAAGTGACCGTAAAACGTCTGCTTTTGGGTTGTAATACCTTATTACCATGGTGACTGTTAACCACGATGACTGGATTTTTGAAAACATTCTTTTGGCGGAGCTTTACTGCTATTTTTGCTAAAGATTGAGGTCAACAAACAAAGTGATGTGAAATCATTGTTCACACTCCTTCAAGCACCTTCTTAAATGACTGGACTTAAAAAACTTTATGTCTAGAGTTATACAAGCTACATTTCAAAATACTAAGGCTGGCAAACTTTACTCTGAACACTCATCTCCGTTTTCAGAAATACATATAGTGTGAGATGAAACTGGTGTATATATTTTAACAGTTGTTTATGTTAATACTGCTGTATATGTGCAATTAGATTTGACAATGCTATGGTGATGTCGTTTTAAGTTGATGTTTAAACTTTGTATGTAAGTGGTTCAATTGTTTTGCTAAATGAGAATATTTTGTTGAAAATATTTTGTCACTCCCTGAATTGCTTTAAATTTGAGTTCAGGTGTTGATCTCCTGAAGAACTCTAATCAAATTGAATTTTTTATAACTTACAGGGTTCTTCTTTACCCAGGAATGGAACGTAACGTATTTGACAAAATGCACCCCAGAAGTTGGTGATTAGCTTTATTCTAAATGCTTTGGGAAATGAATGGAAAATTATCCATATTTTTTAAGTGTTTTTTTTTTGAGTGGGTTTTAATTTATAATTTGATATTATGTTATTGGATACAGATAATGTACTATTAAATCCAGCACAAACTTGTTAAAGGCTGTTTTTGAAATGATACAAATTTTGTTACAATGTAACTTATGTTACTGTGTAAGAAGCAGTTATGAATGAGTGCATTAATTTAATTCCATGGTTTTTGTATTGCACCTGTGTATGTAAGTTATATACACGTTCCGTTCCCTTCTCTGTTCGACTGAAATTTAATTTCAATTAATGTTTCACTTAGTTTTTTGTTCTTTATCATGATTGTATTGCTATATGTTGTACTTGAATTTTTATGCTACAAGATTGATGTGTTTTCTGAAAATCTCTTCATATTGGAGTACCGCAGAATATTTGAAAAGTATCAACAATTACCATCTGTTTCTTATAAATATTATCAGTGATTTATTTTTTTCCAGAGCCTTTTATTATAGTCCTACTTGTACAACCATGTCAGTTTCTTGATCGGAAATGTACATGGTTTTTCATATTGAATCCTAAGCCTAACCTCAAGCAGAGTTGTAATCAACTAAGTCACAAGTCATCACAAGTCAATCACAAGTCATCACAAGTCAATCACAAGTCATCACAAGTCATCTCAAGTCAATCACAAGTCATCACAAGTCATTCACAAGTCGATCACAAGTCAATCACAAGTTATCACAAGTTATCACAAGTCAATCACAAGTCATTCACAAGTCATCACAAGACATCACAAGTCAATCACAAGTCATCACAAGTCAATCACAAGTCATCACAAGTCATCATAAGTCAATCACAAGTCATCACAAGTCAATCACAAGTCATTCACAAGTCATCACAAGACATCACAAGTCAATCACAAGTCAATCATAAGTCAATCACAAGTCATCACAAGTCATCACAAGTCACCACAAGTCATCACAAGTCAACACAAGTCCATCACAAGTCATCACAAGTCATCACAAGTCACCACAAGTCCATCACAAGTCAACACAAGTCAACCGCAAGTCCATCACAAGTCAACACAAGTCAACACAAGTCAACCACAAGTCCATCACCAGTCATCACAAGTCAATAACAAGTCAATAACAAGTCAATCACAAGTCATCACAAGTCAATTACAAGTCATCACAACTCACAAGTCAATCACAAAGTCAGTCACAAGTCATCACAAGTCAATCACAAGTCACCACAAGTCAATCACAAGTCAACCAGTCTCAAGTTGGGTAATAACCTATTCAAGTGCAAAGTACTACCCCAGCTATTGCTCAAGCCCTGTTTCTGGTGATCAAACTTGAGAATTGATTACAACTCTGCCCACAAGGTACTTTTACCAGGAACTCTTTTTTTTTCTGAATATGCTGCATCCAGTGTCATATTGTTCATATTTTAACACAATTGGGACGTCACTCCCCCAAGCAACTGTTTTGTAATGTTGTCTGGGCCCTGCAGTATTGAATCAAGTCAGGCTTCTTGAGATATGGCAGCCATAATGATCACTTGAGTCGAGTGCGAGTCCGCGTCTAGAGTCACTTGGGTTGAGTCTGAGTCATTTCGTTCAAGTCCTAGTCCACGTCCGAGTCGCATTTGTATGAAATGGATTTACATGGACAAACATACATGTAACCATTGTGTAAGTGATGCACTGTCGCAGGAAATCGGGAAAGGCACATGGTATTATTTGCAGCACCACTTGGAGAGTGGTGTGGTACAGTTTGTGTGCTTAAAGTTCTTTATCATTGGTTCGATGTTACTTTCAGAAAATGATCATCAAAATTATCTTTTTCAAAGATAAGTTTTTGGTAAGGCACAGGTCATTAGTGTAGAGTCCAAGTCATGATGGTCGAGTCTTTTGCCAATGTGACTCATGTCGAGTCCAAGTCACAGAAATTGTGACTCGAAATGGACTCAAGTCTTAGTCCCACACAAGGTCGCCCATTAGTCTGGGTAAATAAAATGTATGTACCCAAACTAAAGAGCGCCCTCCTATTATGGTTGCCATATCTCAAAAAGGCTAATGGAAATCATGCAAAACCCTTATTGTGGCTGATTTGGGACAGTAGTTCCGCTGTCATTCCATGTTTGTGCAATTTTATTTTCCTTACTTAACAGAAGTTACATTTTTCTTGTAATTGTGTCGTCATATCATTTGCTCTTGCCTCTAGTGCTAAACAAGTAGTTTTCCGTATTATAATTTTTTTGTATTTTAACACATTTATTGGATTTTTGTATGGGTATGTTTTCAGTATTTAGTAAGTTTATTTGAATATGTTTTTGGGTAAATAAAGTAATGCAAACGCATGTTTGTAAACTTTTTGGCGAACTGGATTTTTAGTGTTGTGAAAGTGATTCTTATTGTTGATGTAAAAATCCTTGTGCCGATGTCTTTTTGAGGCAGTAAATTTGCCTTAATATGGATATGGTGTTTACTGCTGACCATTTCTTTTGAAGCTTTTGAAGATTACCGGTACTAGTGTGGCCCTTTTATGGGAAAATTGAGAGGTTAGAGGCTTTATAAAATGAATTTTACACTGGAGCATATTTGAAGCAAATATCCATTCCTCCAGAATTGTATAAAACTATGAGACATCCCTTTTTGGTAAAAGTTTTTGCAAAGTGTACTTTTGTAAACATTTAAAATATTTCATGGGTTTCCTGACAATTGAGGGCGCTGTTGCTGTGACGTCACCTTAGGAACAGTCTTCAGGTCAAGGTTTTCTCTTCGAATTGAAACCCCAAATTCTGCTTATTGAAAACATTTCTGCATGAAGTCTTCTCATTGTCTTACTGTCATATATTGAAACAACTATGAACCACTGAAAGCAGAAATATAACCTAGCAAACCCCTAAAATTCTTGTGACTTTTTTTGCTGAAGCAGGTGTGACACTAAAGTTTCTGCCTTGAATGACATCACGGTTTTGCTCATGAATATGGAATTTTGCATTACCGCAAACACCAAAAAACACCCCAAAAAACGCCCTAAAAAAGGCAGTATAAAGATTAAAAATGATGTTAAATGGAACACAATGGTACATTTCATGAATTGCATTTAACAAAATTAATCACATGGGCCCTTTAATGTATTTATGTTACGTTTTTTTTCTGGGGGGAGGGTTAAAAAAGCTAGATAATTGGTGAAGTTGCTGCTGTAGCTTGTATAAAAGTAAAAAGTCACATTACGCAAGAAAACATGACACAAACACTGCAAATATGTATGTTTATACAAAAGTCATCTGTTAATATTTTTTCAAATCGTATATTACCGCTAAGTGAATATTTTCAGAATTATCTTCAAGAAAAGATGTATGTGTATTACTAACAGCACAAGTACAAAAAAGAGTAAGACCCCCAAAAATTCACTTTACATTTTCCCCCTCAAACGTTTGGTCCAGAGCACTTTATAGCCGAGTACTTTCCAAATTCAGTACAATTGATATTTAAAGATACAATTATTCTTTTAATAAAAAATGAGGGAGTTTACAGGAAGTTTTATTACTTTTCATACAACACTCAGTCTTTACAGAAACACACAAAAAACAAAGAATCTTAAATCAGACTTTTCTCAAGTAATAAATAAATAAATAAATAAAAACGAAAGCATGTTTAATGTGTTTAGACAAAATCTTTCCAACGTATTCAGTTCATTACGTTGCTCTTGGAGAAACTAGAATGAAACATTTAAGGTAAAACACTTGGTAATATAATTAACAACACATTCATTGACTTGGTCCATCCATTTTAAGTAAAAGTTTACTGAAATAGAAATTGTATGAAAAAAAATTATTGCTATCAAATTCTTTTGTTTAAAAATGGTGTCTCAAATATTACCAAAAAGTTGGTGGAATCTGTCAAAAATGCGACACTTCAAAAAGGCGTCCAAATTTGTGAATTCATTGCATTCCAAGAGTGTGAGTTAGGAAAAACGAATCTTCAAGCAAACTTTGATGTACTGTAAAGATGCAGCGTGTACGCTATGAAAAGCTACAATGTGTAGCAGGAAAACGTGTATATTTTAGAAAAGTGCAGAATACGCACTCTGAGAAATGCGGACAGTACGATCTTGTTAACATGGATAAGCCAATCAGGATCGGCGATTCAAGTTTGTTTAAATATAATTCCTGATAACACTAATTAGCTGGTATAACATGTACTCCATTTTTTCTGTTACCAGATGAATTGTGGGAAATATGTCAAAAACAAGGGAAAAAACTACTTGGGAGGGGTAAAATGCAGGGTATCGATAACACAGATATTTCACAGTTTTAATTTACCATTCAAAATGTGTTTTTTTCATCAATCTTTAGTAATCTCTATTTTTTTCTCTCTATCAAAATCATGCATTCAATGGTGTAATGTATAACTTGATTTGAAGATCATTAGTATAAAAATCACGTACAAAAATCAAAGGTTTCTCCACTTTGGGGCAAAAATGTTTTCTTCTTCAAAATTTTGAACTGCTATTTGATCCTTCCATACACACACAAATACATCGTTTTTAATATTTAAGAAAAATCTTTCATCGTCTGTGACCAACAATAAAAAAGTATACGTAAATTTACGGTGGAACTATTTGTCCAAGAAGCCAAATCTTACGGTCTTCGATAAAACTTAGGAATGATTTGAAAATTCTAAAATAGACTTTTAGTTAATTATTTTCGAACAATGATTTCTGAAATGTAAAAAAATAATGAGTTGATATTTTTTTCTTTGCTTTACGGTGTAAATCTAGCACGAATTAATGTTGCTCTTCTGTTGATATCTCTTAATTTTCTCTCTGTTTTGAAAAATTAAATTTAACTTTTTTTCAATATCTCCATTTTTTTCTTCTTCATAAAAATGGGTATCTAGATCATGTGATTCAAAAAAGACTGGAAAAGTCTCATAGTTTTCGGTTAAAAAAAAAATTTGTTAAGAAACAAAATGCCCAAAAAATATCTCACGGCTTGTGGGTTAAACTGCCCGCTATAAAAATGCTAAAAAGTAGACTTTAAAAATAATAAAAGATTTGAAGACTAACATCTGTTGTTGCTTCATAAAACAGACTAAGAATATCTTTTAAATCGGGCCGTTTAAACGTGGGCAAAGTCTCTAACAAAGCACTGGGGTCAAATGTCTTTTCCCATTAAGAAAAAAACAAAATAAAAAATTAAGTCCCATGTTAAAAAAACAAAAACAATGAGTTTATACACAAGATAAAAAAGAAATAAAACAAATGAGTTTTTTTCTGTCGTGATAAATTAACGATATAGAATATGAACAAGCTTAACTTACATATATATCATCTGAATAGAACACTCCATTTACACTGTACAATATATACAGCTGCTTTTGTTAAAGTTTTTTTTTTAGTACTTTTGAGCACAGAAGTACAGACTTGGTCGTTTTGGTTCATGTGACAAGTCATGTGATCAGTCACGTGACAAGCGTGGCGCCTTGCTATGTGAACTCTGCTCACCTAGAAGTCACTGTGGGAGTTTTTTTGAAGGATCAGACACGAACCATAATATCCTAAGGGTTACGCACAAGTACGCCCTCAACGGTTACACTGAGAGACTTGGGGGAGACCACTGGGCGGGACATTTGTACGCACTGCTCACAATGCCTGACGCTCAAGCAAAGACGCAATTAGCACGGCGGATAGGTGATGGGATTGTGCCTTTGATGATACAAGCATGGCATTTGGCACACAGAGTATGTCATGAGAAAGATATTTGGCTTTAGAGCCATCGCAGATTTGTCCTTTGAAAAATACAGGTAGAATAACAAGCAGTGGCAGCCATTTTGAAAATTTTGGAAAAAAGAAAGACATAATCTGACTGTGTGCCAAATGCCATGGTTTAATCATCAAAGTGAATCATCCCCCCAAATATTTCCCCTATCTGCCCCACTACATCGGTTTGTGCACATTCAGAGTAAAAATTTATCATGCCTACTTCGTGCAATATTCACGCCAACCAGTACGCGCGCGCACATGGCGTGTACCTCTACTGTTCGACTGTTCGTTCACGAAGTCCATAGAGTGCCACAGGCCCTAATTGTATAGTTGCGTTCATACGTTGTTCATCATAAATGGTTGTGTCCTTGGGCAAGCCACTTCACCCCCATTCTTGTGAATGGACAATTAGCACCCTCTACCATTCCCGCGCGGAGTCCATCCCAACACCCTCTTTGACAGATGCAGATCTTTTCAGATCACAAATTCCTTCGCCCGACTTCAAATCTTTCCATCTTGATTTGTCAAGAGGCACAACACTGACTGAGCATTTGGCCAACAGACACTGGTCGTATCTTGGCTTCAGATTGTAGGCATTGGTCCACCACGTCTGTCTGATTTTGGCATGCAGACTTCTTCCATTCTAGGCTTCACAGACCTAAGCCTCCCCTGCCACAGCTAGCACACTGTCAGCTCCACATGCGAGGCGTTCTTCTTAGTTCTTTCGTGCATCTCAAGTCTGTTTCTCTGCGCTTCTTGCGTTTCCGCTTTGTAGATGTCCATGACGATGCGCGCTTTGTCCTTGTGACGCCACTGCTTGACCCGATGGTCAGCGTCCGTGGAGTCGCGGTCATCCTCTTTGACCAGCGCAACGGTCACTTGGGGATCTTTGCTCCCTAAGGCCTCCTTGGCCCGGGCGCGGTTGTCCCTGCGTTCAGAGTTTGTGATGGCTCGGAGGTTCGTAGGCAAGTCCTGTGCAGGGTTCCCCTCAGTGGGCTGATTCCTGGAGGGGGCTTGGGGTGGGGCCTGCTCCACGTCGGATTTGGTCATGTAGTGGAAGCGGGCCCAGAGGAGGATACCGCCCAGTAATACTACCAGGACGATACCGGTGAGACAACCCAGGAGCCACATCACACCAGGACCTGAGAGGAGGGGAAGAAAGATACCAAATAGGAAAACAGTCACTCCACATGTATAGATAATTGAATTTTGGGTCGGGGAAACTCTGTACTGGGTTTTTACCTCCACCAAGTTAATTTTAATGTGTTGTTCAAGGGCGTGCAATCGTGAGTAAGTTTGTGAATTCCTCCAAGTTTGAAAATTGTTTTCTCACACACTCTCAAACAGCACTGAGTTTATTATCTTTTATGAAAACAGCCAGGAAGGGTCCATTATGACAAAGTTAATAATTAGAAAACTACTCATTCCTCGTCTTGAGCCATTTTGGGCAAGTCTTTTTAAAAGTATCAGTTTTTCTCTGGGTATTTAGGAAAAGACGGGGGCATTGGAAATAAATCTCTGGCCGGACTCACCCTGTTTGGTAGGCTCTTGCGGTGTACCCTTAGTGTGTCTGTTGACCGTTGTGATAGCCACCGTGATGGAGCTACTGGTACTCGGTTGCCTGAGGTGGTCTATGAGAGCATCCGCGATCTCCTCCGCCAGGCCACTGCCTACTCCTGATGTTTCCACCCACTGGAGTCAAGGGACAAGACCATGTCAGTTGCACAGAATTCTAAAAAGCCGGTTCATGTTCCGTTATGCAATTTACTGTGAAAATGTTCTATCCTTGGAAGTTGCGTTCACCGTGCTCTTCAACAAAACACGTTTTTTTTCTTTTCTTGGACGTCTGCAACCCTTTAAAAAAACAACATTTTTTGTTTCTGGCACAGACTGGCTCCCAGTTCGTTGTGGGGCAGGAACCAGCCTACCACGTGAGAACAGAATTGTAAAGTAATAATATCAATAACTAAACATGGGCCGACTTTTTCGGTCGATGTTTCACTCAAAAGTGAAGAACTTTTGTATTGCTAGAAAAGCAGCAATTTAGAAAAGGAATTTATTTTTCAGGATGAAACTCGAAAACAGCACGGGGAACGCAACTTTAATGGCACTGTACTGTGATTCGCTCGTTACAGACTGTCGGTGTCCGGCGGTCCTAGGCATTACAAGCTTTCAAGGCACTGCTTACCAGTGAGACATATACATCATAGTGGCCTGGTTTATCTGCTGCAGCGACAGCGCTGCACATCAGCCTCACAGCGTGTTGTCTAAAGTGGGCTTGCAGACCGGCGATCTGACGTAGGTGGCGACAAACGTGCTCCACGGACACACCCTGAATATAAAAATGAGCCAATGGTTTCTTCATCTCGTGGATTTAAAAATAAACATTTTATTTCGTATTATTTATCATTTGTTTTAATGTTGGTTGCACATCATAGGTCCTGATAATGGACAATTGAGTTGAGGGCACAAAGAAGTGTGGACAAGTGAGGATTATCTTGTAGACCACTATGTACTGTGTTGATAGTATGGTTTACCATGGTTCTTGATAAAACTTGTTCTAGAATGCCATCCTGCTTATATGAATACAACATTTAATTCATTTGCTGGACCAACAGGGCCAGTCCTCTGACTGACTGAGTCACTGACTGATTGAACAGTTGACTGACTTACCCAGTAGAAAAAATACACTAAACTGAGATTTTCTGGTCCAGCTACACTGAGCCAGCCTAGATTTATAATCTCGTGCTCTATTACCCACTCTCTCACACTTTCGTAGACTCTATTCACTTTGCCACCTAGTTACACCCACTGAATGTTATAGTTCATAAGGCTAGCACTACGAGATATTTGTCAAGTTTTTTTCCATAGCACTGCCTCTCGTTGGAACTCCCGACCTGAATCTTGCTTCCCCTTTCTACCTATAATCTTTCACAATTCAAACGAAATGGGTACAGATATCTTCTGTCACTGTGACTTCTTCCATTCTTATTCCGTTCTTTCTGGTTATAGCCCACACCTTTGAGTGGCCTTGGCTTTGGTTCTATAAACACAATTTTTAATTTACGACCAACTTACAGCTGGTAGTTTCGCCGTCTGGAATGTCAGTGTGAAGCTGGCACAGCTGCCGTCACCCTGGCAGACACTCCCCACATCCTGGCCAGGCAGGCTAGGATCCGTGGCACCCTCCCCGCCCTCACCGGTGACACATCGCCCCCAGGGCTGGCAGGGAGGGGTCAGGCAGTCGCTGGAGTCTAGCAGTTGGCAGGATTCGTCGGGGCCGCAGGCCAGCTGGGTCGTGACGGTGGTCTCGTTGGTGTACTGCTCGTAGGTCGCCATCTCTGTGCACGTTTGCGGTCCGCACCACACCTGGTCATCGAGTAAGTATGCCAATAAATATCTTGCATTGTGGAATTTTGCATCATGGGAAAGTCAATTCTACTATTGGGTTTTGCCCGTCATCAAGGTAGTTTCATAAGCACTGCAAACCCAGTGTTGTTGGAGAGCTTCCTATAGCATTTTACATTACGGTGTATCTGCAAACTTATTCTGATTGGAGCAAGTGCCAGGAAGCTGACAATTCAATGTTGAAGTCACGTTCATTATAAGTCCATCACAAGTCCGGTCCCAAGTAAATCACAAGTCCATTCACAAATCCGTTCACAATTAACCAGGGATGAACAACAACAAAGGAATGTCTTTGTCAGAGTTCATTGGAGAAGCTTATGACTTGACTTGAGACTGGAAGATTTGTGATGGACTTGTGATGGAACAGACTACAACAGTCTGACAAACACACACTGCCACATTCAGGGGACACATGCAGGAGACTGAGTACATGAATTTCTGGAAAGCTGAGGCTGTATAAGGCTGTGGAGCTCAGTGTATCGAGGCTGGAATGGCATTCCAGCGGTCGCACGCACAAATCCTGCTCCATGTGAAAGTGTAGCAATCCAGTCAATCACAAGTCCATCACAAGTTAATCGCAAGTCAATTCACAATTCAGGTCAGTAGTACCAAGAGATGAACAATGACAAAGAAATGCCTTCGTCAAAGTTCATTTGAATAGCTTGTGAGTTGAATGGGGACTGGTAGACTTGTGATGAACTTGTGATTGACTCGTGATGACTGGTGACTGACTCAATTACAGCTCTGCCAGTCAGTTTCTTTGTTCAACCTTAAAGGGTCCATGCGATGAACCTTTCTTTAGAAACACATTTTGTGCAACTTTTCTACTCTTCTGAAATGTATGCAAACTATTTGACATTCCTTTTTGGTTAATTTTATTGAAAAGTGTGCTTCTTAAAACATTTTTTAAAAATTCCATGCTTTTCAGGACAACTGAGGGCACTGCTGCTTTGATGTCATTTCAGGAAGACACTGTTCATTTGAGGGGTTTTCTGTTCACATTGTGAACCCAAAATTTGCTCATTGGAAACATTTGTGAGAAAAGTTCATTGGCTTACTGCCATGTACTGACACAACGAATCACCAAACAAAAGAAGTGTTATGATAGCAAAATATCGAAAATTCTACCAACTTTTCGTGTGGGAATAGCTGTAACATTGAGGTTTCTGTCCAGAATTTATATGGAAATTTGCATTAACATAAAAAACAAAAAGGCACCAAAATACCCTTTAAAATGGCAAAACAAAAATTTCATATCAGGTTAAATGGGACACAAAGGTGCAATTTCAAGGATAGCATCAAAAAAATTACATTGTATGGGCCCTTTAAGCTGATATAAGGAAACCCAGCCAGGTTTCCCTTTGTGTTTTTTTTTTATGGTAAGGTCATGTCCTAATTACTTGGCTACAACTGACAGCCACACACATATCTATGGGAAGTTGCTGTAGCCGCATGTGTAAATTGCAAGCCGTAGTCAAGTCATTTAGACACAGCCTTATATTGACTTTTGACATACCTTGCTGCATTGGACCAAGCCCTGCTCACAGTGGCACGTGTTGCAGTCTTCCTTCCATGATTCTCCCTGGCTGTAGACCCGTCTGTCAACCACACAGGTTGGCACCATGCCAATCACTGAGGAAAGACGAGATCAATGTAAGAAAGGGTAATTAATTAGCCTTTTTGGACACAATAGGAGGCCGCTATCTGGAATTGGTCAACTTTGGTTGATACAAAAACATTCATTCACTCCTAACAGCGCCATTTTACTGTGTCCACCATTCCCCAAAGGAAACAAACCCTCATTGTCGATTTCTAATCAGCGCACAACTGAGGCGTATCTTTACCTGCTGAGCAGGTTGCACCACTACGGCCAGGCGGGCATACGCAGGTATAGGATCCTATGCCATCGACGCAGGTACTGCCGTAAGCACAGGGGTTAGATGCACACTCATTCAAGTCTGTAAAGGAGGACGAAAACAAAGGTCACTATGAGACAGTTGTCATCAAGTCATCACAAGTCAATCACAAGGATCGTAAGCTTATCACAAATGATCATAAGCTTTAGCTTATCACATGGTGGTCACAAGTCATCACAAGTCAATCACATGTCATCGCAAGGTGATCATAAGTCAACCACAAGTCGTCACAATTCATCACAAGTCATCACAAGGTGATCATAAGTCTATCACAAGTCATCACAAGTTAATCATGAGTCAATCACAAGTCACCAAGTCTCAAGTCAAGTCACATGATATTCAAATGAACTCCGACAAAGACATATCTATGCTCCTCCTCCGACGCTTCACCTGAGTTGTGACTGAAGCTGTTTTACTAAGTACATCAGACTCGGCTACAACTACAGACATCACAACATCAGAAGGGATGATGGGAATGTGTAGGGACAAATCAGGGAAGAGTCTGAGATTTAAGGCAGCTAGCCAATTTGGATATTTCTACTCCCATAGTCGGGGTCCAATTTTGTTCAACTACATCAAAGAAGAAAATGCCAAAAAGCACATGAATCCGTTGAGTTAGAAACCTGCAGATGTAAAACAATCCACATGCCACATACTTCACAAATAAATTTGGCTTTAAAACATATCTCTTTTCAGCAAATTCCAGAGCTGACCGAGTAAAACTGACCAAATCAGTCCATATGAAATCAAGCCTCTGTTGAGGCACTGGACCCTATAAGGAGTTTTGAGGTGGACATGATCAGGAATCAAATACAAATTTCAACATAAGAAGTCTGTTTAGCTGGACTAGGCATACCAACATGAGTAAAGCCGCGCGTGAGGCTCACTTGACTACGGCTCACAGTGACACATGTGCCTATGGGAAATAGCTTTAGCCACTTCCATAGGTGCATGTGTTATTGCAAGTAGCCAAGTAATTTGAAATGTGGCCTTATTGACTTACTTATACGGCAGTCAGGTCCAGTGAAGCCGTCAGCACACTGGCACAGGAACCAGTTGATACCATCAATGCAGCGCCCTCCATTGAAGCAGGGGTTACGGTTACAGTCATCAGTGTCTGCAACAAAGAAAAATCACCCAAACGTTTTTGTGTCAAAATAATTAACTCAAATTCTTGTCGACCTGGAAGTCCACAGACTTGTACTGACGTCATGGGTCATTCTATAAATTTTGTGTCCAAAGTGTGACATCTTTTTCCCTGTCCCCATTACCTCTCAACTTTTTAAAATTTGCCATTCAAGTATCATTAAGAATGAAGTCAAACTAATTTTCATTTGTTAGTTAGGTCGTCTGGTTCAAATAATAACTCTTGGAGGAAGATTTCATTCAGGAGTGCATCTAGAATTACAAAATTATAGATGTCAGATGTAACAGGGACAGGAAAAGAGTGAACCCTGAATTTATCGAATGAACCAAATGTGAACTTGGCTTATCCTGTCTTGACGCGTCCAATCAAGGAATCAATTTTCTAGTAAGATTTACATGTTCTGCACGTGAAGTCTGGATACCCCACGTGACAATGGCAGACTATTTGAAGCGTTACATGTATTTACTCTCAAATCTTTGTACAAACTTAGGTCCTTTGAAGCAGAAGTACAGTTTATAAATTCACAAAATTTTCACAGCTAACATTATGTACCAATTTTTTGGGTTTTTTTGGGGGGGGGGGCAAACATACATTAGCCTAAATATGTCTGCTTTGGAGAAATGTTTTTAAAAATCGGTGAAATACTCACTCTTTTCACAGAGCCGGCCTTCAAATCCTTCCCGGCAGACACAGATGAAGGAATCCCCGCTAGGAATACACGTGGCTCCATTATGGCACTGGTTGGCACCGCACCGGTTACTGGTCGCTAGGGTAATATGCAAATGAGAATGGATGGGTAATTTTTTGCCAACTATGCCAACTCTGAAACACAGAACGTAAGTTAGGGAAGCGTTTCAACAGAACGGAAAAACAGCTTGCAAGTCTCACAGAGACCCCCTTTAATGGCGAAAGCATTGTGCTAGCTATTGTTCAGATAATCCATCACGGGGTAGTTGCTTTGTACAATAGCTGGGACAATGCTTTCGCCATTGAAGGGGGCCTCAGTGAATGTTATACAAATATTGAGTGGCTCAGAGTGGAATGGGAGGAATATTATCGCAAGGTAAATCTGGACTTCTCAAAGCCACTCAATATTTGTTTTATGCATATAGATCCTTGTCATTTGACTTACAGTTGAAATGAACTTCCATTTCAATACAAAATTGGGGGGAAATGTATTTCTCTCTTCTAAACCACCAATTATGTTTGAACCAAACTCTATAGCTACTGGCTCTTGGGAACAATACGCGCTATGCGCTATGCGCAACGCTCAACGCGCACACCAGCATGCATTTGCACATGGAACAAGGATGATCCTAACTGTTGAATAGTAAACCCAATTCACCATGGGCGAATGGCACTTTTTGAGCCCCGGCGTGAATGGGAGCAATAATGAATGTCACGTGATGCGAGTTCCACCAATCAAATGACAAGGATCTTTATGTCAGTTATATAAACAGTGATAGTGTGCTCTCACACAACCTAGGAACTACTGCTTTTCCTTCTACTGTTACAAAGTGTGTCAATGCTTGACTATGTACAAGTAGGTTTCCTGACACTCTTTTATGCAAGAAGTTGGAAAGATATCCGTCCACTTTCTTTAAAGCTAGAGTAGTTCATTTGCAGCTATCCAAAAAGTAAGTGACAAAATGTTTGTTGAACAGCATACTTGGTTTAAAGATAATAATGGCACTAAACTCCCGGTGATATTATTCTGTTTGCCATGCTGTCATTTGGAAGAAAACAATAAAAGAAGGCCATTTCCAAAGATGAGTCAAGTGATGCATTTTTGGAAATTTCTGTTAGTAGTTGGTTTGTAATTTGGCGAAAATCCCTGAATGGGTGCGCGCAAACATTGACGCGATGCACATGCGTGTCCAGTTGCCTTTATTTGTTGGTTTAGTGCATGGCATCGCATAGCTGCAATCTGCTGAATGAGAACGTATTCCAGATGCTGATTTTGGGCGCAATTCAAAACATGACCAGGCAACTTTTGAATTGAAATCGAGATCTTAGAATATTGTTTTCTTGGAATATACAGCATTCACAGAGCTAATAAAACTTCATCAGGTTAGTTGTTAAGCACCCGTCTTTAGATTTTGAGCACAAATGATCTACCCTCCCTTTAAGTACACCCCCCCAAAAAAAAAAAAATACAGAACCGAATTGGTAATAGTGAGTAAAGTACCATGCAATATTAAGGCAAATAAAGTTAAACTCAATCTAACCGTGTTGAATTGACTAAACATATCAACTTAAATATTGATCACACTTTCAAAATTACTTTCCAGTGACTGCATCTAATCCTCAAATGGGTATAAATGTAATCAACTCATTGATCCAGCTTTATAACGATCAATTACTTGAAGAAACACTCCAGTCCACTCAAGATAATCTGCCAATACCTTCCAATTCTGTTCTCTAAGCTGTGTGTATTTAATCACAGCTTAACAGATAATCCCTTTCAACTGTATATTGATCCAGGTGATGTCTAATCCCAGATTATCCTCACTAAGTGGATTAACTGTTAACTGTTGGTGGTTAGGCCTCACACTTCCCACAATGGGCGGTGTTTGGATGGTAGCTCTTGGTTGGCTAAGGTCACAATGTACAATTGATTGCATTTGTTTTGCTCAGGGGAAGTTTGTTGTCAAAATATTGGATCAGACACAAGACAAGGAGTGGAAAGGGTTTAACGTGAGCTCTGTGGGAAAATACTGGGGAAACTGGAAAGATGGGATATCCTGATGTAAACTAACATTTGAGAAAAGATACAACTAACAATGGTTTATTTGGAATTTGTGACGAAACTGAAGAGATTTTTGAAACTTTTCTTTTGTTTGGAGGGGGGTGTTAGCTTTTTTTTCCTGTTGTTTGTTTGTGTGTTTGTTTGTTTGTTTGTTTGTTTGTTTGTTTTTTGTCCCCCCCCCCACCTAGTATGCTCAAATTGTTATTTTCTGCCTTCAAGAACACAAAACAATGGAGTCTTTGCCAGACTTAAAGTTGTCTGAATTGACTGCAGAATTTTTACAGGACAACCAGACGTCTAGAGGTAGGGCCTTTAATTTCTCCTGCTTTTTTAACCAGGTAAGTGATGTAGCGCAAATGGGTCTGGTGAAATTGAACCATGGAGAGAGGGCAGGGTGAGCACCTGGTAATGGTTCAAGGTGTATAAAACTGGTATTTGGGGAATGCTTCATAGTTAAGAAGTCTTGTGGGTTAGAACTGAAAGTTTGGGAATCCAAGGGATGTCAAGCCCATCAATAAGTCAGATGGAATATAAAGTTACAAGTGACATGTGTAGCTGTCAGTGGGCTGACAGGGTGTTTTGAGATATGTACAATTTTTTTTCGTGAAAACGAAATGCAGAGCAACAACAATGTTGTAAATAATCCAGAACACAATAGTCTAAATTTGAAGAATCAAAAAAATAAAAGACTCTAAACACTAATGATCTTTATCTTCTTCTTTTTTGGGGGGGGGGGGAAGAGGGAACACTGCATCTGATTCTGCAGGTATCATCCAAAGACATCCTGGGTCTCGGCATTTAGCCTCCTCAAATCTGATTGGTCAACTTACAGAGTTGGCAGGAGTTTCCTTCCCAGCCATTGGCGCAGACACAGGTGAAGGAGTGGCCTAAGTCGTAGCACGTACCACCGTTGAGACATGTGTTGACATCGCACTGATTGTCTCCTATGATAACCGAGGAAATAAAAAGATTCATTACAAACAAGCAAAAATTTAAAAGTCTTTTGCATAAGGTCTACAAATTTCTTGATTTCACACCTTAAATTCATAGAAATGTTGATTTAGGAAAAAGTTTTCTCTGATCCTAATTTCAAATCAAACTCCAAGTTCTTGCTATAGACCTTTATCATGCTGCAACCATTCCAGTCATGTTCCCTGTATCCAATAAGAGTACTGAATGATGTTTTTTAGTGCGAAAAGGAACCAGACTATTTTTCCTTCCAGCCTCGCTTTGATTACGTTGATTAAGAACCAACCTGAACACAACAAAACCTCCAACTCCAAATCCTTAACAAAATGTTAAAAACTAATATTTTTTTTTACTGGATATAACTACTGAATGAGACATGTTTTCCTGATTTGTTTATCTTGTTACATAAAAAAAAATTCTTGACAATTTTCAAAGTCTTTTACTCAATATTACAGGGGAATTCTTTTGCTGTTTCAAAGGGAGCAAACATGGAATATATAGTTTCCATAAATTCTGAAGCAATGGTTTGAGTAACAGTTACGGCTGATTCACACTTGTCTCAATGGATACTGGAAAATTATAACTTTGTCATGTGAAAGCATGCAAATGCAAACTTGCCTGCGATTGTAAAATAAACAATCCCCATTCACAAACTGTTTCTCAAACCTTGGAAGTTTCTTTGGCATCTTGTGACAAGTTTGAATTACTTACAGCGGAGAGAATTTCACATTTACTTGCAAAGAACCAAGAAAGCAAAAAGGCCCACATATCTGAGAGATGAACTTACGTGAGTTGCATGTCTTGCCTTTCCATCCGTGGGGGCACTGGCAGGCAAAGTCAGCGTGCATGTCTACACACGTTGCGTTGTTCCTGCACGGTGACGGCCCGCAGTCATCCACGTCTACAGAAATGGAACAAAAATCAAATAATTCCCAAAGAAAAAATGAGTAAATGCATAAATGATCATACAGTTGAACAAAGCAAATGACAAGAGCAGCGTTTTGAACCTGATCTCTAGGTGGCGGGCTTCAAATCCAACTTTATAATTGAAATGGAAAAACAAATCTTTATAAATTGAAATGAAAAAAGGGGAAACCACATCACACTAGTGTTGTTGTTGAATCTATTATAAGTCCTCCAGTACTAAGTCAACTCAGGGGCTGTTCAAATGAACTGGGACAAAGGCATTCCTTTGTTATTCCTCTATTACTTGTGACTGGACTTGTGGATGGACATGTGATGGAATTGCAATTTACTTGCGGCTGTACTTGTGATTGACTTGTGACTGGACTTGTGATTGACTTGTGACTGAACTTGTGATGGACTTGTAGATGGACTTGTGATTGACTTGTGACTGGACTTGTGATTGACTTGTGACTGGACTTGTGATCGTATTGTGACTGCACTTGTGCTGGACTTGTGATGGATTCGACTACAACACTGGGCCACCCACAAATCAATGCAGCTGACTCTGAAGAGCACATTTAGAAATGTTTTTGCTACTTCCATTTCATGCTGGGTGAAATAATAATTAGTCTGTTTGTAGGACATCAGTTTGCTCATAATTGTTGCCGTCTTGGCCTGTATGCATGTTTTCCATTTGATGTAAATTTGTCAGGGTGCACATTCAATTAGCACCTGTGCTATTTTTAAGCACCTCTTTAAAAACTGTATTTGGTCTTATCATTGTGCAGGCTGCAAATTGGTTAACAAAGGCTATGCCAAGCCAAAATAAAAAAACAACAATATCCTCCACTTCTGAAAATCTTTCATAAAAAAATTTGTTTCAAACCTTCCTTGGGCAATTCTGAATAAACAAAAAACCAAACTGTGACAAGATCAACAAAACTTGGACCGTGGCCCGATAGTTCCCGACTTCCTATTTATCAACATAGTAAACCAACCCCTATGATGACGGACCAAAGCCTAACATTTCAAAGGCAGACCGAGATTCAGTCGACAAAAAAATTGGTCTCCATTGAAAGACACAAATCTTTAGGTATCCTTTAGGGACAGAAATGTCCACTCTCGACCCAATTTCGGAGTTATAGCTACTTTCTTGGGACATTTTTTGACGGCAATGATGGCGAGGGATTTCAGCGCTGAATCAACTAATGTATCCAGTAACAAAACCCTGTAAAACCGATAAACAGTGGTGTGGGGAGTCGTGGGACCCAAATTAAGGAATTCTTGAGGGCATTGACTGAGTGAGGAGTTGGCAGCTTTTAGGAAACTTGAATCTGCTGAAGATTTATTGGTGATGAAGAAAAAAATGATGGGGAAAAAACTCTGGGAAAAAAACTCTGGCCAAGTTTATGACCAGAGCCAAAGTTTAAATACGCAGTAATTCAGGGTTTTTTTAAGAGATTAGAAAGTGGAGGAAACAAACAGTTTGTGGGGGAAAAAGGTCAGGTTGGTTCAGAGGATTGGAATTACTTTGAAATACTTTCAAATGATCAATATTAAAGATATACTGTCCATACTTCTGGGCATGGCACCCCAAAGAAATCAATTTTCCAAAACAAAATGTACCAGCACCTAGCATGTATGACCGGCGCAATGAGACAACTTGAATGGGAAAAAAGCCATTCACGGCAGATAACGGATCAAATAAGTTCCAAATTTTAATATTTGAGTGTTCTCAAAGTAATTTTTTTTTTTACACGATTTCAAATCTTGATGTGATGTTCAAAATGAAAAACAATGCCTCTCGAAGAACAAACAGAGTACAAAATGTCTTTTGTGTTTGTAATTTTCTGTTCAAATATTCAGTTTTCTTCACTAACTTTAGCAGATAGAGATTTATTCTAGGGATTTATTTCGCATAAGAGCATGGATAATATGTGGCCCAACCCAACAAACTGAGTTTTGAAGTTCTCAGAGCAACCTTCGAGTTTTAATCTCTTAAACAATTCTTCCAAAATGGAGATTGATTGGGATTATAACCCATAGAAGCCTTCAAATAATCAAATCATGAAAATATAAAGTTGAGTAGGCCTTTGCTCTTTCTTATGGATATGGAAAACTAAGGGAAATATGTGTCTTTACAATTAGTCTCAGGACTTGGCAACAAGTAGGCTTTTGAGAAAATTTTGTGGATTTATGGAATTGCTGTTTGGGGAAAGCTGCCAAATATCCATTAAGTTTTTTTTGTCCCTCAAACTTCCTCTCTATCTCTGGAACTCGCTATCTTCCCCTTCTACCTATAAACCTTCACAATTCCAAAGGAATGTGAAAAGATGTCTTCCATGGTTCTTTTCAGTTCTTTTTAATTTGCAGCCCACACCTTGAGTAGCCATTTGCCTTGTGTTTGGGACTTTGGTGATATACCTTGTTGTCTTCACAAATAAGTCTTTGCTCGAATGAAGAGTTTATCTTTCTGACAATGAAATAGTTTGCACACTTCATCATGCCATCTTGCATCTCACAAGTCACAGTTCTATGAAAATTTCACAGCAAAGCTGTGGTTCAGATGACTAACTTCTCTTTAAATTCCAAAGTGACAGTATCTTGTTTCAACAGCTCTTCATTTCAATAACTACTGTACAAAGAAGTGCAACAACAGGAATTTGGACTAACTTTAGCATTTGATAAAAAAAAACACCAACGATTCAGAATCTGGGCTAAAACGCATAAAGGAAAATCACACTATAATTCCTTGCACCCACATGCTTCGTATGCAAATTATGGAACTTTAGATCAATGGTACAAAGGTCATATGCAAATTACATGCAAATCACAATATAAATGTAATCAAAGGTCGAAGGTTGAGAAGTATATATACTGACTGTGTTGGCATATGGTGCCCTCCCATCCCTCGGCACAGATACATCTGAATGAGTCCAGGCCGTCCACGCATACGCCTTCATTCTGACAGGGATCGCTCTCGCAGTCGTTGATATCTGACAGGAAAAAACAAGGAAAACAACAAATAAGTGAATACTGAGAAAGTTTGGGAGGAAAAAGCATCAGACACAAGTTACTGGAATTCACAACAACAAAACCCGGCGTACAAAACGTTCATCTACATGTACAACTATGGTTTAGGCCAATATTTTTGAAACAGGAGACACCCATCTGCAGTGATGTATTAACCCATCGCAAGTCCTTGTAAGTCCATCACTAGTCCTTCAGTCTCAAGTCGAGTTCCAAGCCATTCAAATGAACTGTTACAAAAGCATTCCTTTGTCACCGTTCATTCCTGTTACTTGTGGACTTGTGATGGACTTAACTATGAACACTTGAGCTTTCATTTTAATATGAGCTTTCATTTTAAGGAGTATTTTTTATTCATAGTTTATGCAACAGAAACAAAAGTAAAACAATTACAAAAATAAAACAATCAGCTCTGGCAGTAACATGTTGTTTATATTGTAATTTCTTCAATCAACCAACAGTGACTATAATACTGTAATTAATTTCATGCCTTTAAAGGGAATATACATCGTTTGCTTTTGCTGAAATTTTCAGAAATGGATGGAATTGGGGGGTTGGAAATATAAGGCAAATATAGTTACACTGACTTTTTTGAGGTTTGGGGTTCGAAAATGCTATAAAAACCAAGAAAAACGACCATTTTCCTGTAGTCTGGTTCCCTGACTCCATAAAAGAAGAAACAGAGCAGTTTACATACATTGGGGAATTGTAAGGTCAGGGAACCAGTCTAGCTGGCTCGTACCCGTTCATAGGTTTGTAATCGATTGCAAACAAGTGCGATGGTCAATTGGGGCCAGTTTTTTAAAAAAAAAGCCAGTTGTTTCCAACGCTGATCGGCCGATCAGCGTTGGAAATAGATACAAAAATACCACTTTTCTTAAAAATGACAGTATACCAGGTGCCATGATTTTACAGGATGCTTTACACTGTCATTCACTAACAGTCCAGCAAGGTATTTCAAAATGATTTGGTAGTTTTATTTTTTGATGTTTGCAAATGTTGTGTTTTCCCTTTAAGTTGTACAGGAACTGTTCCAAAAGGTCCAATTAATTTTATAATTTTTCCAGAGATGTTTGAGGGACAGTCCCATGTTAGAGAATCTTTAAAACTTAGATATTATATGCAATGCATAAAAATCAGATTTCACACCAATTTAAAAAGAAATTCGATTCATTTGTTTATCAAATTTTCACTTCCTTGATGCTTAAAGTGAGGTACCCTTAAATTGAAAAGAAACCCCAAAAAGAGAAAAATTATATCCCTAATGGCGCAGCCTGAGTAGGCACCACATTGCCTTTAATCAAGTCTTGAAGTACCTCTGACCTTAATTTGACCTAATACCATGACATCACCATCAAATAAGGTTAATCAATTCATCCTCAAGAAAAAAATACAAACAAAAACACAACAACAGCAGACACCTTATTCAATTTGGATCTGTAACGAGCAGCATCGCACCTAACCTTCAAATTCAAATTCCCTGTCATCATGCCAATTACTGCATATCATGTACACCACTCATTCCACTCAGACAAAGAAAAAAATACCTTGGCAACTCCACACGCCATTCAGTGGTCTGAGACAATACACCACCACCTGTGCAGGTTCCCACATTACTATTCAAAACCCAAACGGGCAAAGCCGGGGCCTAAGACCCAACGGTACGAAGCTTCATTATTAATTACAGCTTTTGGTGCATTTGTTCAGCTCCCGGTATGCATTTTGTAATCGGCCACACGTTTTTGAACTTTATCTGGCCTCGCCTGACTCCAGAACTGCACTCGAGTCCAATTATCGACTGATGTATGTTTTCTCCTACTTTTTTATTCATGGCGTCGATGAATCGTTCAACAAATATGCCAGACAGGGTTTTAATGGTATGGATTAGTCATATATAAACTGAAACCCCTTTTTTTTTTGGTGTATTTTTCCCCCAAAATTCCAAGAACAAATCAAATATTCTATACTCCTTAAATATGCCAGACAGGGTTTAGAAATAGTTAGTCATATATACAGGGTGAGTAAAAAACAAACAAAAAACACCCAAACGGCAGGACCAATGTTTTGAATGAAGTTTTGCCTGTAGCACTTTCAAAATCTAGGATATGAAAGCCCAGCCATTAAACTTGTTTTAGTACAAGAATCATTGAAATCACTCATGTACTTTTCAAGTTATGGAATTTTGAACACAAACACTGTTTTAAAATTCTGTCCACGGATCACAAAAAAGGTGAACGTTCTTTCAGCAAAACAGAAACAATTCACATCCATCCCTATGAGAATTGTTTTCGTTTTGCTGAAAGAACACTTACTTTTTTTTGTCATCCGTGGACAGAACTTTAAAACGGTGTTGTGTTCAAAATTCCGTAACTTGAAAAGTACATGAGTGATTTGAATGATTCTTGTACTAAAACAAGCTTAATGACTGGGCTTTCATATCCTAGATTATGAAAGTGCTACAGGCAAAACTTCATTCAAAACTTGGTCCTACCATTTGGGTTTCGGTTTCTTTTACTCACACTGTATAGTGAAACACTTTTTGGGTGCATTTCCCCAAAAACTCCAAGAACAAATCTAATAATCTGAATTCCTTAAACATGCCCAACAAGAGTTGAGATGGTACTGATTAGTCAAATACACTAAGCCACTTTTTTTGGCGCAGTTTTCCCCAAAATATTAAGAACATGTCAAATATTTCTTATTCCTTCTTTTCAATACTATTTCCTTTAGTGAATTCAAAACTATTTCATTGACTGTTTCACATTTCTGGGTTTTATTTTTTAAAGAAAACTCTACATTAAACCACAACTATGATCCACAATGAAACACATAAACTTTACCACAGTGGTTGATTAGTAGTGCTGAATTACACAAATACAAGTTATTTTTTTAAATTTAGGAAAGAGACCCCATGTTTTCAAAGCATGTCTTTTAACTGTACCTCTGTGCTACATGCTTTGTTTCCTTGCATATGAACGATTATCAATTAAATGCCAAGTAAACTGCTACTTTCAACTAAAAGCTGTATTTATTTTTATTTTTCTGGGGGGGGGTGTTTTTGTCGTAAATTTGTTTCTGGGGAGTCACTGTTTTCGTTTCATATTTCAAGAGTACAGTACTATGAGCAGATCAAATAAAACTATCAGGTCAAACATTCATTCATAAAAATGAAGAAAGAAAAAAATACTATACATTGAGTGCTCAACATTTTATTACACAAGGGTCATTATTACACAAGATGGCTTAAGCCAATTATGATGTACATTACCAGACTTAATAAAAAATGACCCATACATAATGGATATTAATTCTTCAGAAAGCCAAACAATTGGGATTTGTAATTAAAACATGACTGGACATTGCTGACTGCAGTACAGAATTGACAGCTGTTGATTGATATTAACACAGCCAACCATATTGTCCTTTATAGTCTATCTTGACCAGATGTTTTCATTGTTGGTGGATGATTCTTTTGTTTCTTCATACACGTTTGTGTGACACACAAATATTGACGACCACAATGGAGACATACTTGTGTGGATACATTAGTCGACTTTTCATATGACATTTCGTCAATTAAATTGTGGTTTTGAGGAAGTTGTGAGGAATACTGATCAGTACTGAGTGTACAATGGATGAAGCAAGACATCATTTTTGGACATTCATTCTGTATTAAATTGCAATATCTTCACTACTCTAACTTCTTAACATTTTGTATTTATTTATTATTAGACTGTTTATTTTTTTGGGTTGTTTATTTAAACTTTTTTTTTTATCACTGCAGACCAAGTTTTGTCTGGAAAGGTAGTGCCTGCAGCCCTTGCATTTAAAAAATGATTGTAAAAAAAAATACACTTCTGATGTTTTCCATAAACTGAAAATAATGAATAAATCTGAATAATGTCCTAGCCATAACTGGCACTTTGGGATAAAGAACTGAGTACTACAGAATCCTTTGAGTGTTGTGCACACTTATATGGTGAAGTATTTCATACTACAGTTTACTAGTAGTAGTATTTTGTAGCTTTAGGTGAGGTTAGGGTTAAAAAAAAATTAAATATATGCTCAGTCTTATAAAGTAAAAAATGCATTTTTGTGTTCAAATTTTCAGATTTGAAAAAAACAACAGACAACAATACAGTACATCTGCAGTGTCTACATGAAGGTATGAATTCAACCAAGGTTTATCCATAACACAGTGTCACTTAAAATTTAAAGGCGTTTTGAAATTAGGAAAAAACTTCCACTATTTATCATTTTGTTTATTAGGGTTTTGTATAGGCCCATGACATCTAAATAAATCTAACAATCAAGAATTTATTTCAAGAATACATTAATATATACTTTTAATGGGTGGAATGGGTCTTAACAAATTTATCAATAATTCAAATTTGAAAAGTAAAATTCAATAACTAAACATGGCCCGGGATGAAACTAAAATAGCATAAGGAATGCACATTTAAAGTAGGTGAGTAAAGCGAGTAAAAAAAAAATGAGGAATTTGCTTACTTTCGTGACAGTAGATGCCCATGTAGCCAGGGTCACAGATGCAAGCAAAGCGGTCCGCTCCCTGACTCAGGCAGGTTCCATGAGGCCCGCAGACACTCGACGGAACCACTGAGATGCCACCCTCTCTCTCATTGGCCGGTAGAACTACTGTACAACTATCCACGACTGTGAAGAACAAAATAAACCAAAAAACTAAAAACTAAACTAGAAATCTGGTCATGTGTAAAAAATACAGCCCAATTTTATGCCTCTGTTTTCTATCCACAACAAATCTCTAGAAAGTTTGACTTGTACACATGCGGACAACCTGAACCAAGGGTTTAGAGCGGAATTTCTGCAGCAGAGCTGTCATACCACTTTGAAATTGGTTTTTCATATTCCAACTTGAGCTTGACATTTTTCAAAAATGTATAAACAAAATTGAAATGAAAGCTTGCTTCCATTTTGAGTGGTATCATATACAGACTTTTAAGTAATTAATAAAACTTGGGTTTATGCCAAGTACAACACATGCAACAGAACAATGCCACACAACACAAACAAAAAGCATGTGATCCTAATGTTGGCACGGAAACAAAGTCACACAAATTGAAACAATTAATCTTTATTTAAACAATACCTTGGCATTGTGGTCCGTGGCAAATCTGCTTGGGCTGGGAACAGTTTTTTCCCTGGTATCCGTCCGGACAAGCGCAGTAGTAGTCTCCGAGCAGGTTGAAGCACTGGGAGTCATGGCGACAGGGATTGGGGTCGCACAGGTCAACGTCAATCTGAAAATGAGGCAATTTTTAAACAGACCAATAAACAAAATTGACCACAGGGGGGGGGGGGGACTGGTTGACAGAATCATTGTCAGTATTAAAATTAAATTCATGTACATTACTTGGCCTTTACATTATTAAATTTACCTTCAATTCATTTACTTGGCAGTTATAGACAATACAGGATATTTTGCGTTTATCCCAAAAGTTACCTACCAAATTATTATCAACAATAATTCGGTCTGGCTTGCTGTCATTTAGGAGAAATCAAGAAATGTAGGTGATTTCCAACGATCCGTCAATTGACTGATTTTTGGAAGTCAAGAGTTACATAAACAAAATCGTGTTTCCTGATCAAAAGGTTGTGCACTGTTTTCAACCGTTTTCTGGAAAAGTGCAATATCCACCGAGCTGAAACTTCAACAGGCTGTGAACATTCTTCTCTGGCATTTGTGAGGTTTTATTGTTGGAAACGAACAAAATACATGAAAAGCAAATGATCCTATGCCTTTGATTCAGGTACTAGACCTTTCATCCACACATTTGACCTTCAATTCATGAACTTGGGTTCATTTTTTTTTTCTTGAAAAATCAAACCCACCTGACAGTTAGTCCCTGAGTATCCTGGTGCACATTTACACTGGTAACCGGCGACCTGGTCGATGCATTCTCCACCATGCTCGCAAGGGCTGCTGCCGCACTCGTCAATGTTGATTTCGCATTCGATGCCGGTGAATCCCGGCAGACAGACACAGGAGAAGGAATTCACCAAATCCTGACAACAACAGAAACGCAAAGGTATGAAAAAAGGGTTCTGACAACATGTTTAACAGAAAGAGTTGATGGAGGTTACTAGGATCGAAACGTCAACAACAACAAAACTTACTATCAAACAGATTAAAGCGGTAACATATTTAATGGCATATAGGATCATTTGTAATTGTCGTAATTTCATAAAGGACCAATTTAAGGGGTATTAATTTATAGCAGATATCGTGCCACTGAGCTCAAGCTGTGCTTATCAGTATATACCAGTTATTTGCCATTAACTATGTACATGTATTTTCCATTGGTAAACTGAATTGTATCGAATTTTTATTTAAGTTGGACAAAGAAATTGACCGGAGCGGGGTTTGAACCTCCAACCTTCGGACTGCCGTTCCAGCACGCTACCAACTGAGCTATCCAGCCCACTATGGCGGTTCCCCATTATAATGCACCTAGTCAGTTTCACTTTGTAATTTACTTGGAAAAACTGAATTTTATTTCATAACAGAAAAAGGTTTATCTGTGAAAACTGCAGAACAGGATAAAATTATAGTCAGACATCAGATATTTTCTAACTTTTACCACATTTTGTTCAAAAACAACTATCACAAAATAGTGCATTCTAAGTTACGGAAACGATTTAAAATTTGCATGCGACAGTTCAAAATTGGTTGCGCTTGTTTATTTTGTAAATTTATTTTTCATGTTTTTTTCCACCCTCTGCAAAAGAATGCACATTAATGTGAATGTTCGCAAGCTCAGAATTAAAAAAGAAACTATAAATAACAGAAAAATGGCCATAATACTCAATTTGACCCTACCAGTAAAACTTAATGAAGTATCAACCAAACAAAATAATAAAAACCGATCTTTATAAACGCTAAAAATATGCAGCGTGTATTTGAAATAACAGCTGTAATCCTTTTTCAGTTATTCATCTTCAGTACTTTAAATTTCCAATGACAACAATGTATTCTACTTTGCATATTATGAATCCCAAGGCCAAATATAGGAGATGATGAAATAGCTGCTGGTAGAGGATTGACATATACATGTAGAGCACTGTGCTCCCGCACAGATGACCGCGTTGTGCAAACGAACATAAAACTGTAATTGCCATAACATTCCAACTGTGCAGTGTGTTGAATACATAGGAGAAACAACATGACCTGCATGCGCATTGGTTTGTGCACGTGGTCTTTTAAACTCCCGCTGACTTGCCGTAGAAAAAGATCTTATGCTGCAAACTAACTTGTCTTCTTTTGCTCTATGGACGCAGCACAATTACACGGCTAGGACTTGCAATTACACATGCTCCTATGGAAGCCGCTGCAGCCACTTCCCATAGACATGTGTGTTACTGCATGGCAGCCATAGCCAATATTCTGACACAGCCTGTGCTACTGATATCACCAACTGCTAATACACAAATGCTGGACTCAGTTTTATTATTTACAGACTCTTCTAACCAACACATAAATGTTGTGGGACAAAACAGGGACTATCGAAGCCGTGCAAAGTCTCAGGATATCTTTTGTAACAAGGGAAATAGGACAGATTTGAAGCACCTACACGTAAGCCCTCCCGAAATAATTTTATTATTTTCTCCACTGGGGTTTTTAATGCTGTATGATTGTTAAATATATTACTCTGATAAACAATCAAAACAAATAGCTCCATGCCCAGAATTTCCATGTGTCTTTATGTACACAATATCTTTGTTTTTATGAAATGAGTCTTTTGTTTAAGCCTTAGGAGTTTCCAGGAATACCCCATTTTCAATTAAAATATTTTTCTTGTAATTGGGTCATTCCATACATTTTGGGTCCAAAAGTGTGACATTTTTGGGGTTCCAGTTACACCTGATCTGTGTAATTTGCCATGCAAGTACCGGAATCATTACAATTGACTTCACACTATTTTTATTTTTGGCAGGTACTTTGCTTGACATAATCACTCTTGGAGATAGAAGGCATTGAAGAATGGGTCCTGAATTACACAATCTTATACATGTCAGATTTAACAGGGACACACAAAATTGGACTCAAAATTTATGGAATGACCCAATAAAAAGGGGCACTAGGACCTGAAATCCCAGAAAATGTCACCTTTTGGATTGTTTACTTGTCTAATTTTAAATAGCTTGTTGAAAGGAAACTAACCTAATGTCGTACTGTTCCTGAGAAAAGATGGAAAAACCCGGTTGTTTACATTGGACACAACGGAGTACGAGTACACTTTTCCCGTCGTTCTCAGTCAATGCACAATATATACACGTTGTGTGTGTCTTTCAGCACCGTGCTCGCAAACAGCAGTGACCAATCACCAATGCACAAAATATGGTTTCCTACACGTCCGCAAAAGGTGAACACTTTACGGATGAAATCACAAATAGCACCCAAACAGCAAAAGTGGACCCCGAAAGTCGTTCTCTCACGCATAATACAGGAATAACACTAAAACGCCCAGTTTTTAAAGGATAGTTGCGTGGATGTTTATATCCTACTTTTAAATGTTTTTTTCCGATTAACATCATTTCATTCAAAGCATGTTTTGTAGCCCAGTTTGGTTGTTCCAGGACGCAGTGTCCCTTTAAGAACAAAGCAATCAATTTAGAAACACAGTAAATTTTGATATCCCTATCAAATGCAAGCTACAAATCTGCCATAGGAGAATACTTCTTGCATAGGATACATATTTCATCAGCATCAAATGTGCATTTTTTCCTGCTGTTGATGTTGTTTTGTGTTATTCAAATTTATGACTCAATTTCTTACCAGGCAGGTTGCTCCGTTTATGCAGTGACCCACGCAATCATTCACATCTGCGGATAAAAAAAAAACGGGGAAAATTATTAGGGAAAGATTTAATTAACATCGAAACCGAGTGGAAATTCAGGTGGTATGGCATTTAGTGTGGTTTAATTATTGTAAGCGTTTGACAAGGGCCAGTGACAAGTTTACCAGAAACTAGGTCAAGACAGGAATATGACAATAATGGCTCGTTCTATAAATTTGGGATCCACTTTTTTTGTCCCTGTCCCTGTTACATCTGACATCTAATTCTAACTCCTTAATGCAGTCGTCCTCCATGAGTGATTATGAATAGCAAAATACCTACCCAACAAATAAAAATGAAGTCGTTCTTAATGATCCCTGAATGACAAATTACAAAGTACCAAGGTAACAGGGACAGGAAAAACGTCACACTTTGGACCCTTCATTTATAGAATGACCCTAATGGAACGAGTACACTACTGGTAGTGGTTCTCAAACTCAACTTAACTTTGGTTATGGGTTCGAGTCTAACTCAAGTAAGCTTGTGAATTTGTTTCTTTAAGATCTCAGAAAGCACTAGACATACAGTGTTAATACAAGTTAGGCCGGTGCACACTTTGGACCCTTCATTTATAGAATGACCTTTGTGGAAAGAGTACTCTACTGGTAGTGGTTCACAAACCCAACTTAACTTTGGTTATGGGTTCGAGTCCAACTCAAGTAAGCTTGTGAATTTGTTTCCTTTAAGATCTCAGAAAGCACTACACATACAGTGTTAATACAAGTTAGGCCAGTGCACACTTTGGACCCTTCATTTATAGAATGACCCTTGTGGAAAGAGTACTCTACTGGTAGTGGTTCACAAACCCAGTGCAAGGCAAAACGCAATATCAAAGTGGGCAGAAACCTTCTTTCACTTCTTTCAACCAAAATAAGAAACCATTTACTGAGGCGGCACCACACTTGCGCCAATGTTTAAAGGCATCTAGGACCATCTGCATTTATCCCAAAAGTAACCTACAGAATCATTATCAACAAGCTTACGTGGATTAAAGATCATACTGGTACTAAACACCCTGTGAATTTATTCTGTCTGGCTTGCTGTCATTTAGAATCAAATGGAAAAGTAAGGTAGCCCTTTAAATGACGAATTAGAATGAAAGTTTGCATATTTTAGAAGAAATCAAGGCATACATGTAGGTAGTTTCCAACAATCCATCAATTGACTGATATTTGGAAAAAAAGAGTGCTATCGACGGAATCATGTTTTGTGATCGAAAGTTGTGCATGTTTTTTTTTCATTGTTTTCTTAAAAAGTGTAATATCCACTGAGCTGAACCTTCAACAGGTTAGGTTTTGAAAAGTCTTCTTTGGATTTTGAGTGGTGTTATTATTAAAAACGAACAAAAACCATGAAAGGCAAATTATCTTATACGTTTAAAGTGTTCTACAGGTCGAAGTTTAAAAGTATTTTGGGAACCCTACTACACGTAGTCAAGGAGCAGTGACTATGTACGACCTTCGCAAGAGTGTGGTTCCACAAAATGCAACAATCCTGTAAAAAATGTTGCAACTAAACCCAACCAAACCCAAGATGTTGAGCACTACTTACTGACATCGCAGTTTCTCCCCGTCCATCCAGGCTGGCAGTCACACAGGTAGTCTCCTATCCTGTTCCTGCAGGCAAAGGCATGCATGCAGGGCCGACCCATGCACTCATTGGCATCTGTGGAACAACACCACAAAGGTTTACCCAAAGTCAAGTTATTTTATTATAATCACATTATTTTCATTTAATACTTGTACAATTAACCTATCGCAGTAGAATCGCGTCAATACAGCTTGTGAAATATTGTCCAAATGCATGATATACAAATGGACGCGGAATGGGCAAAATCTGAGACGAACAATATTTAACATGTAAATTCCCACAAACGGCGATAGGTCAATTTATGGAACATTTGACAGTATCAAATTCCTTTTGAACACAAAAGCTGTCAGTATCTAATCATGCTTCTAATGGTTACTCATAATTTAAGCTTTATATTTAACTGCATCTTTTAACATTTATACTTTTATCCTTTGTTTGTTGTACATTTGATGTAGACGAAGACTTTTCTGCCAACTATAACAATTTGAGTTTGACAGCAAATTACAATTCTACAACTCTGATCAATGGTCAGTTCAACCAAGGAAAATTCATTCGTACAAAAAAATATTACGGTACAAACCAATTTATCCATTAAAAAAAGTTGTTAACTAGGCTGTCTTGTTCAGTCCAGGAATTACAACTCAATTATAAAACTAGAAAAAGTTTAAAACCCAAATAATCTACATCTTGTTTTGAGGTCAACAATGTTTAAGAGAGATTGTTTAAGAAAGTTCTGAGCAGACATCTCTAAACGTACCAAACTGGCAGACGGGACCCTCCCACTGAGGTGTGCACAAGCAGCTGAAGCTGTTGACTCCATCGATACATTCTCCTGCATTCTGACATGGCTGAGAGATGCAGTCATCTAGGTCTAGAATACATCAAAAAGAGGAGACTCCATTTTCTTCAAATTTTTTTTTTCAGACAAATTAAGTAGCAACTGAACCTTCAATTTTTCTCTTGATCTGCTCATGATGAGGTTACGATATATGCAATACTAGGAAGGTTCCCCCGGGGTTCAGGTCCCACAAGAAAACATTTATGTATTTTCCACAAGCTTTGTGGACAGCACCAAACCTACTGTGCTGACTAAAATAAGTTGTCAAAATGCATAAAAATGTATTATTTGAGGTGTGTCAGTTCAAGAAATGTCATCTGTCCGTGCTGTCTCTAAGACAAAGTCACTAAAATTCACCAACTTTCGACAACATAAGTCTACCAAGGAAGGTTCTTGAATTGAGCAATCATAGGAATAGTACTGGGGTTTTTTTTGGTATTTTAGTTTTCTGTATCTTAACCTTTGTAGTTTTTTCCTTATCTTTTCCTTTGAAGTGACTTGTAACTTTCATGTAATGAATTTTTAAAACTGTCATCTACTTTAATGGTCTTGTATTTTGACAGAGAAATTATCTAATAAATAGATCATAAAATAAATAAATAAATAAATGGGGAAAACCTATCAATTTAAAAATATTGTAAGAACTTTTTATAGCCAGCTGCCCAGAAAAGTTTGTTTTAACAGAACTTGTCGCATAGTAGAAATTTGTTCTCCTCTTTCCCAGAAACACATTTAAAATTAACCAAATTTTTAAAACCATACTAATCATAATAAACAACAATAAAATACTTTGTGCTCAGGAGCTGAGGTATTTGGACTTACTCTCTTCGCATGTATCTCCTTTCCATCCCCTAGTGCACATACAATGGAATCCCTGACCAATCACCAGACAGGTCCCGCCGTTAGCACATGGTTGGTTCTCACACGGATGCTCCGCTGTATAAAGTAATCAATGACACAATATATATCCCTCCTCACTAAGTCGGAGATGATGACGCATTCACCCTCTCAAATTTTACAAAAACATTGTTCGTTGTCTTTATTTGACAAACAAGTCTCAGCTTATCAGCTTTTTAGGTTTATTTGACATTGAATATTTTTACTGCCGCATTCAAATTATTGATTAACATTAGAGAAATTTCTGGAGCACATATTCTGTTTTTTGTGAAGAAAAACATGCTGATGCTATCCAGGACCACATTACAAGCACATTGTGTATTCTTCTTGAAATACTGCTTTGTTTTATACTACTTTGTTATATACTTCTTCTGCCTTGTGATTTTAATCTCATTGACGCTTCCAAAGAGAAGTGTTTTTAAATGACACTTACAAGAATGTGACTTCCATGAAGGTCTAAACATGTACAAAATGTATTTTCTAACACAGTGCACCATTTATCCTACTTCTTAAGAGGACAACTGTTCCTGTAACATTCAACGTACTATTTATGTTTTATTCATTATTTCATGTTTTTCAGGTCCTTTGAAGAATTCCATTATTTCCATAAGATGTGCTATTTCAACATTAACATTTTACTTTTTAGAGAATCCTTCTTAAATTAAATTTGCAATTTCCATTACATAATCTTCTGCCTTTGGAATTTTTTTTTTTTCAAATAAAAAGTGTACTATTAACTTAACTTTTTACTCAATTTCCCTACAGCTTTCAGACTCCATTCCAATTCCATTTTTCTCCTTCCTATGCAATTTCCATTTCTTTTTCCCTTCCCATCCCATTCCAATATCTCCTTCCCATTCCATTACCCATCCCCATTGCCCATTTTCCATATCCATAACCCATTCCCATTGCACTTCCCATTTCTCCTTCCTTTGCCATTTCCCGTTTTTCCTTACCGTCTAATTCCAATATCTGTTCCCATTCCATAACCCATTCCCATTTTCCATTTCCATAACCCATTCCCATTCCATGTTTCTCCTTCCTATTCCATTTCCCACCTTTTTCTTCCCATCCCATTCCAATTTCTGTTCCCATTCCATTACCCATTCCCATTTTCCATATCCATAACCCATTCCCATTCCATTCTCATTTCTTCTTCCCATTCCATTTTTTCCATTTCTCTTTCACATTCCTTCCACTTTCCCTATCCCATTATTTCCCATTTTCCATTCCCATTCCATTTCCAGGTGTTCCTTCCTATTCCTCACGCCTCACCTTCTTCACAGGTCGGCCCATGGAACCCGGGCTGGCACTGACAGGTGAACTCATTGGGCCCGCTGTTCGTGCACACTCCATCGTTCAGGCAGGGCTTGCGTCTCCCGCAGTAATTAAAATCTGCAAAATGGAAGGACAGGGGAAAACCGAACCTCAACAACGGTTGACAATTGTCCCTCAAGAAGGTGAGACTGAATAAGAATCATTCCAGCTCGCTTAAAGCTAGAGCCCATCATTTGCAGCTATCCAAAAAGTAGCTGGCATAATTATTGTTGAAAAAAAAAACTTGGTTGAAAGATAGTAAGGGGACTAAACTCCCTGTGAAATTATTCTTTCTGGCAAGATGTTATTTTGAAGAAATCAACGAAAGAAGGCCTTTCCAACGGTGCTTCTTAAGAAGCACCGTAGGAAATTCAAATTAGTAGTTCATTTTGTTATTCCGCGAAGCGCGCGCAAGCCTTGGCACGATGCATATGCGCGCGCGGTTGCTATAATTCGTCGGATCGGTGCGTGACATCATGTAGCTGCAATCGGCTAGTGAGAACGTGTCTCGGACGCTGGATTCAGGCCCAATTCAAAACATGATTCAGCAACTTTTGATTTGAAATCGAGATCCTAGAATGTTGTTTTTCTTGAAAAATGCAGCTGAAGCTGAGCTGAAACTTCATCAGATTGGTTGTTCAGCATCCTTCTTCAGATATTGAGCTCTTTTGTTGCTTTAAACGAACAAAATGCACAAATTACAAATGATGGACTATAGCTTTAAACTGGGTTGAAATATTACCTAAAATAAGCTAGAATTAAGAAGAGAGAGCAAAGTGGTAGGATAAAGTTGAAAGTGTTTGGTACCTTGGTAGTTTAATGGATAGATACATACAGTTTCATATCAGACATCACAGTTTTGCCCTTTTCCTTAGACAACTGGAGTTTGTGTGCCAGTGCGATAAAGTGAAATTGAAAACAATACAATTTGTTGTCAAGTACTATTTCAACCGATTTGACCACTCACAATTAAGGATGTGTGAATGCGTGTCAGTTCCTATCTCTGAGGTACATATGCATGTCATAGGTGTTCAATGATTGACTTGCTGTGTTCTTACAAAGAAAAGGAAAAGATTTGTAAAAAAAAAAACACCACCGGATGTTTGGCCTTTTGCCAGAAACCCTGGGGGATATGTCGAGTTTCAGTAAAACTGGGTTACAACTCTTCTGCACAGGGAAAACGATTCAGGTTATCAATGTGTACCACACAACGGCCAGAGTTAACTTGTAACAAAAAAAGGTCTAGGTTTCATTCGACTGGAATTACACTTTAAAGTGGAAAGCATTAGATAGGTTAAGTTGATTTTTTTGCAAGAATGTGTACGCTGCCTAAAAGCCGGCGTTTTGTCATTGACAAATGATAAATGCATTGGCAATACACCTACAAATGCTGGCTTCTTGAATGCAACATCAAACGAGTGATTTTAGCATTTCTTCGTAACGAGAAGAAAAACCTCTTCCTTTTCTCACGCATTCAAAATGTTAAAGACTGATAATGAAAATGTTATCAGAGGTCAAATAATTAGTTACTGTCACAATCGAATAGGCTTGAGAAGATAATCTCATTAAACAGAAATTGTTTTCAACGTTTTTAATAACAAGGTTGGCATACAAGGATTTTATGAAATGCCTGCTTCAGTTTTGTTCCGCGTAAACAAATGGGAAGGTGAAGCCTCCTGTGCGTGTTGCGAATAAAATTGGCAAAAAAAAATGTAACTTAAACTCTCCACTGTTTGAGAACAGGGTAGGAAACTCGACTCAGGGTCATGGATCCTGCATAATTCTGCCAATTTACTGGAGATGCAACTTCCCTGGAAAGACATGCAAAACATTTCTAACATTTCGATCTCAAAACTTAAAAAAATTATGGTTAACTAAAGAAAATTGTGTCTAGTGGGATTTGACCTCCTAAAAACCTCATCTACAGTGCCAGATCATAGATTAAAGAAGAAAAATGGGGGGGGGGGAGGGGGGCATGCCCCCAGACCCCCTAGCAGGGCGCCTTTACTCCAGCTCCCCCCCCTTTCCTGAAAGCTTGGTCCGCCCCCGCTGTGCATTGTATCACAGTTTATGTGCCACACAATTTATGCCAACAAAATTTCCACCAAATTTATTGAATCAACTATCCCTTTGGGATTTATATGAATTTTATTTTTCCTTTCATTTCCTGAAGTACATACATACCTTGGTCGCACAGGATCCCTCCCCACTCCTGCTGGCAGTTACATTGCCAGGGGGAGTTGCAGCTGCCATGGACGCAGCCCGGGAAGGGTGAGCAGTGGTCACATAGCTCCCCTTGCCAGCCGTACCGACACCTGTCCCCGTATAAATTGAAGAGGGGGATTTAAAATTGACGAGTTTCAACTTATTGGTGGGATTAAGTTCTTAAATGAGAAGCTCCCCATGCCTGTCAGGGGAACACGCGTGTCCTGTATATATACTCACACATACACTGTGCACAAGAGTCTTTTGGGTTTGCGTGTCCGAGATATTTCTCACCAGAGAAGGAGAAAACGGAAAGTTCACTTCAAAGTTTCCTTGAGGTTGGTTTTGATTTAATGGAGCAATCACTACATTCTGATTGTTCCCATTTCTCTTAGTGTTTATCTTGCGGTTGGGAAACGAGTTCCGAACAATTGCACACTGTGTTCTTTCTGAAGGGTCCTGGAAGTGCTGTGTACACACTTGTCATGATTCTGTTCTCTGTTCTCAAATAAATAAATAATATGGTTTGTAATAAATAAATAGTAAATCAGGTTTCTGAATGTGGATTTCAATATTAAGGTGCGCCGTGGCTGATTGTTACTTTTTATAAAGTGAAGAGCCGTCCGAGGATTTGAACACCCAAAGTGAAAAGTGTTCCGACTATTTAACCGATCTCTCATTGGCCGATTTCCCAGAATGCATCGTGGTCTAGCAATCAATTGCCACAGGCATACAGGTTTGATCACACATGTCGATCACGATCGAACAATTATTTCTTCATACTTTGAATTAACACACCCCTTTCATGCAGGATTGTTAAAATGAAATAAATTGGCCACATAGAATAAGTGTACTGGACAAAATTTGATATCACATGGCTTACAAGGGTGCACTATGATATTAAAGGCAATATATAGACAACATTTGCTTTTGCTGTAATTTTCAGAACTGGATGGATGTGGGGGTTAGTATTTTTATAGCAAATAGTGTTACATGACCTGTTTAAAGTTTGTGCTTATAGATGCTGGGAAAAATCAAGAAAAAATGCTGTTCTTGTGGTCTGGTTCCCTGACCCTACTTCAGACGAAACGGAGCAATTTAAAGACATCGGGGAATTGTCAGGTCAGGGAACCAGACTACTACATGTAGCTTGCACCCATTCACAGATGTGTTACCCATTGCAAACAAAATGTGGACTGACTAAATTTGGGGGCAGTCGACCATAGTTGGAAATTGATACAAAATTCCACTTTTCTTGCAAATGACAGAACACCAGGTTCTATGATTTCACAGGATGCTTGAGACTATTATTCACTTAAAGTCAAGTAAGGTATTTCATCATAATTTGGTAGATTTGTTTTTCGATGTTTGCAAATATTGTATATATTACCTTTAACTAAGGGTAATGACCAATCACATTAACTATGCCCCACACAAAATCACTGGACTCAGCGGCCGGTACCCTACCGGTACCTGCACCATGTGTGAAAAAAATTAACCCTTCGGACATTGCACCCAATTGAATGTAATTATTTGACTAGTTTTTACACCAACACGTATACCACAGCTGGGCACACATTGTTCAAATGTGTGACATCACCGTTTAGTTGTTTCATCGGTTCAACTGACATGGAGGGACACTGTTCATTTGAATATCACTACGAGGTAAACAAAATAACATCAGGGGATGTTCAGAGATCAAATATGACGGCGTGGAATTTTAAAAAAAAAAATAAAAAATGATAAAAGTGTAATTCAATCATAGTGTACTAGGACTTCAACATATTCAATGTACAAAGTGGATGTGCATTGTGTTACCTCTCACCACGAAATGAGCTAAAAGTCGGAGATTGTCATTTCGCAGTACAGTGGGGAAAAGTCAAAATTTGAAGGGGTGGTCGATATTTGGTTTTCAAACCTTTCTCCACATTTTTTTGTTCTGTCAATTGTCAAACACCTTTGAAAACCTGTTGTATCCTGTCTATTATATGTTGGCTGTTCATTCACTGTGACACAACTGCAGGATTTTTGAATGCCATTTTCTCAAGAATCAGTTTTACAATTTTAAGTAAGTTGGTGGTCTATATTCCCATTATTGAACCCAGCACCCCTTCATGTTGTATACCATTTGAAAGCTTTTTTCGGCAGAATCCAGATATATAAATACCTTAATTCTTAAAAATTCCAATTTTAAGCTCAATTTGTGATGACAGGTCACATATATATCAAAATGATTGTCTTGATTTTTTTTAAAGATTTAAAACCACAAAGAGAACCAACATTCTTTAGGACAAACACTGGCTTGAAGTAAAGAATTATCAGGAAAAACAAGGTATCCGGTAAGGCCAACCTACAACAGCTGGTCCCAAGTGCATCAAATTCTGTTCAATTGATTTAGAAAAGTTATTTACTGGAAGTCTTTTCATGCATCTGGTCTACACAAGGGGCCGGATTTAGCCATTTCACTGATGTTACGGGGTAATCCTATACAATAGCACTGCCAGGCTCTCTTCACCAGTCTACAAGCTAGTGTAATTCACAGGTGGCGGGGAGGGAGTCAGTCAGTCAGTGAGTCAGTCAATCAGTGAGATAGGTGCAAAGACTGGATCATTGGCTGACCTTTTAGGTCTAAACAAGTTTAAAAGGTGATCGAAATGAAATGTGGAGATTTGGAAAATGACGCAAATTGTTTCAACTTACAGGCATTCTCCCGGCTGGCTGCAATATCCATGGATGGAGTCGCATCCTTGCTTACAAATGGCTGTGGGTTCAAAAGGATCCACAAATGTATTGAACTTGATTCTCTCATGAATTCCGAACTTCCTCGGTGATATCGCTGGAAAGTGTCCCAAATTCACCAATATACAAAAATGTGCAGAAAACCAATGGAACTGGTATATCCTTCGTTCTTAGACAGATTTGGACATAAAGACCAATGATAAGTAATTGTCCTATCGCTGTAGAATTGCGGTAGAATTGCAGTAGAATCACAGTAGAATCGCGGTAGAATCGCGGTAGAATCACGTCAACGCAGCTTGTGAAATATTGTCCAATTACATGATATATAAGTGGACGCGGAACACGCAAAATCTGAGACAAACAAAACGTAGTTTACAAAAACTCCATAGGGTTGTCTAGGGGCGTGGGTAACTCGCAAACGGCGATAGGTCAATAGTCACCTGTACCATCTACCAAAATACTGCTGTTGTTGGGTTTCGGTGAATTTAGTTTAGTCCCCGTTTGCTCATGTTGATAGCATCGTGACTTTGGGCGTGATCCCTAGCTACTGTACATGGCATATAGGTTTATGGCTTCTGCCTAGCGCCCCTTGAACAAAGGTATTGACAAAATCTAGAACCGCCAACAAAAACGATTAAACAGAAAGTGAAAGATGATGAAATAAACTTCAATTTGATGTGTTTCTCAAACACCTTGGAGAGTTGTGAATATTCTTTAAATAATTTTTTGAAGTGAGGGCATTTATCATTGGGGTCTATGGCAATTTATTTAATGATCTGCACCCTTTTGATGGTTGACTTAAAAATATAAAATTTTAAAAAAGCCAAGCGAAGCAACAAAAAACGTATGTGCAAAACATGCGTGTGCATTTGTAGAGTCTAAAATACGTACTGGAAAGTATATTGTTCAATATTCGTAGCGACTTACCTGTTTGGCAATTTTCACCCGTCCACCCTTCGTGGCACACTTTATCTCCGTTGGCATCGCAGGAGTAATGTCCGAAAGTGTCGTCCCGGGACCGACAAAACTTGACACACGTGGTGTCGTAATAGTTGAGGTCGCACAGGACCCGAATTCTGTACAAAAACCTGGCGTTAGCACCGTTGTGTCGCAGCGTGGTCCACGAGGGGCCCGGGGCAATGATGCCGGAATGGAAGGCACGCTCTATCAAGCAGCTGGAACCTGGGCATGACAGGGGAGGAAAACAAGGCATTAGCAAGGAAAAATGGAAGCATTAGCAAGGAAAAACAGAGGCATTAGCAAGGAATACTCAAGGTTTAGCAGGGTAAAATCAAGGCATTACCAAGGAAAAACCAAGGCATTAGCAAGGAAAATCAAGGCATTAGAACAGGGAAAAATCAAGGCATCAGCAAGGAAAAAAGGCAAGGAAAAACAAGTCATTAACCAGAAAAAAACAAGGCATTAAAATAGGGAAAAAAGGCATTAACAAGGAAAAACCAAGCCACTAACAAGGAAAAACAAGGCATTAAATTAATTATAACTGCCTCAAGAATTTGTGTTAAGAACTTCCCTTAATGATCCAAAATCAACCAAATCATACTTCAGTTAAGTATCCACCATACACTAAATCCACAAATTTAGTTACGTGTTTTATACATGTCCATTTGCTATTTTGCCATCCATTTAAAATTTTATCTCAATATTTTTGAATCGGTTTTTCGTATAGGAATGAAAACACGACATACATGTACAAGTAACATATTGCAAACATTTATATGAAGTTCCAGATGACAAATATCAAGTACCAATGAACAACTGTTAATCATCAAAAAAACAGGCCACTTTATTCAATCCAACGGTATTATCTGATGAAGCATACAAATGTAGGCACAAGCTTATCATTAGCATAATTCAGAAGTGCCTTACAGTTCACCCAACAATCGCCCTCTCCATATCACCCCCCCTATTCATGTCCACCTTGCTAATTCCATCCAAAGTATCTATTATTCACAAGTGATCGATAAATACGCTCTCTGCTCCACAAGTTTTCGGCCGTCCCCGGTTGCCTGGCAAATTTTATTGACAGCGGAGAGACTCGGCCCAATATCAAGGTCAACTTGGACAAAAGGTTGGGTTTTTTTTCTACCACGCTGAAGGTAACCTGAGGACATGGTAATCCGCCAATGCGATAACAAAAGGTAACAATAGACGCGGCTGCCTAGGGGTTGCGGTCTAACCTGAAATTTGTTGAGGAGGGAAAAGAAGTCACGCAGTCGCATTGTTGCCGTAATTTTCAAACACTTCAAACAATGCTGTGCTGAGCACACACATGTGCACGGCCCGACGACTGCATTTGATATCATATCAGCCCCCGTGGCTACAGTAACAAGCTGTTACAATGGGTAAAGAGCATTTCATCCGATACAGTAACTTTTTGATGTGGAGTACACATTACTTGAAACGGGACAATTGTAGAATTACATGCAGAATTACACAAAACGATGTGCGAAAAAGTTCAGTCGAAAGCTTTTACAAAGGTTTTGCCCTGTTTTAGGGTATAGGAAAAAATTGCGTCAATTCAAAAAGACTTATGATCCAAGAGAAACTGTTCAAAGGGTTCAATTTCTACTCATAAATATTTACAACAAGTGCAAAACTTTAAGCTGTTGATGAAGAGTAGGTAGTTCACTTGCAAAGTTTTTTTTCAAAATGAAATAACGCAACATACATGATACATACCGGTAAGTGATACATTTGAAGCACCTCTGTACCGTACTTTTCATCTTCAACATTTCAGGCATTTTAACAATCGATTTTTAGCACTTGGACTTCAGTTAGTGTCCCTTTTGCAAAACCCTGAGCAGATTAATACATGCGGAGCATGACAGAACAGACCATTAATTCCGATCTAACCACCACTTAATGGTATGAAAAGTGAGAAACACGCTTCTGCCGTGACACATGTAGTCGTTTTTGAGTATTTGTACACACAAAAGATTAAAAATATAAAAACTCTGATAAAGAAGTTATGTACATGTACTTTTGACTTGAAGGAGCCGTTTGACGATAAAAATGTGGTTTATTTGAAGAAGAAAAAAATAAAATTCAGTAGATAAACTCTCAAAAAGAATCAGAGCAAATTTTCAGAAGATCGTCGGTATCGAATTCAATTCAATTTAGCTCAAACTATGTTTCCAGCTTATCTATCTTGTCACTTTGTCAGATTACCCAAATATTCAATTTACTTTTCAGTGGAGGGAGGTTGTTTCCCACGAGTGCCTTGTGCAAATCTGTAAACAGAGAGGGCAAATACAGGCCAGCCTGAGCTAACAAACGGGGTCATCTCCAACAGAAGATCTGATCAAATTTGTTCAAATGCGACCACAATGGATGGCCTCCTTGGTCGAGTGCTCTCGAGAGGGGGGGGGGGGGACTATGGGTAGAGAGGTTGGCAAACATGGAGACATGGCTGGGACACAGGTGTGGAAAATGCAACCGCTATTCAAAAGATTCAGCAACACAATTGTGGAATTTTGTTGACTTTATTTTTGGGATACTGTTATGATTTCAGGAGTCCACTATTTCATCATCAGATTCTAACTCTGACAGATATCATGTCACCAGTTTTAAAAAAAATTTGAACATTTTCATTTCTCTTTGCAAGTTTCCCTCAATCAAAAAAAAATATTTGAGTTAGCCATTTTAAGGGGGAAAAAATGTGTGCTTGATGTTGAAGACCGGAAGAGCCCGGAAACTGATAATGACCTGAGCCGAAGGTCAAAACAAATCAATAAAAATTATAAATTTCCACCGATTTTTTTCTCCATCAATTTTACTTCATGTTTTTCGAAAAAAAACCTCCAGCTTGATGTGGTATGGCCCTCTCCGAAAGTTGTAAACAACTCGTTGTATGGAGATTGCCGTGCGCATTGCGCGTACTGCGTGATTTAGCTCAGAGAATGCAGCTGTGCCGGTGTAGTGTGAATTTAGTGTGAAATTTATGAAATACTGACTCACTGGTAGTAATGCGCATGCCTACGTGAGGTTTGTGAATGTTCAACCAATCAAACGGTATTGGCACTGGATTTCATAGGAGTCCAAATTTCATGCGACATCAGGAAAAAGTTGAGGCTAAGACCAGCCAGCCGGTCTTAATCAACCGTTTAAAACCGGCCACATGAGGGGCACTCGACCAATAGGAATGGGTAAACTGTATTAGATATTTATGAATAAATGTTCAAGTTGCTTTCCTTGTGCTGAGCTTCAGCAAGTCTGAAGGGCACAATTATATTTTTCCATTTGTTTGTTTTATTCCAACCACAAAAAACTCCCTTTTTTTCTGCTTTGGGTGTCTGAAACCCTCTGGGTCACAAACAGATCTGCCTTGCGAGCGGACTGGCTCCGGGTCCGATACTGATTGAGGGGCGGGAACCAGCCTATGCCTTGAGAATGCAATTACTGTCAGCCACAGGTTATTAGAAATTTGTAAAGAAATGTACGTGTAATTCAATAACTAAACGGGGGCTGATGTCTCATTCACCAGTGAATAACTCTTGTATTGCTAGAAAAAAAACAATTTCAAAAGGACTTTTTGAGGGGGAGATGGAACTCAAAAATAGCAAGGGGAATGAGACTTTCAATTGTGAGATTTAAACAAACATTTTGATCAATGTATTGAACAGCTTTTCTCGTGCATGACAAACATGTAACTGTAGTTGCCACCACAAATTCCTGCGGTACAAACACAGAACTGTTCATTATGTATCATAAGTTTAAACAGACTGATTATTTAGGCCTCTACAGAAAAATATCAGGTTTCTTGGACAGGATTTGCACAAACATCACTAAATTCAGCTTCACAATAAAAATAAAAAGGCTTGTTTTACTAAATTCGCTGGCTTGTTATTCATTTAACTTTGCACTTCGTCTTGCTATTAAAATCACGAAGCAAATTTGGTTGACAAGAGATAGGCCAACATTTCACAACAAAAAAAGCTGCGAGGTTCCTGAAATTAAAGGTAGATGTAGGGTAGATCATTTGTCATTGTGCATTTTTTTTTTTTGAAGCAGCAAAAGTGCTCAAAATCTAAAGATGAGTGCTTAACAACTAACCTGATGAAGTGTTAGCTCAGTGAATGCTGTATATTCCAAGAAAAAAATTTTCTAGTAACTCGATTTCAATTCACAAGTTGCCAAGTCATGTTTGGAATTGCACCTGAATATCAGCGTCTGGGACACGTTCTCATTCAACCGACTGCAGCTACGCGATGTCACGCACTGAACTGATGAATAACAGCAACCGCGCGCCCATGTGCGTCGTGTCAATGCTTGCAAGCAGCCATTCACGGATTCGCCGAATTACAAACCAAATGTACTGAAATGAACGGAAATTTCCAAAAATGATGCAACTTTGGAAATGGCCTTCTTTTATCGCTTTCTTCAAAACAACTGCAGCATGCCAGAAAGAAAAATTTGACTGAAAAATCTTTAAAACTGGAATGTTTTTAACAAATATTTGGTCAGTCACTTTTTTGGATACTTGCAAAATGATCTGCTCTAACCTTTAATGTGCACAAGAAACAGAAACGAGTCACTACTTTTTTACTATTTCTTGCCCTCAGGCTCATAGGCACACCCATTTAGATTGGTTCATTCTAAACTTCACACCTCAAATGTGCTGAGGGCGGTCGCGCCCGAATGATTTTGAAAACCGAGTGGCAACGAGGTGTGACATCCAAAGATTGCAATGTGTTTGTCAGAAAACGAATGGGAGCTACAGCTTGTGTGTTGAATGATTGCCTTGTTCAATGTTCGGTCTCGCTCGATTGACCCAGACGAGGAAAAAAGCGTCTGACTGCTCCCTAAAGTAACAAATTGCTCAACTCTTGTATTGGGTAATTGGTAGCCATTTCATGTAGCAATCGATCACAGGGAATGATTTTTCACACTAAGGATTATGATTTATATCATTCATTGCTGAAGGTTCTTTACTGCTTGTACTTTATACTCATTTCTTGTCACACTGTGCCCGCAGCCCGCTCCACCTTGGCTGCCATGAATCTGGAACTTACACTTGTTAAATTTATGCATGTTTTGGTGAAAAATACAGCGAGATTGGGCCCGATTAAGATGGCTAAAACTGTGTACTATGGGCTCCGTGCACAAGTACATTTGTAACCCCTCAACGTTATGAAAGGGAGACCACAGGGAGACATTTGAACACATTGCCAGCAACGCCCGATGATCACGCAAAGACGCTGTGGCTTTGCGTACATATGCAGAATAGATTCAGTTGCGCGTACTTCGCGCCATATGCGCACAAACTAGTATGTGCATGCGGTGTGTTCCCCCCCCCCCCCCCAGTACAAAAAGCACCTTCACTTGTTCCGCAAGGAGGCCATACTGCCTGCAGCCACAAACAACCTTTTTATACCACTTTTGAAGATACATACAAACAATCTTTTATGTGGTTTTCTGCCAGAATACAATGTGGGGTCCTTTCCCTGATTGGCCTATTCAAAGTTTGTTTAGGGAACCAAGCATTTTCATTGGTGTGTGTAGCTCACAAGAGGATATTTGAAAAGATGCAAATAACCAAGTTTGTTTACGTTACAATGTGTTCATACTTGTTTTCATATTCAGAAATAAGTGCAGGGTTTTCCAAAAGAAATTCCACCAAAATGATGATCATCCTTTATGTCATTCATTTTTTAAGATCTCATTTGAAAGTTTTTTGGTGGATTTTTTTGTGGTTTAATTTGTGGCTTTATGTTTAATTTTGTCGTTTCTTTCTTTCTTGTTAAACTATCTTAATTGACAAGTGGTCAGATGTCTGCAGCAGTAAGCAGGAGGTTGTGGGTTCGAGTCCCACCAAAGTAAGCTTGTGAATTTGTTTCTCACAAGCGCTCGGACAAGCCCTCAGACTGCATACAGCATTTACAAAATACGTTGGCAAAGGGATCTCTTGGACACAAATTCCATCTCATACTACATTTGTAGGAATTCAATCTTCTTATCTCAGCAGAGAATCACATTCACATGGATGTCAGCCACTTGATTTATAGGAAAATGTTACTTTGGATCATTTTCCCAGCGCAGAAGAAAGAAAAAAAGATTAACCAGCCGTTCGGTATTAGACATTCCAAAGTCTTCAATTACAGTACAATACAGTACTATGTTCCAAATTTTTTTTGATACAGAGATCAAGCCATTGCATGCAAAAGTAAAACAATAATCCTTTTATACATACAAAAGACGGCCACTCGTAAATCGAAGCCCAACATTTGCGATTGTACAAGTCTGAAATTTGAACCTGTTCAAAGCCGGACAAGTGCACTCCAATTCCCCGCTCCCGGCTTGGTTTTGGGGAGAGAACAAGACTGGTCCTTGTGCCTTTTGTTTCTGATACCCAAGCAAATGAGAACCCGAACCCCCCCCCCCCCAACACTCGTAAATAATAGGGTGGAGCGAATGGTGGGAATCGGCCAGCTAGTTGCTGCGGTGTTAACAGCTGTCTTAGAAGCATGGGAATGTAGTTTTCAGCCATGCGTTTTTTTTCCCCTTTCAAACCACTGGCATTTCACGGTAGCTAGGGGAATCACTTTTTGTTTTTCAATTGTGGTAGTTTGCGGTTGTCCTGGGACTTCCGTGTAACCACAGAACCTAAATGACATGTCTGTGTGTGTTCTGAGGGTAAATGAACACTATGTGTTTTTTTAATTTAGTGCTCCAATTTGGAAATGGGTCAGAGTAGTCCCACTTGTATTATTTTTTTTTAATTTCAGCGGGACAGTTTTTGTTAGCAGTCTAGTCGTGCATGCCTGGCAGTATATCTATTTTACAGTGTCAAAAAAAAGAAGCTTTTAATACTTATGATACAAGAAAACAGACCTTTAATTATTGCTGAATTTCAAAATTCACGGACCTTAAGTGAACCTTATAGGGGAACAATGTATTAAAATAGACATAACTTGGATCGGTTTATTGACAAGGAATGCCTTGTCACAATTCTTCTGAACAGCTTATAACAATTGACCCAATGAATTGTGTTCACTAGCGATTTTCTTCTACTTGGTAATGAATCTGTATGCTCAGAGGCGTAGCCAGCAAGGAGGGGGGGGGGGAAGGGGGGGGTAAGGGGGGTATTTACCCTCCCAATATTTTGTAAAGATTGACCTTTTCCATTCAGCGTTTACCACCCCCCCCCCTCAATATTTGTAAAGAGTGCCCTTTTTGTTTTTAAACAAGTGGCTTCTTTCTTTTTTTTAAACAGCGACTTTTTTTTTTAAACAAGTGACTTTTTTTTACCAGGGGCCTTTTACGAGTGCCCTTTTTTAAATTGGGCACAACCGTTGGCAATTGTGTCGCCCTGAAAAGCAGCATCCACTGTCCGATAGTGTGCATGTGCATGACCGTCCATTTTAAACAGCGCCCCCATTAGAAGATGGTACCGGCACCAGCACCCTCCCGCCTTTGATTTTACTGAGGCCAAGTGTCCGGAGAAAAATAGCTGTCTACATGATCAGCACGGATGTTCGAGTGCCCTTTCCACTCACTTTTTTACCCCCCCCCCCAACATAAAAATGACCTTGCTACGTCTCTGATACTTTAGGGTTTACTAAGTCAAGCCACTCCATCTCAACATTTCCACCAAACACAGATTTCATCACATCCCCAATGGTGAGAAACGGCTACCTCACATTTTCCCATCCGCTCTGTGCAAATACACAAACCTGACTACATCTCAACTATCAACAAAGTATCTTCCCCCGGAATCTGTCCCCTAACTGATTATCTGTACTTACCTATGCATTCTTGGTCATCTTTGTCCAAGGCCGATATGATCAACGTAAATGTTTGCTGCAAACAAGTCGGACAACAAAGGAAAGAAACAATTTAGATTGGTCGTGTAGTTGATGTAATGCAGCTTGATTACTTGCCCCAACAAGAAAAGAAGAAATGATGACTTAGTGTGTTGACTCAATGGGTTACTACAATTTAGGAACCATTATGGGAGCTGAGGTGGTACCATGCCTGTGTACCGGTTACAGTGTACTGTGCATGCTCAATGCTCCTCATTGGCCTTCCACATTGGCCTTCCACATTGTCCAAAACCTCTGTTGGACCACTGGGCCCAATTTCATGGCTCTGCTTACTGTTAAAGGGAATATACAACATTTGCAAACATCGAAAAATAAAACTACCAAGTTTTTGCGAAATACCTTAATAGGATGTTGGTAAATGACAGTCTAAAGCATCCTGTAAAATTATGGCACCTGGTATACTGTCATTTTCAAGAAAAGTGGTATTTTTTTATCAATTTCCAACGCTGATCGGCCGATCAGCGTTGGAAACAACTGGCTTTTTTTTCAAATACTGGCCCCAATTGACCATTGCACTTGTTTGCAATCGATTACAAACCTATGAACGGGTACGAGCCAGCTAGACTGGTTCCCTGACCTTACAATTCCCAAATGTATGTAAACTGCTCTGTTTCTTCTTATATGGAGTCAGGAACCAGACTACAGGAAAATGATCGTTTTTCTTGGTTTTTATAGCATTTTCGAACCCAAAACCTCCAAAAAGTTAGTGTAACTATATTTGCTTTATATTTCAACCCCCCAATTCCATCCATTTCTGAAAATTACAGCAAAAGCAAATGATGTATATTCCCTTTAAGCGAAAAATCCATGCTTACTGTAGCAGAAAATTCTGAGCTTACGGTAAGCATGTTTCACAAGATTTAAGGAATTTTGGCTTGCGTATACGCATACATCCAGTAACTTACTGGATGTATGCGTATACGCAAGCCGTCTAAGGATTCTGTGCTTCCCGGGTTAGCACAGAATGTTTCTGCTAGCAGGGTTAGCACAAAATGGTGATCGTAAGCACGGAATTCTGTGGTTAGCAGAGCCATGAAATTGGGCCCGGATCTCCATGTAAAGACTGTATAGCATACAGAGAACGGCAGAAGAAAGTCATTTTGAAGCCAATTTGGGGAGACAGAATCGCGTTCTATAAAGGACAAGTTTCTGTCGTAGGCAGTTGTTCTTCACCTCTGTAACATGGTGGTTCACCAGCTGATTAACCTTTTGTCCAGCACCACTGAACAGGGTTCACAGTTTTTAAAATGTCTTGGTCAACTTTTTGAATGCTGCAGGAACTTGTCCTTTTTTAGAACATCGTAATACACAACTGTACAAGAATAATTGTAAAGAGTGACCAATGACAATTATTTTACCACGGTATAAAATTCAGAAATTTTCATTGGTGCATGGAGAAACTGTTCAAGTAACATAAATTATTTCAGAGGTTCATGTATGACAACCTAATGGACTCTGCGGTGTAGCTCTAAGCAGTCTGGTACCTGTTGCCTGCACATTTCACACACAAAAACACACTGTTGTATTCAGGAAACCATGCCAAGATGGCAACCAAATTAGATCAAGGTACCGATCTCTTTTCTGTTCATCTCTATTCATCCACCCATAGTGCAAGGACCCGACTTCTACGTAACTTTGAAAACAAAAATTCAATTCAACAAATACAAAACAGGCATTTACATGTAATTACCGGTATCTCATAATGCTAGTTTGAGCACTGTTCATACAGTGCAGACATTTGGTCTGCTGTGTTTACTGCATACCTGGACATTTCTGGGAACAGCCTTTTTATGTTCAAATGTACGTAAGTCTGTACACAGAAGTTAAGGCTGCATGCTGCATCGCCAATTCACAAATGTTCCAGTCAATTAACTTTTACAACTCGCAAATGACCTGTCGGGATGCAGGCTTTATACACAACAAATGATTGTGGACTGGAAATGGAGGAATAAAAAATTACTACAGATACATGCACTCTGACACAATGTATAGAGGATAATTTGTATCAGGTTTACAGTATGAAAATCCACCAAGTTGCTGGGAGACTGGCGTGACAACAGAAAAATATAAAATAAAAAAATCAAATTTAAATTAATATCTTGTTTTGTTTAATTAAGCGGATATTGCGAATAGGGAAAAAATGTTTCAAATTAGCATAATTTTACAAGTTATTTCTCTTTTTTCTTTTCTTCTTTTTGTCTTTCTTTGTTATTGTGATGGAAATCACAAGTTGGAAATGTCAGTTGAGGCTGGTTCCATCTTTAAGTGACCGCAAATGTGAAGCGATTTTGACATCATTAAACTTTGACGAGTTGAAATGTGTTCCACTGATGTGGGAAAGTTAAGTACACATGCGTGAACACCCATACTGAAATTTGTATCTTTGTGGAGTCATTTCCTTGTTCTCGTGTTCTAAAGTTTTCAAGTTTGAAAGTGTACTTTCAAAATGCTCCTATTTTAACCAGAATTAATTTCCTGGGCTGAAATTCTGACTGAATATCCCTTACATAAAATACTTCAATTTGTGACGGATCAACACACCTTGGAAATTCCTAGTTTTTGAGTAAAATCCATATACTTGTATAGGTCTATTTCGTGATAACCTTTCGGAGACGTATTCACCTATAGAAATTGCTCTGTGGAGGCGTATACAATCTTTGTCCCCTATTGTTCCCTACCAGATCTTGTACACAAACAGACTCGTATTCCAATTTCAAAATAACGTGTTGCATTTTGTATCAAAACCTCAGCATTCTTAAAAAGCTATGACTGCTCATGCACGAATGCTTTTCCAATGTTACCACCCACACTACACAATGCGCAAGAGGAGACTTACCACCCATCCAAATTCAAAGGGAAATATCATTGTCGCGGCATCTTGCCTACTCTGCGAGCCACTGCCCTCCGCGACATCCTCATCTGACGGAATGCGAAAGGAATTGTTTCCGAGCACCGGCGTCTCGCCACTGCCAAATGTACAGGGTCCCTCCGGGGTGGCCCGGGACTGATACTGCCTCAAGCATCCCTCGAAGAATGTGTCGCAAGGATCCAAGCAGACGCCGGAGGAGTCCTCCTCCTCCGAAAGGCGGGGCCCATCGCAGCAGTCCCCGTTGGCAAGTTCCCCTGAATCGTTCTCGATGGACAGGATGCCAACTTCCATATATCCCGAGGCCTGACAAAGCTGCACCTGAGAGATAAAAAAAATGAGAACGTGTGAACGGAATTGAACGGTTGACTCAATTATAAGATTTGGCAAACATTTGGGATACTTTGATCTTGATTGATATCCTATGCAAATTACATTTTGTGCCATGTTGTCCTTGCAGTCAAAATCAATCAAGTGAATGTTTTTAACCCTTAAGAATTCCCAGCGCGCAAAAAAACAGGATTGACTGCCTGGGACTGCTTAAGTAACTTGATACAGCTAGGCTTTGACTCTGAGTGAGTGATAAAACAGCTGTGGCCACAACTTGCCTGCTTTGTCTGTTGACCCAGTTTGACTAGACACAGCGCTTGCTTGACATATGATCTACATGTAACTGCTGGTGACTAGCCTTTGTTAAAAGTATTGCAGGGGAAGTAGAGATTTTTGACTATCTGACTGCTTAAATAGCAGGAGGGTTAACAATTAAAAGTAAGAAGGTCCATGGGCAGTAGAAAAACTGAATTTAAGCGACCTTTCATAATTTTTTTTTTTACATCTTTTGATTATTTCAGATCTTATTGAGGAAAACTGCTGAAGGAATACTTGCTTCGGTACATACTCTGCCGGACCTAGCCACAATGTTTGTTACATCAGAATTGTGTAATTAAGAGGAGCCCCGGGGCCATGATTGTGCACATAATTGCACGATCAGGACCAATGCTTTAGAATATGTATTAAGCAAGTTTGTATTAACAACAGACAACTGTCTACATACATAACATATCCATCCTGACTTAATTAATACAAACATAATCAGACTCATTATAATAAGGCAAATAAGCACACAGAAAAACAAGCACATATGGATCTATAGCCTCAGCCAATAAAGCTAAATATCGATCCTCCTTAATTATTGCTGGATAACAGTTCTGGAGGACCAACCAGGTAGCTGATTAGCATCAATCCATGTTCCTGAGCAAAACAGTAACTGAACACCATATGAAAGTTTTTTCTTTCAACAAGATGCCTTGTTGAATCCCATCAAACAGTTAAGTTACTAGCTTTCGGAGTGCAGAATCCATCGTGCACACGTGTAGAATACCTGTTATTGGCTGTGATAATCAATTACATTTGACCTAGAATTGGATGCCTGATCAAAATCCCCCAATTTGTTCAATATGGAGGTATCCTGAATCCACCAAAATCCTCCAAAACACTAAACAGGGGTGTGGAGTTTGATAGATTTAGCAGAGCTAACCCTACAAAATCCATCAAAATTCACCAGAAGGTTTCAAAGCATTTTGCAGGATTGAGAAAAGGAGAGCTACCGTAAGTCGCATGACGCTCCTTCAGAGTTTAAGTACAAGAAACGTCTTGTAGAAAGACCCTGACACAGTGCATCCTCCAAAATACATTGAGCCACACATTTTTGCCATATAGCCTCAATCCTGCAAAATCCTGCAAATCCTCCAGTTTGCAGGGAGGATTTAGGAGGATTTGGGAAGATTAAGGTTAATTAGCCAAGGACCACTATTGTTAAAATTGTCCTGCAGAGATCAGGTTTTTTTTTTAAATCTCAGAACACATTCAAAACCTTTTAATTCCCGGTTTTTTTAGTGCCCAACCACCTCCCATTTGTCATCACTTGAGATTGAGAACCTCTCACTAGTCAACAACTCCCATACAAAATGAACTTTTTGAGCTTCCACAAAGAAGTGGGCTTATTATTTTCGTCTACCCCTCTCTTTGTCCATTATCGGTCCGTGATTACCCTGTTCCACCATCTCAAGAGCCTAAAGATTCCTTCCTTTAAAAGGTCTTAACTGCCTGAGGAAATGACATCTTAGCCAGTCACAACAGTGTCTTTAGAAATTTGGGAATTGTGAATCCAGTGAAATGACCACTGTGTTCGCACGTACATGTATGTTGTGATAAACATACATGTACACGTACATGTACATATGTATACATATATGTACCTTGCTTTTAAAATTGTCCAGCCCTCTCTGGCTGGCAAATCTGAACAAGGCCAGCCCAGCAGTCAAAATAAATCAAGTGACTGTTTTTAACAGTTGAGTGCTCCCTGCCTTCATAAAGCAGGATTGACTGATTGTGGTTGTTATGAAACCTGATACAGCTATGCTTTGACAGTAGGACTGTAGGAGATTAAAGCCGGCTGTGCCAACCGGTTGCCTGCTTTTGTCTGTTGATGGAATTTGACTAGTCTCAGTGCCTATTGAAATATGATCTGACTGCTGGTGACTAGAGTGTGTAATGGGTATGGCAGGGGAAGAGGATTGAATTTTGACTGTCTGTGACTGATCAAACAAAATGAGGGTTTTAATAATATATACTAACGTGAGCATGAAATTAGAATTCAGTGACATTTAATTGTAGGAAAACAGAAAACCAATTAATTAATTCTTTTTACGCTCAATTGTTCAATTGTCAGCCAGTATAAATGTTTCAGATTCCGCATGGTAATATAATGTGTACATGTATGCAAGAGATTTTTTTTTTTTTTCACGTAACAAGAAGTTGAAACAATTCTCACAAATTGTGAGACAAATCTGGATTCGCACATGAGACAATACTTTCACACAAGTAACAAAAATGGTAGAATATGTAGTAAGACTCCAGATTTGATGTGAACTCACATGAGCAATTATTTCACAAGATGGGAAAGGTATAACTATAAGAAACCACCATGAAAAAACATCGCATGTTTGTGTATTAAATGAAACTGAATTGCCTTGCATGAGAAAAAAATGTGAGGAAGAAAGTCCCTATCCCGGGTTAACATTTATTTACGATTTACTGTAATTCTAAGCATTCCGAGGTGCTGGTGTGCATCTCTGACATAATAGCCATCTCCTTTACAAGATCACTTTCTGTCAACTTCTCCAGTCAAGTCTTTCAGAGCGTGGGAACTGCTCCTGAATCACTGTTTCCAACCCTCAGGGTCTTCAGTTCAGACAAATAAAAAAAAAGACAATTCCTTGCCGATGATTGTTGGTCTTCAGTGAAGTAGAAGAGGTACGCAGAGAAGGCAGTTCTAGTATTGGCAGGTTACTGCCCACAGGGAACACACTCAAAGAAACAATTAAAGAAGTTCTAAGGAAAAAATGGCCGGCCCATCCAAAGTACATTGTACCTGTCAGCTCGATGCTTGTGGTATTGTGAGTTTGACTTCGAGCCCCAACTCAAGCCTTTTTTTTAAAGGCCTGGTCCAAATTACAAGTTTTGGCTATGACTAGCATAAACACACTTGTCCACATGGGAAGTAACTTTGGCCGCTTCAATAGCCTTTTGTTTCAAGCTACAGCCAAGAAATTCAGTCAGACTGAAAAAAAAAAAAAATTCACAAGGTTCCTTAAGTCAGGTTCCTCACAAGTTCTTGAACAGCATAAGACATGAAGGGCAAAACAAAGAAAACTATTAGGTTGAGAGAAGACACAAATGACTAACACTTTCATTTTCATAGAAAATTTAATGTATGTTGATATATCAGGTGCTCCTTTTAATCCAACAAACAAAAAATATAAATAGGCAAAAAAAATTTAAACTAAGGCCCAAAAAAATAATAAGTCGGTCTCTGGTCAGCGCGCGCGTCGATTTTAATCATGCGCGTCGATCTTTTTTTTTCCAAAATGTTCCGCGGTAGCTCCAACAGCGCCCTCTATTTCCGCACCTCCTCATTTTTTTTTTACCAAAGAGCACCAAGGAATGGGAAATTGCACCAAGGCAAATGATCGAAAGCACCAAGGCAAATTATGGAGGACACCAATGTACATGAGGACACCAAAAAAGCAAAATAGTACCCACCTTGTCTGTACAATCCAAGCTTGAAGGAAAAAAAAAACAGCCAAAAAAAAAAAGCCAAGTGGCCGCGTCAATTCCGGAACTTTGGTCTGACCAGAGACCGAATATTTTTTTTTTTTTGGCCTAAAATTCAAGTGCTTGCAAAAAAAATCATCATAATACACATCATGCTAAATTTAAAACTCACAGCATTGTTCTTTTCTGATGGTGTGTACTTGTAGTTGTGACACACATTACATTTTTAACAACAATGTTATCTGTTGATAAGGATATAGAAAATTATTGTTCAATATACCGGATATATGAAAACAAAAACAATCAATTTCAAAAGCCTTTTTTATATTTATGGAAGTCCAACATGTGGTGAAACGGATCCTAAACTTGTAAGACCCCAACCTGTATTATGGGAAGTTTACACAGATTATCAAATTAATTTACTGTAGTGTAAGGCTATTATTACAAGCCCATGCAGATAGGGCATATCAGTAACCTGTTAACATGTCCCCAGAATGTTAGCCTGTCTCTGTCAGTAACTAATCCCCCCCCCCCCCTATCCAGCAAATCACTGGGCCCCCTGGTTCCCCCCAACTTGCCAACAGGTAATCAGGAGTCACTAAGTACAGACTACACAACAGGTATCCATGTATTGTGTAACGATGAGGTGTCATAGACTCTATTGTTGTTTGTTCACAGTGTGACGCACTGTGGGCCAGACCGTGGGAAAACTCTTGACGATCCTCTTCACTCGATCAGCACAATGGGTGTCCTTTACTGCGGGTAATCCCGGACTACAAACGCGCATACCTGGACCCCTCCGTAGGTGTCTATTCATAGACCTGGGTTGACTTGTTGACTGATAGTGCTGACTTTAGGCTAAAGAACCCTCCCTTTCAAGGATTTTTTATAAAAACTCCCTTCTCTGGTTTTAGTTACATGTTTTGTTCATTCTTTAAATGCCTTTAAACAATTGGATCTGAATTTGTATTTTTTTTATTTGCCTTTTGTTTTCTTTACTAGTTGGGTATCGATGACCTTCCCTCCCACTTCTTTATGGATTCGGGTTTCGGTGGTGTGGGAAACTGGGTTGTTGCTTCAACTTCTGACCTTTTAAGTCGCAATTGAGTAATAAACAGGGATTTATTTGAGTCATTTGGCAAGACCAAGTAAAAAGTGGCACCCGGAGTTAAGGCGTTGGGAAAATAAGTTGGTTTCAGAAGGCACTGTAGTCTGTATTAATTAATCCTAAAAACCAAAACAAGTTTCGTCTTCAGTGTAGTGTGCAAATTTAATGGCCTTTTATTGAAATGATATGAATTTGGAACAAGACTTTTGGAAGTTAACAGACATCAGAATTTTCATCCGTGTGTTTTTCTTGTCCTCCAAGTTCTTTTCTTTATTTTGGATCAATCGTGAATTCAGATTAGGCCAAACAAACAAATAGTTCTGCTTCCGATTACATGGCATTTGAAAATAGGGTAGGTAGGTAGGGATTTTTTTTTTTTATGGGCATTTTTTTTTTTTTTTATACCATCGTATGGAGGTGTCTGCGTGTAGTCAAGGGTAAAAGGTAGCAATTGATGGTTTTCTGGGTTTTTTTCTCATTTTTCCCCAAAAAATTAGGGTAGGGGCTGTCAAAATAGGGTAGGTAGGGTAACGGGAAGCAAAAATTTTTTTTTTTTTGGCCTTACATGTAGTTTTCAAGTACATGTACATGTAATGGGGAGACAGGCATGCAGCTGGGAAGCAAACCCCCCAAAAGACAAAAGTTCTTTTTTTTTATTTTGGATCATCCATGAATTCAGATTAGTTTTCAAGAACATGCAATGGGGAGACAGGCATGCAACTGGGAAGCAACCCCACGAATAGACAAAATTCCAAGCTTTACCAGACTTAATACAGTGTTTTTAAATTTTTAATAGTATAAAGTGTGAAGTGAAAAAAAAAGAGGAAATCAGCTGATCTGAGGAAAAGTTGCACGCCCAGAAGGGCATGATCACAGGTGCATACAAAATCCTGAAAAGAGCCTATGTACAAAACAAATCTTGTCGCAGTTTTTGATTTTTTGTACTTGTCTGTACTCCTACAGCATAAATTAAAAGATAGGCCTACATGAATGTTAAAGGGACATCATTTGCTTTTCGGCTGTAATTTTCAGAAATGGATGGATTTGGTGGTTAGCATTATATATCAAATATGTTACACTGAATGTTTTGTGTTAATAGATGCTGGAAAAGCCAAGAACAAAAACTAATGCTGTTCTTGTAGTCTGGTTCCCTGACCCTACTTCTGACGAAACGGAGCAATTTATAGACGTCGGGGAATTGTCAGGTCGGGGAACCACACTAGCTGCCTTGCACCCGTTCACGGATGTGTAACTGATTGCAAACAAAATGTAGACTAAATTTGGTAAATTGGGAGTAGTATTTGAAAAAGTCAGTTGTTTTCCCAACGATGGTCGGACGACCATCGTTGGTAATTGATACAAAAATTCTGCTTTTCTTGAAAATGACAGCACACCAGGTGCAACGATTTCACAGGATGCTTGAGACTATTATTCACTTACAGTCAAGTAAGGTATTTCATAATAATTTGGTAATTGTAATTCATAATAATTTTGATGTTTGCCAATTACCTTTAAAGTACGAGATTGAATTGAAAAAAACAATTATCACTATACATGCACACACTGCATGTACTACACGCAAGATAACTTGTTTCGCTTTAACGCTTGTGGAAATGGTTTCTGAATAGTAAAGTTACGGTGATGCAACTTCAGGATCGAGTATTGTCATTAGTTCAATTGCTTCCTGTTGATAATCTATGAAGCGAGTGCACTTTTTTTTCCCAACTGCATTTTCTATTGTGGGAACTCAGAAACTGCCAAGTTCCCATTGCCTGTCCTTGTTTCTCTTTTGCTCTGCTCTTCCAACTGACTGTTTACTTGAAAAATGATAATTTCCTTTTTACATTTTTGATTTTGGAACAGTGCCATTTATAAGTACTGTATTAACCTGTACGTAATATATGACTGGCAAAATTCCAAAAGAGTTGTAGTGAATTCATACTCATAGTCTGTGCCAGCACAGAAAAAAAAAGAGCATTATCAAATTTATGGTGATAGCAATTTTTAAACAAAAACGGGCAACAAGTTTGGCATTCAAATTTTCAAATGAACTCACCAAAACAAATTTTAGGTTTCGTTTCCAGTTGTGTGTTTTCAATGTAGGCCTACACTGAACTAGTCTGAACAAGTCTGCATTATTCAAAGTCAGAGTTTCACTTTGAAAGCTCTACACAATTGTTATCGTTTTTATCTTCCAAACAAGAAGGTACCGGTATCCTTTACAATTTCTTTCAGGGTTTACTTGCAGTTTCATTTGGGGCATTCCTGATATACCCGAGTCCCATGGGCGCTTAAGACAAGACTCCCTTTCTGAGCAATTTCAGGCATTAGTGCATTTTTTTCCATCAACTCTTCTAAAACAAATTCCTTAAACCCATTCTTCGCTCTCTTGGGGCTCATAATGTGCTATGGAATGCAAGTCCAAATTCCCAATACTGAGTTCATCATGTGTCTGTATGAGAACTAAATTGTGTTATGATGAGATCTGTAAGCAAAATTATCAAATTTAAGAATGATCTTATTCCATTGGAATTTTCAGTAGACATCTCATCTGAAATACGTGGAGTTTGTCAACTTTTACAATTTAATATGATGAGATCTGTAAGCAAAATTATCAAATTTAAGAATGATCTTATTCTGTTGGAATTTTCAGTAGACATCTCATCTGAAATACATGGAGTTTGTCAACTTTTACAATTTTAATACTTTGTTGAAATACAAGTAGACTTTGTTAAAAAAAAAAACAATTACACATTCCTGATTTATCGTTTCCTTTTGTTTGTATGGCAGGTCTAACTAAAAAACAAATGGAATAAAAATGTTTTAATCTGAAATTTTATTTGAAAACAGAAAGACAACACTATATTATTCTGAAATTATGAGAATGTGTACTCAATGGACAGAAATTTCGAAAACACTTCTTAAAAAAACTGAAAGGCATATAATTTGGCGTTATTTTTTGTGTGCATAATTACCGCGTACACCTTTTGAATACTAGCATGGTATTTATCGTACTACTACCGGTACTAGCATGGTATTTATTGTACTACTACTAGCATGGTATTTATTGTACTAGCATGGTATTTATTGTACCAGAATAAATTAATGTACACGTGCTGGTATACGCTGTTTTACACAATGTGTATGCTGGTCTTTTCTCTCCAATTTATAGTACACTTACCTCGTAGGTTCTACTGGTTCTACAGGAAATGCTAGTAGTTTTATGTACACTGTAGTACCTTGAACAAACCTTCACTATGATGAAGGACACATTCTGTAGTTGAAAGACCCGAGCCACATTTCTTTGACGATCAATTTTACAATCTCTGGGCCGGGGTCAGTAATATTAATAAGGTTTTAAACCTAAGATTTATTTGATTCATAGAAGAATTAGAAGGTAATGGTTAAAAACACTTGGTAAATTTGCAAATAATATAATATTACTACACAAAATATAATCCTAACAAATGCCTGTATCTCCATGATTCTACAAACAAATATTGGCAATTTGCCAATTCACACCATGCTGCTTGAGAAATAAACAATTTATTGATGATTGATGTACCAAGTCATTATTTTAATATGATACCTAATTTCATCATGCTCAGAGTCACACCATTCATTTGAAAAGTTCAACTTAATTTCATTTAATTTTTACATTTTCCCAGATAATTCCGTAGTAAAGTTGCCAGTTTAAAATTCCACCATCGCTGACCTCAAAACAGCCGGTTAAAAAAAATGTTTTATTCATACTTATCATAGTGTTTACATTTGTTTTATTTACCGGATACGTACCTGATTGAACGCAAGCAGTAGTCCAACGACTACCAGCAGAAACAAACCTCTACGTCGAAAGCCAACCATGCCTCGCCAGCATACCGCGGCCGATGCTTAGTACATGCCCTGGCCAAATCTACGAGATCATGCTGGACGACCGCCGCACCTGAGCAAGACATCGACGGGGCGGCAACCGGTTAAGATTCCCAGTCTTCCCGTCCCACGCTTGGCTGCTTGGTCGGTTTGCGGAGTCAACTTGGGGCCCAACTTCCGAGGCCCATAACTTTCACAAAATGTTGAGTAAAGAAATCCGAGAGTGCTGCAGTGCTGGGGATATTCCAAAGTAACACGCTGAAGACGAGTCTCTCCTTAAAAACTAAAGACTGAACTTAGTTTCTCCTAGCAATAGCATCTAAATTAGATCTAAATCATGAATGACAGGTTCATAAACTTGTTCCATGTGATGTGAGCATGCAATACATGCAGTGTACGGTACGGTACCGGTACGCGTGCGTGCGGTAATACGTTCAACGTCGCGATTGACAGGTTTGCACACATTGTGTGAATGGGATGGGGACGATAACACAGTACACACATGACACATGCGGTGATGTGTAAAATAATTGGTGGCGCTATGTCAAAAAAATGAACGGGCCTTTTGTTGAAGCCGGTGTGTAGTCTATAGATATCTGATGGGCCGGGGCCCCGCCGGCCGGCGATTTTCAAGCTTCAGAATTGACTTTGCTGAAGTAAAGTCACTACACTAGTAAATCCAATTCTGGCCATGGTCAGATCGATGTATTTTTCGTATATATATCTTATTCATTACTTCCCCTCTGAGCTCCCCACCCCCAAAATAGCTGATGCATTTGCATCTTCTTGCACTTTTGAGACTCTACTCCCAGAATACTTTTTTTTTCTCTCGACACCACAATCGCTTGACAAAACCTAGTGCCAACTTATTGAATTCAATTCGGGGCGCACACTGTGTTCTCTTTAACACCTGTTAGGTTGTATTGTTATCGCCTATAGGAATGTAATTTATCAAAGAATAGCATATCCCTGGAATACCCTGGATGTAGTCCTCGTAATAGTTCCTCTCACATAATTTACATTTTTCAAACCTCCAATGTTCTTTACGCATCTCCTGTCCAATGCTTCTCTCCACCACACGAGGGCAGAGAATGTTATGGTTGATCTTTTAGATGTTTTGCGCCGACTTATGGCTGCATCGAGTTGTGTGCTCCCCAGGAAGCTGCGATATAATAATTTCACCTTTTATACAGTATAGGCCTGCTATAGATATGACATGATTCATTCAGTGATGGCATAACTCATTTTCTACATTCACTTTGTAGGATTTAAGAATAAAACAGCTTTTTTTGTCTTCCCAAACTGGGCTGGGGGGGGGGGAGCGTGGTCCCTAGTGTGCCCTAGTGTTGTAACGAAATAATATGCGACTTCATCCGGGTTGATTGAGGAAAGGAAAGCGGTGTAGCATCTCACAAAATGGTTTCAGCAGTGATACCCAAGTCAAGTGCCGGCCCTGCCCGGTTTCAATGATGAGAAGGTGACTTTCCGAGTACGGGAAAATGTTGTATTATGCAATTACCTGCGTCTTCATCGGATTGATTGATAAAAAGAAATCGCTAGCATCTCACAAAAAAGTGGCAGTATGCAGGGGCGCGGCGGAACGCTTTTCAATCTGGGGGGGGGGGGGGGGGGGGGGGGGAAATACCAAAAAGGGGCACTTATCCGAAAAAAGGGGCACCTTCCGTCGGTGTGAAAGTGAGAGCCTTTCGGCCTCCGCAATGGTGGATCCAGAGTACATTTTTACATTGGGGGGGGGGACCCACAAATGTGGTCCCAAAAAGTGGGTCCACAAATTCACGGCGTGGGGTTCGGGGCCCGGCCCGCTTAAGGGCCCGGGGGGGGGGAATGAGTTTTAGATGCTCTGTGGCGCGATCTTTTCTATATGATCTGAGGCGATTTAAATTCTGACCACTTTAACCAATATTGGTGAAAAGATGGTGGTGTATAGTCGCTGCCTTTTTTGGGACGTCACTGAAAAAAAGAGCAATTTGGGTTCGTGGTTTTTTGGGGGGGGGGGTGGGGGGGGGGGGGGGGTGGGGGGAGAGTGGCCCCGTTGCCCCCCTTCGATCCGCCCTTGGGCCCTTGGGCCTTCAGCACACCACACTACCGCCGCCCCTGCAGTAACCTTTCAGAGTCCGCCTATGAAATTGACTAGTTATGTAGAGAGACCACTTTTTCTTTTCGCGAGAGGGGCATTTTGCTTTTGATTGCCAGCTCAGTGACCATTTTATTCGCGTGAGGAGGAGCACTATTACTTTTAAAGGCCAGTTTTCCACGAGAGGGGCACAAGTTTAATGTTGCGAGCGGGGCACTAATAACTCGTGCTTTCGAGGGCAATATACCATCTCGAGAAATTATCGTGAGATGCACTATTGTTTTTGATGGCCAATTTTTCATCTCGATAGGGGCACAATTTCATTATTGCGAGAGGGGTATTTGTGCTTTGAGGGGTAGTTTTCCATCTGGAGAAGGTGTTACCGGTATCTTGTTAATGCGAGAGGGGCACTTTATATGTTTTGAGGGGCAGTTTTCCATTACAAGAGAGGAGACAATTGTATTTCCAGCGCGCTCATTATGCTTTCATAAGTGTGCGTTTTGAGGGGGACTTTTGTTTTCATCAGGGTGACCGTAAGGTCATGGCAAAATTCTGCTCAATGCAATTCAAAAATCTGTCAGATTCATCAAAAATCTGCCAAATTCCCCAGAATTACTCGATATACACTATAAACAATTAAAATCACATGCAAATGTTGTAGTATTGCCTTTATTGAGGTTCAAATTACATTAAGTTATAGTCAGATCAGTGGCGTCGCCAAGGGGGGGCCAGGGGGGGCACGTGCCCCCCCCCCCCGGAAAACCTAGTGCCCCCCCGAGTGCCCCCCCCCCCATCTGAGATTTGGGTTGGTAAAAAAATATATATATATTTTGTTATATTCAACTCCCATCATCTGAGTTGGTTAAATAGCAATTTCTGGAGATATCTTCAGATCGAATTTAGCATCAAATGTGGCACCATTTTGCATCTAGCCCATCCTCCGTATGCGAAAATTTTCCAAAGGGGAGGGGGGCACCCCCTCCCCTTAAACCCCTCCCCCAGGACGGCGATCCGTATCCACCTAAGTGCCCCCCATCAAATGCTGGTGCCCCCCCCCCCCTGTGCCCCCCAGACTGAAAAGTCTGGTGACGCCACTGAGTCAGATAAAGATGTTATAAATTGCGTATATTTCAGGCAAAATGGGCCGGGTTGCGTCACAACAAAGTCAGCGGTTCCCAGTGAACCTCAGCGCCTACAGACTGTGACCTGTCCTTTGATGATGCAAGGGTTTGTTCGAAAAGATCGAAGCTTTGTTTAACAAATGTACCTTGTTTTCAAATTGCTATGTTTTTCTGTCAAATATCCATCTTTGCAGAATTCTGCCAGAAATCTGCCAAAAAAATCCATTCTGTCAAATTTTCTTTCAAACTCGTTTTTTTAATAAAAAATACGTCAAAGTCAGCCGAAAATCGGCTAAAACGGTCACCCTGGTTTTCATCTCGAGGGCTGGGGGCACAGTAAATAACCGCGAGAGGGGCACTTTTGTTGGCCTGGGAAAATGGGGGGGGGGGCAAGTGCCCCCCCCAGCCCCCCCCCCCCCCCCGGCCCCTAGCTCCCCCCCCCCCCCCGGTTGTGCCGCCCCTGCCAATATGATACCCTCACTTTCCGCTTTTAACACTTTTGAGAGAAAAGAATTAACCACTTTTCAGAATTTCTTTTTTTTATGGACCAGAAAACTTTGCTGGTCGTGATCATATCAGCATTTGTAAAAAAAAAAAAAAAAAAATCTAGGAAGGGGACTATCAAATGAGCTTATCTTCTGGTCAAAAAGTCAGTAAAATTACTTAAATGGCTTGCATCTCTTTTGTTTGGATCTTGTTTGTTTTTATGTGTTTATTTTTGTTGGGGGAGAGGGATTCTTGATGAAAAATCCTACTTTTTGGTGTTATTTTATTTATTGTAGACTCTTAATTTTTTAAACAGAAGTGTAAAATCGACTTGCTATCAACTGCAACATGAGGAAAGCGGGGTGGAGTGCCACTCATGTCTGTTGTCGATAAGTCGTTGTGGTTTGATAAACAAAAAAATACATGTCTTTAAAGGGGGTGGGGGGATTCCTATCGCTTTTTGGAAAGCTCCGCCGTAAAAAGCGCCTAGAATTTTCCTTAAGAAAACACTTGGTGGCGCCCTTCATTTATACCAAAGCAAACCAAAGACATGAAAAAGTGCTGGTGTGCCGAAACTGTGTCCTGATGACACAAAAACACTTAAAAAGTACTGGTAAATTTGCCGGTTCAGTATGTCATTTTCACCAGCTATCATCCGAATAGCTAGGCAGTTGGTTTTTCAACCAGCTTTCCATAGATACAATGGTAAGTTTGAGAAAAGTGAGTGGCATTGCAATTTGATTTTGTGGTTGAATTTGTGTTTAGGCATTGAATCATTTTTAGCTTGAGTAAGCTGAATGTATGAGGTATGTAAATGAACTCTGGGGTGGGATATTAGAGGTGAAAATGAACAATTTTTGAGAGGCCATTTTGTTAGGGTCTCTTGCTACCACATTCTAAAGAACAGATTATGCCTCCAGCGTTACATGTGAATGAATATGGAGCATGTCATCTGGAGTTTTTACTCAAGCTAGAATCATTTATGCATTGTTTGAAATTAGTCCGAGTAGGACTCTACGGATCGCTTTTTTTAACATTTGGAGATGGTCGGGCGATAGTAGAGTCCTAGGTTCATGGCCGTATATGGGTACCATTAACGTGTTTTGACCATTTTCACTCGTACCCCCAATCAAAATCGTCAGATTTCACCACAAAAACAGTCTTCAAACTGCCTTATGCGCCCTCGGCCCTGTAGGCTTCAGTGGGAATTGGAAATACAAATGGTGGTGGTTAGGTTCACATACCTTAGAGAAGAAAAGAGAAATTTCACCTTCAATTCGGAAACCGAGCCTCGCCAAGCTGTCGTGCCGGTAACTGCCATCTTGAATGTTGTTGTTGCGTACGATTCATTCAAATTGTGAGGTCAAACTGATGACGTACGGCGCGCCGGTCAAGTGATGCACCCGCATTCACAGTCGGGCATATCGTGTGTGCACGCGTACACCGGCGACTGTTTCCTGAACGGCGTAGCCTGCACATATCGCATACACGGCTATGCGATATGTGCAGGCTGCGCCATTCAGGAAACAGTGAAATCATAAGGTGAGGTGAAAATTGATGTGTTTGGCCGCAGGTAAGTGGTGATCCAGTGTGGAATTTTTTCCTTGACAAATTTTGATTTTCACATTTAAACTATATTTGTAGTTTATTTACGCTTTAGAAGCACACTCGCCCTCTTTATTATAGCGATAGTGTTATTTCCAGGTTCGTTTGCACATGTTTGCTTATGTAAATTCCAACATCGAAAAGATCACGCGCGTGCTGATGGATCATCCGGATCGCACATTGCAACCCGGACACAAAAAAAGACCATGCGAGTGGCGGAGCTCTTTGGCTGCGTGTGCCACCACTGCACTCATGTGGTCTTTTTCCGTGTCCAGGATACCACGTGTGCCTTGACTCAAGTCTACGTGACTGACGATCCAGCACGCGTGTGATCTTTTCGATGTTGGAATTTAGATACGCTAACGTGTGCAAACAAACCTGGAAATTACACAAAAAATAGACGTCTGAAAAAGGTGGGACTTCTTTTATATCGATATAAAGAGGGTGAGTGGACATAATGTCCCTTTAGACATCTGAGTTAAAAATTTTACGTTTCATTTGATCTTCAGTTTAAGATTCTGTTTTTTTTTCCTATTATATTCTTATTAAGGTAAGCCCATTTTTGCGTCAAACTTTAAAACAAGTCGGAATCACTTGAGGTTTTCGCGAGCGAACACTTCACCGCTTCTGACATGGTGGGGACTCCGAGCAATGTGCACTCATAAAGACGGTGACAAACAGGGTAAGGATGGTGACAAAGGTGAACAGACAGCAGAGCAGACCCCACAGCAGACAACACAAGGGACAGAGAATGTAAAGAAAGAAGACGAAAACAATGTGGCCCAGGCCAGAAGTACAAAGTTGCCAACTGAAACTAAAACAGGTAAATCAGATTTTTTTCTGCACAAATTTTTTTTTTTTAATGAAAAAAAAAAAGACGATTATATGCATGATTCTTATTTGAAATGAATATTCAGTGTTTGTTACTCGGCAAAACCCACGAAAAGTTACAGACCCAAGAATGGTAACTTAGTTTATCTACTTTTTAGTATGAAGCCACTCTGTCACATGTTTAACCATTTTTGTTTTAATGCTCCGATGTGTGATATGGCGTTTCTAACACACGAGGGGCACATACAAATGTAGCACCTGGGGCGAAGCCGTTTGGCTGAACTTGTCTTAACTTAAGATCGGTCTTAGCCTCTTATCTCATGAATAGTGTGTTAATTTGTATCTAGGTCTCGTTCAAATGACGTCATTTCCTACAGACCATCCACGTGCATCGGCATTTTGAGCGTCAACTTGCACAACGTGCAATGGCTGCATCGTATTTCGAACAGATTTCAAACAACAAGTGCCCGTGTTTGGAACATTTTCAACACTGCGTAATGCGTGCTTGATTGCGTAAAATACGCAGTTGCAGTTCTCCTACAGAGATGGCCGTCATTGAACAAGCCCTATATGATCGTCTATGGACATCATTGCAATTTCTTCTCGTTTAAGACGAGTGTCGGCCTAGAGCCTTAGTTTCGAGGAAGAAAACAGATTTGAAAAGATTTCTGACATGTGGTATAGTTTTGCAAAAAAATTAATTATTTACAAAATTAAATTATACGCAAGCACCTAGTCAGCTTTAATAATAAAATGTAGGGCCTGCTTTGGTCCTCGAAATAGAGTGATGAACTGGTGAGCAAGATGTTTACCCATAAGTGTATTAACCCTAACTCCCCAGCGTAATTTACTAGGAACCATACCCATTCTGGCAAATTCCAACACCCACATGGGAAATTGTACACACTCACTGTTGGACTTAGTTTCTGGAGGTATGCCAAACCCAGTGTAAACGACCATCAGTTTAGGGGTACTGTACCTATCCCAACAGATTTAAACAAAACCTGCTGTTGAACTTTGATGGGTTGAGTTCGGGTAGGGTTAATGACCATCGTAACTTGTGAAGACCTTCTTTACGTGTGAAATTTAATGAGTAGAAAACTTTTTTTCTGCCGAAAGTTCGTTATCTATGCATACGAGTGGGCAATTGGTTTTGCGTATTTCGTTTCAACGACTTTTTTTCCCCGAGCGGTAAAAACAAACAAATTGGTAATGTTGGTGCGTCTTGCTTAAAGATGCGTTTAGTGAAATTGGTCTTAGGACGCGTCTTAGCTGGGTTCGATCTTAGAATCGGTACTTGTCTTAAGTCCAAAGATGAGTCGTAAGATAAGATGAGTTTCGTGAAATCGACTCCAGCAGTCACATTCAGTACTTTTCTCGTTCTTTTCCCCTTAAAAGTCTCCTACAAAGACAAGAGAAGAAGAATTGATTACAGCAAGAAATACACAGACAACATCACCATCACGGCAGTACGAGCTATGAGCGAATACTTACTAAAGTCAAGGTTAGTTCAAGTACTGTACTGTCTTTAACCCTAACCGCCCTGAATCCTTCAAAATCCTCTTTGCCAGAGTGGAGGAGTTTGGAGGATTGAGGTTACGTGGCAAAAGTGCGTTACTGATTTCATAGAATGCACTTTGTCAAAGTCTTGGGTCAAACCTTGAGTTGTTTTTGCTCAGCCATGCATAACTATAGGTCTGGATTATGCTTGAAAGATGTTGCCAACCCTTAAAACAAGAGGAAGACTACAGAAGACAGTCTAAGGTCTTCGTCGTTGAACCATGCATTCCATTCTTAGTTTGTTTTTTATTTATATATTTTTTCTAATCAGTGATCTAGAGCAGCTGCGCAAGACGACGAGGCGGAGTCCCTATGAGCAAGAAGGCAACTCAGAAGCGATGATGGTGTTTCTCAGATCAGACGTTGAGGCAAAGTGAGTCCACAGTCTGTGAGATTATTGTAAGAAATAAGAGATGCGACAGCGGGGTCCCAACATGTTGGACAATATAGACGTTGGTCAACTAGTGGTGGAATTGTGTCAGACATAACTTACGTGTAGGCTTGTTTACTAAACAACCTGCCATCATCTCTGGTCCTACGATGGTCAAAATGTCACCTTGGTCCTGGCTCCCTAGCTCTGTTGGTTTTTGTGAGCAGTAATGCGACAGACCTCATTAGGCTGTTCCTAAATAGTTTACTAGACTAGCCCAACTGTAGTCGGCTAGCATAGGTTTGAGTGGAGATGGCTCAGACATGCAACTGATCCGCTGATTTCTTCATTTTTGTACATCTCATGAATGCCATTACAAATTGAAAAACAGTGTACTAAGTCTTGTGTGTATTATAATTTCCTTGTTTTTTTTCTCCAAATTCCCATGTATGCATTACTGATTGTTAAAGGTACATGTATGGAAACTTACAAATACTCTTTGTGCATTTTGTTTGTTTAAAACAACAAAATAGCCCAAAATCTTAAGAAGGGTGCATAACAACTAACTTGTTGAACTTTAAGCTCAGTGGATAGTATACATTTTGAGAAAACAAAAGAAACGTATGTGCCCAATTTTGGGGGATTTTAACTGGATTATGTTGCTATTAAATGCACTTAAAAATCTGTGCTTATGGGCACAGTTGACACCATTGATACCATTTTAGGCGGAATAGTTTCACATGGTATTTGGTACCAGTCCAATCTTCACTTTGTGTCTTTTTGGCCATCAGAGCAATTGAGGTTTGGGGAAGTAAAGAGGCCTTGGAGTTGGAAAAGAAGAGAAGAAAACAGAGGGAAGACATCTACAAGGAACGTGAGTGTAGATGCCAGGCGATAAGCCACTTCACTTATCCAATTGTGCATTCGCACTAAAAGATCCGAAGATTCTCCTTTTGGGATAAACAGTGTTCATACATACTCAGAGGGAGTGCAGCTTAGTGTTTAGGGTTCGTCACTCATGATCAGAGGGTCAGGGGTTCGAATCCAGCTGCTGGCAATATGTTGTGTCCTTGGGCAAGCCACTTCACCCCTTCTTGCCTCTCTCCACCCAGGAGTATAAATGGGTACCAGCATTAGCATTAGTTGGGGAGTAACCTGCGATGGACCAGCATCCCATCCAGGGGGAATAGAAATACTCTCAGTTGTTTCATATCCACTGAAACCTGGAGATAATCGCTGGCCTGATACGCCATATTGGCTTGCAAGAGACTTGACTTTACTATGCAAAATCCTGGCCGGTACCGATGAAATTTAAGAAAAATTCTTGACATGAATTAAGGACAAACTTTATAAAAGTTTTGACATCCCAATGTCAAAAGTTTTGACAGCCCAATGTCAAAAGTTTTGACAGCCCAATGTCAAAAGTTTTGTCGGCCCAATGTCAAAAGTTTTGACGGCCCAATGTCAAAAGTTTTGACAGCCCAATGTCAACAGTTTTGACAGCCCAATGTCAACAGTTTTGACAGCCCAATGTATTCTGTTTGATGTTCTCCTACTTTTATGTGAACTGAAGTTTCTTTTTAATTTGCATGAAAATTGCTCAATGCAGTGAAATTGGAATTAGCATTAGAATGATTTTTTATTTATAAATGTTTATATTGTCAGATGTTTTCCTGCTGAAGAGAGCAATGAAGGAGTTTGACTCATACTTTGGCGAAGCTAAACCGGTGAGTGGTACCTCACCAATGAGTTAGAGTCTTTCTTGCTTCATTTTGCCCTGACTGAGTCACTGACTGAATGACTGACTGACTCTTTGACCCAGTCTCCGAGTATTTATAATGCCCTAAACTGCATAAACTGAACATTAACCGCTGACCAGCTGTCAACATTTCAAGTCCAGCAGCCGATTTCACAAAATAGTGCGTAACTTATGTCTTGACTAGCTCCCATTGTCTCAGAATTCGCACTGGTGTTGATGGCTAAGGCAAAAAAAAAAAAAAAGAGTTCTGCTTCCAATTACATGACATTCGAAAATAGGGTAGGTAGGTAGGAAATTGTTTTTTTTGCCATTTTTTTTTGTGTACGATCATATGGAGGCGTCTGCGTGTAGTCAAGGATAAAAGGTATAAAGTGATGGTTTTGGGTGTTTTTTTTCCTCATTTTTCCAATAAAAAAATTAGGGTAGGGGCTGTCAGAATAGGGTAGGTAGGGAAACCGGAAGCAGAACTATTATTTTTTTTGGCCTAAGTGCAGCAATGTCCCACCGACTTTTACTACCTTTTGCACTGTGTTGCATCTGGCAGGGTCAGGGTTTAATGAAAATAGCTATATTTCCTCTTTCTCTGTTTGCTTTTCTTCAGCCAAAGCCGAGTTTTTTTGAAGGAGCAGGCAAGGTTGTCATGTCGGCTATCATCATGTGAGTCCAGCCGTTGTTTGCTCATTTCAGAAATGGTCAGTCCCGAACATCGGGTAACTGCCAGGTATACGAGTGGAATTTGATTTATTCCAAGAAGTCTTGTTAAAGGGAATATACATCATTTGCTTTTGCTGTATTTTTCAGAAATGGATGGAATTGGGGGGTTGGAAATATATAGCAAATATAGTTACACTGACTTTTTTGAGGTTTTGGGTTCGAAAATGCTATAAAAACCAAGAAAAACAATCATTTTCCTGTAGTCTGGTTCCCTGACTCCATATAAGAAGAAACAGAGCAGTTAACATAAATTGGGGAATTGTAAGGTCAGGGAACCAGTCTAGCTGGCTTGTACCCGTTCATAGGTGTGTAATCAATTGCAAACAAGTGCAATGGTCAATTGGGGCCAGTATTTGAAAAAAAACCCAGTTTTTTCCAACGCTGGTCGGCCGACCAGCGTTGGAAATTGATACAAAAATACCACTTTTCTTGAAAATGACAGTATACCAGGTGCCATGATTTTACAGGATGCTTTACACTGTCATTCACTAACAGTCCAGCAAAGTATTTCAAAATGATTTGGTAGTTTTATTTTTTGATGTTTGCAAATGTTGTATTTTCCCTTTAAAAAAAAGTACCACTCACGTGTAATGATTGATTTACAATTTACACAAATACTAGCTTTTAAAAAAAGCAATTCCAAAATAGAAATGATAACCAATCATTAAATCATTAAAAAAAACCTTGGTTTCTTGTTGGGAGAGAGAACATGGACAAAATGTCTAAAGAGATACAAAACAGCATACATTTTTAACGGTCACACATGCTGTGAAATCAAGTTATATCACAACAATAGACCTAATACATAATGACATCACGCTTTGTTTACATGTGTGCTTTCCTATGGGAGCAGGTGGAGACGAAAGGCTGGCGTCCCCGCCTGGCTCCCATAGAAATTCTCACTTGTAAACAAAGCCGGACGTCATTATCAGGCATGCAAATTTTCCTCGGATCCGCTGATTCCTCAATTTTGACTTCTCATGAATGCCATTACAAATTGAAAAGCACTGTACAAAGTCTTGTGTGGTTTGGAATTTCCTTAATTTTTCTAAATTCCCAGTTGCATGCCTTCATTATGTCTTTGTCTATTAGACATCACTAAAGGCACTAACAAAACATGGTGTAAAGTCAAATTCCAAGAAAGCACCCAAAGCAAGACTGTCAGTGCTAAGCTTGATTATTATAATAATAATATATTTATTTATATTGCGCAAATTCCATGATTAAAACAGGTGTGTTCAAATGCGCTTTCCATGTAAAAAAAAAATCATAAAATACACTTCAAATAATAAATTAATTAAGAAAAACAATCCAATCTTGTATAAATAATGCACAGAAATACATTAAAAAGCTTGACCATGAGGGAGATAAGGGGAGGGAGAATTATGTAGATGAGAAATGAAATTAGGAAATATAATAAAAAATCATGAATACTATAAAATCCTGGTGTCTGCCAAGATACTCATGACACAAAACCACTTTAAATACTCTAAAATGCTGGTGTCTGCCAAAGAAGATACTCACGACGCAAAACCACTTTAAATCTACTGAACAATGAATAACTTCATATGAAAAGTGAGAGATGAATAATCCCTCAACATTTCTGAGTTGCTCTTTTTTTTAATTCATCCCCCAACCGTCCGGTTTGTTCTGTTTCCAGTAATGCAGCCAACTTCTTGTTCAAGCTGGTAGCCTGGATGTACAGCGGTTCCTCCAGCATGTTCTCAGAGGCCATCCACTCGGCTGCCGATGTGTGCAACCAGGTCATCCTGGCCTTGGGCATCAGGCAGTCCATCAAGGGACCATCCCCTGATCATCCGTAAGACTTGGTGGTACTTGAAACAGAGCGCATGGATCTATGAAATGAACCTACTTGTATGAACTCTTTGCATTAAAGGGAATGCACAACATTTGCTTTTGCTGCAATTTTCAGAAATGAATGGATTTGGAGGATTAGTATGTTGTAGCAAATATTGTTAAACTGACTTGCTTCACGTTTTGGGTTCGGAAATGCTTGAAAACCAAGAAAACCAACCATGTTCTTGTAGTCTGGTTCCCTGACCCCACTTAAGATTAAACGGAGCAATTTATAGCCTTTGGGGAATTGTAAGGTCAGAGAATCAGTATAGCAGGCTTGTACCATTTCACAGGTGTGTAAACAATTGCAAAGAAAATGCGGGATAACTAAATATGAAAAATTAGGAGCAGTTTTTTTGGGAAAAAAAAAAAACAGTTTTCTCCAACGCTGGTCGGCCGACCAGCATTGGAAAAATACAAGTTTTTTTGAAAATGTCAGCACACCAGAAGCCACAATTTTACAGGATGCTTTGGACTGTTATTCCGTAACAATCCAATAAGATATTTCGTGATAATTTGATCATTTCATTTTTTGATATTTGCAAATTTTGAACAATTAGAAGGTACTTTGTTAGAGGCTTCATCGATATATCAATGTTGGGCGCAATCGGTGGATCTACGCTATCTTTCGATTGCACAGAAATTTACTTGCGTGATTTGTCAATCCTGTAGAAATATCAGACTTAACTTCCCTTTCCAAGACAATCCTCCAGTGGTGTGAATTGGAAAGAAAAGGTGATTGACTGATGGTTGCGCGATCAACCAGTGGCAGCACGATTGTCCGGTAGCGCAGCTTGATTGACCAATCGCGCACACCAATCGTGCCCAACATCAATATTACTTGATTATTCGATATTATCGTCCATATCATTTTTTTTTCAAATTGAAAATTCGATATGACAAAATGATATTTGAAATTTTTTAACTAAAAATAACAAATCCTGACCTCAAACTCTCTTCAGTCATGTTTGAACACATACTTTGTTTGCCCTTGACCTTCCCTGCAGGTACGGGTTCACCACTATTCGCTACGTGTCTTCCCTCATCAGTGGAGTGGCCATCTTTTGCATCGGCGCCGGGTTGTCCTGCTACCACGGCATCATGGGATTGATTCATCCCGAGCCAATGGAATCGCTGCTGTGGTCGTACTGTATTCTCGCTGGTGCGCTCCTCACAGAGGGAGGTGTGTTGATCTTTACGTCCGTCTCAAAGTTATAATCAAGATGTTACAATCATCATAACTCACAAGTCAATGCAAATTAATTCAAGTCACTGAAGTCAATCTTGAATCCTCCAGTCTGAAGTCGGTTCACAGGATGTTCAAATGGGACTGCAACAAAGGCATTCCTTTGTCTTTGTTCATTTCGTGATAATTGGGACTAGGCCTGTGAATTGACTTGTGATTTGACTTGTGATTGACTTGTGATTGACTTGTGATTTGACTTGTGATTTGACTTGTGATTTGACTTGTGATTTGACTTGTGATTTGACTTGTGATTGACTTGTGATTGACTTGTGATTACCTTGTGATTGACTTGTGATTGACTTGTGATTGACTTGTGATTGACTTGTGATTGACTTGTGATTTGACTTGTGATTTGACTTGTGATTACCTTGTGAATTGACTTGTGAATTACTTGTGATTGACTTGTGATTGACTTGTGATTGACTTGTGATTGACTTGTGATTGACTTGTGATTGACTTGTGGTTTGACTTGTGATTTGACTTGTGATTTGACTTGTGATTGACTTGTGATTGACTTGTGATTTGACTTGTGATTTGACTTTTGACTTGTGATTTGACTTTTGAATTGTGATTTGACTTGTGTTTGACTCGTGTTTGACTTGTGTTTGACTTGTGATTGACATGTGAATTACTTGTGATTGACTTGCGATTTGACGTGTGATTGGAATTGTGATTTGACTTGTAATTTGACTTGGGATTTGACGTTTGACCTGACTTGTGATTTGACTTGTGATCGACCGTCCAGTACAGCTAGAGAATAAGTCAAGAAAAGTACTAAGAAATGAGGGTCTCAAACTATCAGGTGGAAATATCAAGTCATTTAAGGACAGAAGTGGGTGTTTTTCAAATGTGAGTATTTGCTTATATCGTGAAATAAAAAAAATGAGAGTATGGAAAAAAGGAGTGACACATTTTCTAGATGGTGAAAACAATAACGTTCTCTTGCTCAACAATCTGAGTGCAAGCTTGAGTTAACTTATGGAAAAATTAACTCCGTGCACAGTGGATAGTGCTTTTTACCACTTCCGAGCGCTCCAGTGGGCGCGTATGGCTTCAAGTACGTATGACTTAAGTTTATTGTGAATGTGCACAAAACAGTGGCAGTTGCATCTTCGCGTAAATGCCAGATGCTGCTAGTGATGCTCCGATACACCTTATATTTGGTCGTGTTCCCTAAATGTATTTTACTAATTGTAAATTGTTGAATGGGATGGTGCCAGACTATTTATGTGTTCCAAGCCTCACTTTCTTTCTTTTCCAATGTGGCTTAAAACATTAGGGTATTTTTCATCACAAATTTTAAATTATTCATCAGAGCAGACTGGTATTAATTTGTAATTAACTTTATTTTATTGCTTTCATTTCTATTTGCAATTTCCAAAAATGAGGATTTTACCTCGCTTTCAATTTAATATAGCTGACCCGTGAATAAGGCCTATTGTCTCTCACAGTGGTCTCCCTGAACTTTCTCTTTATAACCCTTGAGTACTTGTGCACAGAGTCCGTAGCTTGTGCAGTGCCGTAGCCATAATAGGAGGTAACCAATGAATGAACACAAAGAATTTATACCCTGGCCAGGACCACGTTGTTGGGAAGTTTTCGGTTACAAAGATTGGACCAAGTTGTGGGGACATTAGAGTGTCCACTCTAGGTTTTTTACAACCAATGTGTAGTCCCTCCAGCCCCGGAGCAAGTACGTTTGTGGATTTGTATGTAAGACATATAGAACTCAGACTTAAGCATTGAGTAGTGAATTTTGGGGATTTATTACAAATATGGAAAAGTCTCAATAACTGTGTGTTTTTTATGTTTTTTGTTTCAGCCACTCTTTCCATTGCTTACAATGCCATCAAGAAGGGAGCCAAGGAAAAGCAACAAAGCTTCACTGAATACGGTGAGAACTGATTATTGAGTGGATTCACCCAGGCCAAACCAAAGTGATTTCTGTTTTTTAAAGCGTATTCACTGTATTAATGTTTCACCTAAGATAGACAGGGCTGACCCTTCTAAAGTTCCTTCGTAAATGTACTTCATTAAAAGAAAAATCAGTATACATCAAAAATTGAATACTTACTTTACAAAATTTGAATTAATTGTGACCCAGCAAGAATTCAGGGGTATTTTCAGAGGGTTGAAAATGTCCAAAATAGAAGGGGGAAAGAAAGTAGCTTTTTTCCATTTAAATAAAACTATAAATTGGAAAGTTGTTCAGAGAAAAAAAGTGAATATGTTAAAGAGAATTTTTGTTGGCCCATCTTATTCTCCTATTCACAATTGAGGGGTTACTTGTTTATTTTGTCAATATTAAGTACATAAAGTATCATTTGTTTTTCAAGCATTTTGTTTGTTTCCAATAATAACACAACTCAAAATCTAAAGAGGAGTGTTCAAAACCTAACCTGTTGAAGTTTCAGCTCAGTGGGTATTGCACTCTTCCTGAAAACTGTGAAAATGATAGACAACCTTTTGATCATGAAACACGATTTGGTCAGTAGCACCTTTCATTCCAAAAATCAGTCAATTGACAGGGCCTTATTTCATAGCGCTGCTTAACAGCCGACTTTGTGCTTACAGAGCCTCCATCTATTTCATAGGGACTGTTAAGCAGTAAGCACAGCAAAAGCAGGCTTTACCTCAGAAGAAAACTTTGCTTAAATCAGTGACGTAACAATAGAAATCTCCATGCCCACGCATCTGTTAGCATGAAATTGTGCTTAAGCAGCAGCATGATTTTTTGCTATAGTAAGCACAACTTTTCTGCTTACCATTAAGCAGTGCTATAAAATTGGGCCCTGATCATTGGTAATCACCTACAGTATTTGATTTCTTCAAAACTGACAGCATGCCGAATGGAATAACTTCATGGGGTGTACCGTGCTTTGTACCAGTACAATCTTTAAGTTAATTAAGTAAGCTTTTTGGTAATAATTTGGTAGGTTACTTGTGGGGTAAATGCAAATGATCCTAAATGCCTTTAACAGCATGACTGTCTTTTTCCTCTCAGTATTACGTAGTCGAGACCCAAGCATCAACGTGGTCTTATTGGAGGATGCGGCGGCAGTCTTAGGAGTGCTTGTAGCGGCTGGCTGTATGGGGCTGACGTCATGGACAGGCAACCCCATGTATGACTCGCTGGGCTCTCTAGCGATTGGATCTATCTTAGGTTGGTCAGAAATAGACTGAAAAAGGCATTCCAATGTCATTATTCATCTTAGTGAATTGAGAAATTGGAGATTTCAAAATCCGGTTAGGCCAAAAAGAAAACTACTCGGTCTCTGGTCAGCGCGCGCATCGATTTTAATCATGCGCGTCAAGCTTTTTTCTTTTCTTCAAATTAACTCGGAAGCTACAATAGTGCCCTCTATTGCCGCACCTCCTCAAATTATTGTACCAAGGAGCACCAAGGAATGGGGAAATTGCACCAAGGCAAATGATAAAGGGCACCAAGGCAAATTATGGAGGACACCAATGTATAATAAGGACACACAAAAGCGAAGTAGTACCCACCTGTTCTGTACAATTTGAGCTTGGAAAAAAAAAAACGCCACCAAAAAAACCAAAAAACACGTCGCCGCAACAATTCCGGAACTTCGGTCTGACCAGAGACCGATTACTATTTTTTTTGGCCTTATCCTACTTTTTTGTTTCAAACAGAATAACGTTAATCCGATTTCATCGGAACTTCCCATTCAGCTCACAGTCATGCCAACAAAAAGTGACGAGTGAGGTGCCGCATGTTGCCGCGAGTGAATGTTGCCTTCCACGATGATGGAGTATAGTTCGTGGGATTCAATGACCACTGGCTCTTTACGAAAATCACTGCAGAGCTGTAATGTTGTAAAAATGGGTGGGAACTCTCTGATTGGACGAATGGGTAGGCCATTCATATAGCAAGAAGACCACTAGCAAGTGAATGCAGTTACAGTCAGAGACCATGGAACAAACTGGTGGATGTTCTAGTTGTTTTCCTTAGCCTGTGTCACACAAAATGGAAGGCTCAGGTTTTTAAGGTTGTTTTCGAGTATCCAGTTTCCAAAATGAAAACTGAATAGTGGAATTCAAGCTGAATGTTAAAATATCCGGATTTTAACCCAACCACTAGTTCATCCCCTGTTGCTTGTGACCAAACTTTTCAATGGACTTGTACTTACTCATAACTAGACTTGTAATGGATGTGTAAAGGACTCAACTACAACACTATCAAATGTCTTGAAAAATCCCGGACTTAACATCTTAGCTTACACCCCCCCCCCTTTGAAAAATCTTGATTTTACCAATGGCGTGTGGCATTATTGGTATCATTTCTCTATTATTTGCCTTTTTTCCAATCACGTGTTATCTGTAGTACCATTTACTTAACTACATATTCACCTTTTCTTTTTTTCAAACCACAGGTTTCGTGTCTGTGTTCCTGATCTACAGTAACACGGAGGCTCTGCTGGGCCGATCCATACCAGAGACTGAATTACTGAAGATAAGCAGTCTGCTGGAAAATGACGTCATGGTCAGGTCAGTGTTTCTTTTGTTGTTTTGTTATGTAATGTGAACAATAGCCACATGTGACATCACCAAAGGGGTAGATGGGCTGACAAGGCAGCAAGCTTCATAAAAATGTGAGCTCAGATTCGCCAATCAAATGGTTCCATGCTGCTCAGAATATTAAGATGGACAAAGGATTTAAAAACAGAAAGAAACAGTTACATGCATACACAGCATTAGCACTTGAAAATTTGGATGTCCAGTGATTGGTCTCTTGCTTTCTATGATTATGTGCTGACAACAATCGGGGCCCAATTTCATGATTCTACTAATCACAGAATTCTGCGCGTATGATTGCAGTTTTGTGTTTACAGCATTTGCATAAAAATACTGCGCTAACCCCGTAAGTCTATGCCTACTATCATGGCTCTGCTAACCACGTAATTCCGCGCTTACAATCACCGTTCTGTGCTAACAATGCTAGCAGAAAAATTTCTGCCTTAAAATGTTTAAATGTGTCTCCGTGTATCCCTACTCTTTTGTATTTTTGAGTGAGTGCCAAATAAACCAAACCAAACGAAACCCTGTAGGAACGGAATCTTCAGTTATGGGATGCATGCATGTGCATAAGGCAAAATTCCTTGCCAACCCCTGACATACGTTTACCCTAAGCACGGGATTTTCTGCTTCAGTAAGCAGGGATTTTTGGCTAACGGTAAGCAGAGCCATAAAATTGGGCCCTGGCCATGAGCCAAAATTTCTAACTAGCAACATAAGCATGCAACCAGCAAAGATTCTTTATTAACCGTAAGCAATATTGTGAAATTGGGCTCAGCTGAGTACCAGTCAAGAGCAATGCACAATGCGCAGAATTTTAGCTGGTACCTGTTCACCGCTAAGCAGATGTGTATTTCCTTAGCACACATCTATGCTTAGCAATTCAGAGAAATTGGCCCCCTCATTTTAACTTCATTTCCTCAACAGGGGCGTGTATGATGTGAAAGCCACCGACATGGGCGTGGGCACGATCCGGTTCAAGGCGGAGTTAGACTTTGACGGCAAGGAGGTGACCCGTTCCTACCTGGACGGACAGGACCTGGAAAGCCTACTCAAGGTTAGGAAAATGACCACACGAAAAAAAGTTTTTAAAAACTTGATGTCTCCCATTTGTTGCAACTGGCTGGACAGTTTGGAAGTGTAGAATTCGTTCTGTGGCTGTCTTAGTTGTGGTAGAGTGTTAAGCTCATTGCTGCAATGAATTTCAATCATGGACTATCAGTCAATCGTGGACCCTTTGTTTGTGCCCTAACCCTTTTGTCCCTAGTCCACGATTGCCGATGTGTACGCATACTCACCCTCGTTTGTTTATGGTGTAAATCAAGGATTTTCTATTGTTCCCAGGGCTTGAATTGAACGACGGCCACGACGGCCAGTGCCGTCGTTGCCTTCTTACTGGCCGAGGTGCCCCACAAAAAATCCCTGTCTTCACGGCCAGTTTTGCCTTGCCCCATAATTACCTTGGCCGTCGTGCCCTTTTTGCAAAAACATCTATCAGCCTATTAAAACCACTACAATCCTTGATTCCAGTTGTTTTTCCACACATTGACAATGTATTTCGATGCCATGCCAGCCCGATCAGTTGTCTTAATATCTCGCCGAATCAATCACACGCGCGCAGTACGGCCGTGGCCGGCCGGCCAAACGCCGGCGATTCCCCACTGTATGTACAATGTACATGATGTACACACACGTACACTGACAACTGAATCTCCAGTTCCTGTATGTGCCGATACTTCAAGTAGCGACACCCCCCCCGTAAAAATATATGTCTGTATTCGTACACACACATACCAGCAGGAGTAAGTACGGCAGATCTTACCTGCAGTCAACAGACTTTCTTTTTCTCAGTGCTTGCATGCGCGGTACATACAGAACACATTGATGTTCATGTACGAGGCAAACGAGCTCGGGGCATAGTAAAAACACGCGTGCACATGGTGTTCCGAATTCCGATTGTCAAAAGCGGACATTGTAAATGGCGATCGTGTATTAATCATGGGCCCGATTCCCCAAGAGAACAAAATCAACTTTTAAGCCACATTAAGAACATGCAGGTAGGTTATAGATAGAGGGAAGGGTTTCGAATTTTTAAGGGGAATTTGGAGGGAAAACGACAACGAAAAAACGCAACACGAAAATAGAGATGGCGATCGCACGTCACCAACCATAAAACCGCTTACAAAAAACGTAATTTCTATCCCAAAAAGTGTTCAAAATTACAAAACAGGTGCCATATAAGCTGAGAGAAGTCTGCTTTAGGTTGAAAAGGTAATTTTTTGAATGATAAAAACACCTTTGACTCAAATTTGATCGAAACTAAAGAGGGGCCATAAACTACATGATCGCCGATATAAATTCGCATTTTATTTTAGCCGGCCTCTGTGCCCCTTCTGCAGATATTAGTTTGGCCTTGGTGCCCTCCCAACTGGCCTTGGTGCCCTCTATAATTTTGCTCCATTCAAGGCCAAAGTGGCCTTGCCCTAAAAATTCCCAAATTCAAGGCCTGTGTTCCTCTTCCCTTTTCCTTTGTTTATACTCTAACTGTTTTGCAACAGCTCTCATTTGTTTTGTACACGTTTCCTAACCGAGGAGTCCTCGATGTGGTTTCTGACCTCGATTCATCGATGATGTTGCACGTGTGTGTCCTCGATTTACACCATAAACAAACGCCCACATACTGTCGTGAATTTCTGTGCTCTCGAGGACAATGCTTTGTGTTTCCCTTTGTCCCTGTAATATAACACTCTCCCATAGACTAAGCACATAACCGCACAATCGAAGACCATTTTCACCAACAGACCCAACGCTCGAGGACTGAAAAGATCTTTTGTTGTCCCTTTGTGTATCTATCCTCGATCATAAAGCCATACAAGAGCACAACAGCTGGCAGGCCGCTTGGACCCCTGAAAATTTGGAAAAATTGAAAATTTTGTTCTGGATCCACCCTTGGTGCCCCAATAAAATGCTTGTGCCCCCCTGCCCCCTCCAAAATTAAAACTGTACTCCTGGCACCAAATTCATGGAGCAGAACAAAAATGCTTAGAGGCTTATCAGCCACAGCAATATTTGACCCTGGGTGGTGAGTAAGAAGCTCTCAGTGTTAGGTGTCTTGCTCAGGGACACATGATCTAGAGGCCAGATTACTCCGCAACTCGGATGTGCCCTCTGTAGGGTTGAGTTGAAAGACGGGCCGCCTTGGCAAGGCTTGACCTTTGGCATTGTATTCAATGCAGCTGTTAAACCTCCAAACATCCACCTTTGTCGAGTAAAAATGGGTGTGGCATATTTGTGATTAACAGGAGTTACAGACATACACAACCATGGAGGAGATCGAGGGATTCATGCTGAAGCACGGAGAGAGGATTATCGACAAACTCGGGGCAGAGGTGGACAGGATTGAGAAGGAAATCAAGGTAACATTTCATTGACTCTTTTATCGGCCAGAAAAAAATCAATATTTAAGAATCAACCACTGTCGTAGATTCAGAGATTGATATGCAGAAATGTATTGCCAAGTCTCTCAGTAGTACCACAAGAAATTCACTTGACTACTAATTAGTCAGATTAGATAGTTTAAAGGTACAGTCCATCATTTGTAATTCGTGCATTTTGTTCGTTTGAAGCAACAAACGTGCTCAAAATCTAAAGAAGGGTGCTGAACAACTAACCTGATGAAGTTTCAGCTGTATATTCCGAGAAAAACAGCATTCTAGGATCTCGATTTCAAATCAAAAGTTGCTGAATCATGTTTTGAATTGGGCCTGAATTCAGCGTCTCAGACACGTTGTCACTGAGCTGATTGCAGCTACGCGATGTCGCGTACCGATCCGACGAATAATAGCAACCGAGAGTGCATCGTGCCAACGCTTGTGCGCTTCGCCGAATAAAAAAAAAAAGAACTACTAACGGACATTTTCAACGGTGTGTCTTTAAAGCCTTCTTTCGTTGATTCCTTCAAAATGACAGCTTGCCAGATAGAATAATTTCACTGGGAGTTTAGTCCCATTACTATCTTCACACCAAGTATGTTTTTCAACAATAATTATGTCAGTTACTTTTTGGATAGCTGCAAATGATGGACTGTAACTTTAACAGGTCTTGTTAATATACAATTTCTTTTAATGAAAAAGTGAACAAAACTGCTGCAACTGCTTACTGACTGGATTGAACTGAAACAAAAGAAGGCCTGGTGTTTTGATCCAAGAAGGGTCTTTGCATTTTTTTCCTTAAATGAAGATCCTGATAGGATCAATACGTCAGGCCCTCTTAGTGGTTTTATAAAAGCATCATCTGTACTAGTATAAAAGATTGGCAATATTAGGCCAAAAATTGGTGCGGGCCCAACTTTCTTCAACTTTTTTTTTTTTTATTCACATTAATGCAGGGTTTCTGCGGCCTGGGGGGGAAAAAACCTGGAAAAGTTTTTGGAATTTTATTTTCAATTTCTAGGCCTGGAAAAGTCATTGGAATTCGTAAAAATTACAAAGTCATGGGAAAGTCACGAAAGTTTGTGAATTATTATATTTGTGATTTATCGTCGGAAATCTTATTTTTATACCCGACAAAATGTGACAAATCTCACTGATACTATTATTTTGATTTTGAAAGACATTACTGCTTTGCTTTGTTGTTTTTCTGTTTCTCGTAAGCACTTTGCACGGAACAAGTTTGACATATTTGATCTGCATTTTGATGAACCAGGTCATGGATTTTCATGATTTGGTAATGGAAAAGTCATGTAAAAGTCACGGAATTTTATTGTCCTAAAGGTGCAAGAACTCTGTTAATGGCAAATAAATGTGGCGTTCTTTTATATTAAAGACAGAAACATATGCCAATGTTGGCTTTGTAGTAATCGCCATTAATATGACACTACGGTCGGTGAATGAGGTCAAGCCGTCATCGCGTTATGGGGAAGTTTTCTTATTGTTAGGGTAATTAGGACCAAGTTATGGGGACTTTCTGCTGTCCCCTTAGCGTCTTTGGTCCCCATAGTACCATGGGACAACTCGTGTGTAGTCTCCACAACTACGGAACGAGTATATGTGTTCTTGTTTAAATACACAGTCAGTTAAAAAATCAAAGTTTTGTTAGGTTTGTTTCTGATTTGTGAAACTATCAATTTCTTCATTTGTACAGAAATTGAACCCAGACGTGCGGCACGTGGATCTCGAGATCTTGTGAGTGGTCGTTAACAGGGATGGCATTCTGAAATAATCTCACCGACGTGCAATACATGAACGCAAGGACCGGTGTCCGGTATGGGACCATTGACCAGTACAGTGAGTGTAAAATGTACATTGCAGATGTGTGTATTAAGTAAACAGGGCCCAAATTCATGGCACTGGTTATTGTTAACCGAAATTCTATTCTGCGCAAATTCTGTGCCGAGAGTTGGCGTATTCGATGGAATAGTGAGGAATTTTGGCTGGTGCGCATGTGTATATCCCATAACTGAGAATTCTGTGCTTACAAGGTTAGCACAGAATTTCTGTAACCAAGGAATTGTTGTCATAAGCACTAATTTCAGTGTTTCACAGAGCAAATTAAATTCCTCAAGGCTACATGCGCATCAATTGAGTATGATGAGATTTTTGCATGAACGATTTGAATAAAACTTTGAGGGAAAATGTCAACTCTTGTAATGCTTCCAAGTGTATTAGAGAAATTTCCAGTCCGTGCATATTTTTAAAAAATAAATCAGCATGCATTAAAGTGCACACCATTGCATTCTGACAGTGTATGTAATATAATTTCCAATGATGTCTCGTCCGAGTAAAACACTAGATATCTGTCCAAGTAACCTGTGTGCTGGGCATTATGCCATAAAGCTAGTCAGATTTTTTTGATGGGGTGGGGGTGGGGGTTGGTGGGGAGGGGTGTTAGGCACTGGACATTTTCCAAAGTACTTAAGACTAACTCAACACAAAATGTAATCTTGCTAATTTAATGAGGTAAATATCGCCAAGCAGTGACCCAATAATGTTTATCTTAAGAAAATCAACAGTTGATTTTCTTTTAGTCAATGTCTCATTCACAGGTAAATTTTGTGAGTATTGCTAGGAAAATAGCAATGTAGAAAAGGAATCCATCTTTTTGGGATGACACTCTAAAATAGCAAGGGGAACAACCTTAACGTGCTAAAGATGGCATGTACCTTGCACAAAAGTTAATGTGAACATAAATTTATGATGTCCTAGCAATCAATCAATCAATCTTCAAACTTTACAGGGAATGTTTTCATGCAAAGTACACGTATGAATTAACCTTTAAACCATTTTATTTTGCAAAGACAAAAAAATTTTTGGTCGGTTATCCAAGCCGTTTAAAACTAATGCTGTCCCTTTTCAAAGAAGTTCATATTTATATTTTCAAAATTGTGTTTCACCGAATATTCGCCTGCTGCAACTGCGTGACACACGTAGAGTTACATGTATATTAAATTTACTAGAGCGCTAACTCTTCATTCTTGCGCGCGGAGACGCTTTGAAGCCGCTCTGGGCACACAATTTTGAATTTATGTGCGTGTTTGTAGAACACAATCAAAATAGATGGATTGAATTTTAAAAGTGTACTCTAAATGCAACGCGCAAGTAGAAGATGCGCAAAAAACTTAAGTGTGTCATGACGGTCAAAAGCATCACAGCGAAAAGCATCTGCAGCGGAGGGATGTGCACATGTTGCGCTGTTTGCGTAGAGCAAAATGACACGCTCATTTGCTGTTTGTGTGTTTCGGTTTTGGGCGTATCGGATTCGATGACGCACTGGTATGGAATTAAAAATGCAGATATGCAAATAGCCGTACAAAAGCCGTACAAAATTTCGAGTTTTCCATAGGTTTGTGCTCAAACATGGATGCGCCCATCAGGCATTACTTTGTACATCGAGTTAGTGCTCTAGTAATTTACTATAGCTCTGTGGTGCTACATCAGTCCAAACTTGCACGCAAAGCACACCGGTTAAAATTTATATGTGGTGATCAATATCATGGACTGCCAGAGTTTTTTGCAGTTTTTTTATTTGTCAAGGGCTGTAGCCTGCTAAAAGGATGGAAAAAATGAACCACTTTGACAATAAAGCACTACAACTTTACAATTAAAATAACACCACAGTCGTGTGTGTACTACTGTGAATATTTAAACTGGCAAAAAACTATTTGAATATTCAGTGATAATCGAATATTCGGTGAATTCAGGACAGCCTTATTTAAAACTCAGAAGACTCCTTTGAAATACCACCAATATAAAACAAAAAACAAATTAAAAACCATGATGATTGTTCGCTTGTTTGTATAAAAAAAAATACATGATCATTAATTTTTTTAGGGACCAAAATTCTTATTAGAATACATCAAGTAATTTAGGATTAACTTCAGTTTCAGATTACCTTTATTAAACATATGAGCAAATTGTACTTAAAAATACAACCCCCAATGAGCTTAGGCTGCACTTGAGTCAACTGGAGTCCTATAGGCCAAAAAAAAAAAGTCTCCGGTTTCTGGTATGCGCGCACGTTGCCGTAGCCATGCGCGTCGGCAAAATGAAAAAGGTTTCTTTTTCAATAAAAGATGTCTCAAAACCGCCAAACTCACTGGTTTGACTGGAATCCTGCTGCTGCACAATTTAAACATATTTTTAGATGGGGTTATGATCGAGAATAAGCTTTATGTGGCCTCTCTGGATTCCCATATATTTGCACTAAGTTTAGTTGGGCACCATTTGCAGTCATCAGCTGAAATTTGAAGCAAAAAAAATTGGTAAAAAAAAAAAAAATAAAGCTGCGTCGCCGCACCACTTTTTGGGCAAGCTCCATACCAGAAACCGGAGACTTTTTTGGGGGGCCACAAATTCTTTCTTTAATTGCCCATAAATTCTTTCTTTGCATTTAACATGCTTGATGTGCATGCGTATACATACATTATACCAACCTCAAATATGCAAATTTCTTAACAGATGGGAATACATCAATTCCAACCCTCTCAAATCCTTCAAAATCCATCATGGTTTGGTTGCTATGGTAGGATTTAGAATGTAGAGGTCAGTCTCTATTTATGTACATGGGTGCTTGATACTCCTCTGAAAATAAATATTCAAAAAATGAGCCACTAGATTCATACATAATGTTAGATTTTGGAAGGTTCGGGAAGCCGGTCTCCAGCTAAAATGTTAAAGGGTTTAAAATAATTTTCGGGTCCAAAATGTGGCCTTTTTCCTGTTCGTGTTACAACTGACCTTGGTAATTTGCCATTCAAGCGTCATTAAAAAAGACTTCGAACTAAGTTTTATTTGTTGGGTAAGTCGCTTGCTTCACATAATCACTCTTGGAGGAAGAATACATTAAAATCCTAACCCTGCCAGACGCAACACAGTGCATCAGGGGAAAAGTCTGGTGCACTTTGATGCATTCAGCTATCAACACCAGTGCATAAACGGCCTCTTCTGAGACAATGAGAGCTAATCCCATTGACCAATGCCACAGTTGTATCCTGCTGCATTCGGTGACCACAGACTCTGAGGCAGTTTGGCCTTGAGACTTTTGACCTGATGGATCTTGCTACACTAGTCAAGTGTTTCATGTTGCTGCGTTTGGTAGGGTTCTAGCAGTTACAAAATCATAGATGTCAGATGTAACAGGGACAGGAAAAAGTTGACCCCAATTTTATAGAACGACCCAATTATATATAGGTCTTTCCCACAGGTTGTTAACAATCTGCTTCTTGAATACTGAATGTATATAAAGTTTCTTTTGTTTCATGCATGTTAATAAATGTTGTATCTAATACAAATTTGAAATGTAAAGCAATGTTTTTGTCTTATATATTTCCCAGAATTGACAATGTTAATACTGTTTTTGAAGCCGTCTAAATGTTAATATAAAGTATTTATGTTGTCATGGAAACCATGCTTTTTTGAAATGAAAATACTAAAAACATAAACCCGAAAGTGTTATTTTACCCCGCAACTGAAGATTATCTGTTAATAAGCCGACACATTTTAAAAAAAAATAAAGAATACTTAAAAATTAGTAATGGACAAAAAAAACGTTTTCTGATATACACTGCATAGGACAGTTATTCAGTGATGATTGCTTAAATACTCGATATTTTGGCTTAGCAATACTTTTTGATTAGCCATTTTCCCCATGTGAAGTCTTCACTCAGCAGGAAAACAAACAATCATTGCAGACCTATCATCCCGAAATTAGCATGGAGGCGGAAATTTCAATTTTGCAGCACGATCGGGAAAAGCCAAAATTTGACGGGGTGATAGTTTTTTTGGTTTTCAGTGAACCTCAATTTGTAAGTCCTGTTCTCCTTTTACCATTTTTTTTGTTCTGTCTTTAAAACCTATTTTCATCCTGTTTTATTCACTGCAACACAACTTGGGGATTTTAAATGCCATTTTCTCAAAGATTACTTTCACAACTTAAATTTAGTCTGCATTTCCGTTAGTGAACTCAGTACCCCGAAATATTATACACCATTAGAAAGCTCTCGCTCTGCAGAATCCAGAAGTCATAATATTTCAATTCTTAAAAAGTCTGACGTGACGCTCATTTTATGGTGATGGGTCACATTTGTTGTTCGCGTGTCGCTTGGGATCTTGTGTTGATTTTAAACCCGAGTTCGTCCAGCAGATACCCTGTCTCAAATACCGTTGAGAATTTGAAAATAAACACTAGTGATACAAAGCTGCAGTTTTTTCCTCTTTATCAAGAACCTTTTTCAGCATCCAACTTCTCATGTTCAGTCTTGATAAGTTGCTCAAGCTCATCCTACCAAAGAAAAAAAAAATTGTAAATTTGTAATTAAAAGTAATTCAGCAAAACTCAAATTTCCTGCGTGGCATTTCTTTGCTATTGGTCACTCTTTTCCTATGACCTCACTCATGATCTGTATCGTGTCGAATTGTGATTTTACTTTTAATCGACTAATGACCTGACTTCTGTGGACTTGTGATTTACTTGACTTTCTCAAAGCAAAACACCACAATTTGATGGTGTTCCATACCTTCCACCCTAAGAGGTCTGCTAGTTTGGAACATCCTTCATCACAGGTGCCTAGAAACGCAACATCTCTGAAATATAAGAAACAAAAGTCATGGTAGATAACAATCAATACAATGATACTTTGGAGTGAGTTTCTTCCCAGAACCAATCATACCTTGCCAAAAGAATTTTTTTATCGTCATCAGGGGTTACTGTGTGAACTACCACTTCTCTCAGAAATTTGGTGGCTTGTGCATGGGTGGCTTGTGGGTAAAGCACTCGCCTCTCACCACTGTGGCCCTGGTTCGAATCTCGGTTGCGGACCATACATGCCATGTAAGAGTAGACTTGTGCATTGGTTCTCTCCTGTGCCACGAGGGTTTTTCTCCAGGCCCTTCGGTTTTCCTCCCCCCGGAAAAATCAAAAACTTTTGATCTTGGGCTGTGCTCCGTGGTCATATATGGGTCGATGTGGCTGGCTGCCAAAGAGGCCTTTACATGCCAGTGGCTCGACCACGTTGTAGCCTCGTCCTTCGCAATTCAGCTTCTCTGCTGCCAGTAAGGATGATTAGCCTCCCAAATATTTACTATTATTACGATTATTCAATGAATGATAGAAATTTTGAGGTTCATCTAAAACCAATGATGCGATCACCCCTTCCAATTTTAGCAACTATGCGACAACAAAACCTCTTTCAATTGAACTGTGTGGCTAGAGTTTTCTTGTAAAAGTCAGACATTTTAATTACAATTTATAGTTACTTACCTGTAGTTATCTTCATAACCAAAGTTAAATCCTGTAGGCTGGCCTGAGAATTTCATCAAAGGATCACACTGAAAGAAGATAAAGACAAGACATACATATACGCATCCATAATTAAGCCTTGGACTTCACTGAATACCATTCTTGAGGTAGACATCAAATGGTCATTTTTTTGGCCTCTCAGTGTTTCTGGTGATTTCCATTTTTTGGTGCTTTTCTGTATGATTATTATCTGCTGGATGGAGTCAACAATCACACATGAATCACAAGTGAACCCTGGCATGCATTACATGCACATCATCAGCAAGGTGTTGAATGCCTAAAACTTGACCGATCGCCAGTCTTGAAATCAAGTCTACTGCTATTGCAGTACGGTGGGCAGGTCCTTAACCAATACCCCCTTGTGTGACAAAAAGAAGCCCAACTTGAAGTGGCACTTTGAGAAAATTGCGTTGCTTCCCTTTTTTCAGTTGGGCTCTTTTGTAATCTGATGGCAGTGAGCATTGACCAATGGGCCTTATTCACGAGTCGGCCGTGTTGAATTGAAAATGAGGTAAAATCTTCATTTTTGGAACTTGCGAAGAGAAATGAAAGCAAGTACATTACTAAATAATTCAAGTCTCTTTAAAAATGAATAATTTAAGCTTCGTAATTAAACAATCCTAATGTTTTAAGCCAGATTTAAAGAAAAAATGAAAGTTCAATAAGGCTGCATAAATAGTCTGGCGCCATTCCATTCAACAGTTAATAATTTATGAAAGGTATTCAGGGAACACAACAAAAATGGCTACCTCGTGAGTAAGGTCCATTAGTTTTTACCACAGTAACTCAGTCAATCTTAGTCAAGTGCACTGTGAGAAATGTAAACAAATCAAAGGTGGGCGGAGCTTATAGCCAATTGAACTATCGCTGTTTGCGAGTTAGCCACGCCCCTTAGACAACCCCATGGAAAGTTGTACGTTAAATTTTGTTTGTCTCAGATATTGTGCGTTCTGTGTCCATTTGTATATCTTGTAATTGGACAATATTTCACAAGTTGCACTGACATGATTCTGCCGCGATAGGTTAATTTCAGAACAGTCTGTAGACCAATTCGACGACAGCCTTTTTCTGTGGCGGCACCACGCTCAGATAATATATATGGCTCCTATGACCTATAGGGCTACCAAAATACGTGCGCGCATCTTCTTTAAGAACACGTACGGCATGCAGGCAAAATGGCACCACCACAAAAAATGGCTTCTAATTTTGTTCGGCAAATTACACTACTGATCCATGAATCGTTTTTGATTTCAATGAAAGACCTTATATGGGAAGCAATGAAAATATACTGGAAAGGTTTGGCTTACCTTGCCACTCATCTCGTAGTTGATCAGAAGACGTGGAGTTGTCGCTGGAACTCTGAGGAATTGTTATGTAATGTGAGCACTGCATTATTCCTCTGATTTGGCCCAGACAAACCCAGACTTGTAATCCAATAATCACGCTAATCATATGTCAAATCACGTCAATCAAAAGTCAAATCCCCTTGTATGTCCAATGATAAAGGAATGTAACAGTTCATTTTAATTGCTGATGCACGTGAGACGAGTCAGGTTGGCACAGTGGTTACTTTCCCCATCGAGGGTTTTCCCCAGAATATTCTTCTGGGGTTTTTCTCCCACCTCGCCTAGGGTGCTTTTGAGGAATCCTTGGTTTCATTACCAGAAAGATATAGATAGATGAGTAATGACTGAATTGTGTTAATAACAAATCTCAGTCAAACACCTACAGACTCATCTCGATACACTTTCATGGAGGCCCCCTCCAATGGCGAACGCATTGGGCTAGCTATTGCTAAGGATAAGGGTCATTGAACAGTTGCTCTGTACAATAGCTAGAACAATACTATCGCCATTAAAGGGGGCCTCCCGGATTCGTCTATAGTTGAAGGATTCGTCTGTGCTGTAAAATAACATATAAGCAGGACTGATGAACAACTAATATTTTATTCCATTTCAATTTGTATCTGACCTTAGAATGCAAAGGTGTAACCAAGAAAACCAGAAGTAGCTGGGCAACTTGAAGCTGTCCATTTTAAACATTTTATATTACAGATAGCGTACATCATTTGCAGCTTTCCAAAAAGTAACTGACGAAATTGTTGTTGAAATAAGCATACTTGGTTTAAAGATAGTAATGGCACAAAACTCCCTGTGAAATTTACTTCTGACATGCTGTCATTTTGAAGAAAACAATAAAAGAGGGCAATTTCCAAAGATGCGACAAGTGACGCATATTTGGATATTTCCATTAGTAGTTAGTTTATTAATGGGTGAATACATGAACGGATGCGCGCAAGCATTGACGTGATGCACACCGGTGCGCAGTTGCTATTATTCATTGCTATTATTTATCAGCTGAATGAGAACGTGTCCCAGATGCTGATTCCAGGCGCAATTCCAAACATGACTCGTCAACTTTTGAATTGAAATCGAGATCCTAGAATATTGTTTTCTTTGTTGCCAACAAATCCAACAAATGCACAAATTACAAATGATCTATGATACCTTTGAATATTTTGATTTTTGTTTTATTGTGGGGGCCATGGGGGGGGGATGTTCTTACGTGTTTATTAGTGATGTAAATGGCTGCACAATCAAAGTTGTTCCCATGACGATCAGCAAATCACATTTTGGGAAATCCTGTCCGTTATAAAAAAGAAAAAATCATGAAATTATCTCTCAGAAAAAGTAGGAATTTCAAGAAAAAAAAAGTTGGAGCAAGGTCAAAAAAAAAACTAGGAAAAGTTGGAATACTTGAAAGCCTTAGAATTGGAATCTAGTTCTAAAAAAGCAAATGTCAATAAAATTGAAGATGAACACCTTCTTTAATTGTTTTTTTTTCCTTCTTTTTTCCACTTATAACCACTTCGCGCCAGGATTATTTTTGCGTTTGTTTCGCAAAAGGCAAAATTGTTCAGCCAACTTCTGATAAACAGCCAAACGCCACAAATACTGATTCAAAAGAGTCATTTCAACAGTATTTGTACGATATTTCTTGAAGAAACATTATGTTTCAAAACTCTGGGTGTGCACTGGAGCGTAAATTGTACAACAATAGGCCGTGCACAACAGCCAATTCAAGATCAACACACGGTCCGACTCCACAGATTCCAAGGACTTTGTGTGTGTACAAAAGACACGAGGGATTAGCGTGTTTAGACGTCACCCGAAGGCAAGTCGAGGTAATCGTGACGTCTTAACCCATCAGCCATGCCTGCGTACAAAAACAGCCAGTGCGTACTATCCTCCGACATCCTCGAACTGGTTAAAAGATGCCTTTCACTAATGATCTACCCAGGGTTTAAGTGTATCCCACCTCTTTTGGTGTATCGTGCCATTTTTTCACTGGCACTTCACCAAAGAAACTAATGTCAGGCTTGATAAGTGCCCCACAGTCATCACACTTTGGGATCCTATCAGCAAAAATTTCATCTGAAGGAGAAAAAAAAGACAAAACCAAATCATACCAACCAAACTAAATACAGGGTGAGTAAAAAAAAAAAAAAAAATGTCGGGACTATTGTTTTAGTGAAGTTCTGCATGTAGCACTTTCAAAATCTAGGATATGAAAGCCCAATTCATAAGCTTTTTTTTAGTACAAGAATCATTCAAATCACTCATGTACTTTTCAAGTTACAGAATTATAAACACAACCGCCGTTTTTCTGCCCACAGATCACAAAAAAGTTGAGTGCTCTTCCAGCAAAACGATAACAAATCCTATTTGGGAGGTGTGTGAATTGTTTTCGTTTTGCTGAAAGAACGCACACCTTTTTTGTGATCCGTGGACAGAACTTAAAACGGTGGTTGTGTTTACAATTCCGTAACTTGAAAAGTTCATAAGTGATTTGAATGATTCTTGTATTAAAAGAAAGCTTATTAATTGGGCTTTCCTTTTTTTTTTAGATCTTGAAAGTGCTAAGCACAGAACTTCATTACAACAATAGTCCCAACATTTGGGGTTTTTTTTTACTCACCATGTACACATCATCTTTAAATTGTCCATGTTTTCATTATTACTGAAAATGGAACCTATGTACAACCCCCACATAAATTGTGTTACTCCCGGTAAGGGTTAGGGTTATGGTAAGGGTTAGGGTTAGGGATAGGAATATGTGCAGTCGGAACATTGGAGTGTTGGAACATACGGGTGTCTGAACACAGGTGTGTAACCAGGGAGACATTCCCATAGAATTGTGGTCGAAATTTTTCAAACTTTCATAACCGTCACCTAACCCCCATTTTACTTTACCCTGTACCCCCATGAATTTGGGTACATTTGTTTTGGACTGTGAGCGATCGATCCAGCCTATATGCGATGATAACATTTTGCCTCTGAATAGGAGTTGTGACATTAGGGAGATATTGAAATGTCTCCTTTATCTAAATTGTCTCCCTAAGGTATATCTTCTGACGAAACCAGCTGGGGGGGGGGGCCTGAGAGGCACGTTTCCCCCCCCCCCCCCCCCCACAAAGTTTCTGTGCCCCCCACCAAAATACTGATAATGCCCCTTTTCCTTCCCCAACCAAAAAGGGTTTTTGTAAGTTGTATTTTTTTTCAGTTAGCCAAAGGCTTACTGTTTACAATTTCTTATGTCAATGGATATAGCGAGGCATTATGGGGCCCAACTGGAAAAAAACTGCAGTACTGAGGACGTTTGCGATATGTTGCCCCCACGATATTCTGATCCCCCCCGTGCACCACCCCCCCGTGCACCCCCCCCCCCCGGCACCCCCCGGGCACCCCCCCCCCGGGCACCCCCCCCCCGTGCACCCCCCCCCCCCCCACTAAAAAATTCCTAGCTACACCACTGACAAAACGTGTCTCCTTAAAAAAAAAGTCTCCGGTTTCTGGTATGGAGCTTGCCCAAAAAGTGGTGCGGCGACGCGGCTTTTTTTTTTTTTTTTACCTGTTTTTTTTTTTTTTTTTGGCATCAAATGTCGGCTGATGACTGCAAATGAGTCCAGAGAGGCCACATAAAGCTTATTCTCGATCATAAACCCATCTAAAAACACGTTAAAATTGTGCAGCAGCAGGATTCCAGTCAAACCAGTGAGTTTGGCGGTTTTGAGACATCATCTTGTATTGAAAAAAAACTTTTTCATTTTGCCGACGCGCATGGCTACGGCGACGCGCGCGCATACCAGAAACCGGAGACTTTTTTTTTTGGCCTAAGGGTACATTTACATTCGAGTTAGATAGTGACTTTCACAAAATGGATATTTGTATTGAAAAGATTAAATTAAAGGTGTTGTCGAAGGAAGCAGGTACAACGTGGTCAAGCCAACGGCATGAAAACGGTAATAATTATAAGCACCACATTGTTGTTTTTATAGACCATTGCTATTCACTGACCTTTGACCCACTTTGAAGAATGCTCCTTGTGACAACTTTTGTCGATGCAGTGTGCAGTGCTGAAGCTGCCGTGAATTTCCACCAGCAATTCCTCCGGAACTCCGGCAATCACGTCCAGCGTGTCAACATTCTGTTAAGTGCAAATAAAAATACTGTTATAAAAAGATTGTTATCAGAATTGTTTGGTTCTATAGGCCACTTTTATACTATGGAGTTAATGTTTGCACAGTACTATTAAATGCTAGGCCTCTTAAGAAAGGGTAAACAAAATTTCAATTTTAAGTTGACATAAATCATGGGATTAGGTTAAATTGTTCAAAAACAGTAAGTGTATCAGCATTTTGCACATCCTAATGTCATTCTGTGTCCCCCCCCCCCAACAAAACCAACAACAACAACAAAATAAAATACGAAAAAAACACACTATAACTTATGCTATTTTTTGAGTGAAAAAAATTGTTTACAACTTTTGGAACAGAATGACATTTAATAAAAAAAAAAATTGGTTTTACAATTCAGCTTTACATTTAGCTCTATAAAGCCATTGGCATTATTTTCATTGATATGTTTGCCAAAACAAAACACCTCACTAATTAGGGTGAACAAAGCAAGTGATGACCCTTACCAGATTTGGAAAGGAGCAATCTAATTCCGCTCAATTACTTTGTACAATGTAAAATTGATGTATGGGGTGAGTAAAAAAAAATGTCCCTTCGGATTAATTCTTGCCTCCCACAAAAACTGTTATTTTTCAGCCAACACTCGGTCATTGCTCTGAATGGCAGACAATTGGATGGTCGAGCAGCAGGCAAGTGAATATGGGAACCTTATCGGTAATTCAGATTCAAGTTCAATAAATGTAATTCCATTTCATTCATATCCTGTTCTATTGTTACTTATTTCCTTGGCCAATTGTTGCCATTTTGTTGATAACAAGAGGCCTATTCTGAACATTGTGTTGGCAGTGTTCCTGGGTAGTCACAAAGAAAATCCTGTATTAGTGAGGTACCTTAGTGAAAAAATCGTGACACAGTGGACAAAAGCACAATTTTTTCACCAAAGCATCTCCATGGTATACCTTTTCGAGAAAAAAAAGACGGACGCAAAAAATTGGATGATGGGAAGGGCATGTATGACGTCATTATGACGTCATCAGCTAATTATTACATGAAAAAAATATAAATTGATAATAATCTTCAGAACTACAAGCATTACAGCAACAAATGTGGTATCAAATTAAAGGGGACAGCAAGCTCTTTCATTTGAGTGGTATGTCATGGGGATGGAATATAGTTAAGGGTGATTTTGTGGGTCAATAAAACCTTTTTTTGGTCAAAAGACATGGTTTTTTTTAGGCTAAAATCATGGATTTTGGGTAGTCACATTGACACTTTGTTTAAACATGCAAACAGTATGTGGTATTGTGATATGTTGTTTTTAAGTTCGAGAGAATAATTCAAATTCTATGCCAAAAGAGTTTTTGTAATTGATTATTAGTATCATAAATATGTTTAAACTTGTTCCAGAGATAAGCGGAAAAGTGAGGCATCTTATAGCGAGCTACATTAGTAACAAAAATGCTAAGGATCGTTACATGGTATTTAAAAGCACCATTTTTTTCACCAAAGCTTTGCCAATGTGTTACGATCAAAAATAGGGTAGGATGCAAAAAATCAGATGACAGGAAGGGTACTTTATGACGTAATAATGACGTCACAATATACTACCGAGCTCGTACAGTAATTAATTGTAGAAAATAAGGTCGTGAAGCGTTGTGATGAGATTCCAAGTAATTAATTTGACATTTTGAGGGTCAGGGAATTGAAGAGTGATATAATCAGTGACATTTAAGTAACAATAAGCTGATTTGCTGTTGCAGTGACGTCACTATTTTCAAATTTTCTTGAAAAATCTAAGCATTTCTGATTATGGACAAAAGTGCTACAATGACGGTATTTGTCACGCAGGAAATAAATTGTGTGAAATTGTGCGGCTCCTTGAATTTGGTCTTTACCACATCCATTTGTTTTGACCATTTACTATAGCTGGAAGACGTAACATTCTTATATGTGTTGTATATTACGGGTAATGAGGTATGGGTTAGGAGCCAGACAGAAAGGAACGTGGTTACCTGAAATAGATTAACAGATTGGCCGGAAATGGTGATGGTACGTCTTTTAACAATGTATTACAAACGGGGGCCGCCCGATAGTCCGAAGGTCCAATAGTCCGAAGGTTCTTTAGTCCGAAGGTTCGATAGTTCAAATGCACAACATTTCCATAAGGGGGGTTCGTTAGTCCGAAAATGAAATAAGGTTCGTTAAGCCGAACATTTGATACAATAGTCCGAAGGTTCATTAATCCGAAGGTTCATCAGTCTGAAGGTTTATTTTTCCGAAGGTTCGATAGTCCGAATTTAGAATAAGGTTAATCAGTCCGAAGGTTCAATAGTCCAAAACGAAAATAACAAGCCCGCGGGAACGGGGGGTGCTGTGGGTGCTGCAGCAACCCCAACTTTTTGGATTGGGGTGCTGAAATATGCTTCAGCACCCCCTAATCCCGGGCAAAAATGTGTTCCAGCCAGCAGTGTTCTACGACGTTGAAATTGCGCCGCTACGCTATACATTATGCTTGCTCTAAAAATATCTCCTTCGTTTTGTTCGTTTCTAGTTTTGCCGCGGCTAAGCGCGGCGCTTCGAAGGTCTAGCACAAAGTAACACTGTAAAATATCAGGAGGAGGTATTTTCTACAAAAATAACCTCGGCAATGACAATGGTGGCAAAGTTGATTATGCTTGCCACGATTTTTTTCATTCGATCTTTCAATAGGGGCAAAGTTCATACCTTTCCCCTGAAGGTTTTTCTTTTCATTTAAAAGTTTCATTGACGTTGCTAGCATTCTGTACTCAACATTAACAAATATCAAGGTTCACACACATCCCAACCTAATAGGAGTGGGACGGGCTTCCATTGAAACTAGTTCCAGTGTAGTTTCGTTTTAATAAAAAAGCTATTCATGTGTTACCCTTTGCAAGTTTTTTTTCTCATAAAAACTCAGTAGACCGATAAATCCTTGCCTAGCCCCAAACTTGCCACCTACCGATCATAAACATAAAGATGCATTTGGTCTGTTAGTCTTTTATATTTGCCATTCCCTGTAACAAACAAACAACACTGCAAATATATCAAGAGCTACATCGTTTAGGCCTATGTGAATATTTTTATGAACAGAAATTCACCCGCTTCCAGTGAAACCATTTTGTTTTAACTTGAACCAAAAAACACCCTTTCGGGTTTTATAAGTTTAAGTATATACTTCAGTATATTTCATCACAGTGCATCCAGAATCCAACATTTTCAGGGGCCTTAAAGCAGGACCCTGGCCCTGTGGCCCCACGCCGTAAGGGCTCGGAAAATAAAACAAAACATACACGACGGAGTTTACTAAATGTAAGAAAGCAGCCTAGCAACAATAATATTTACATGCGATGTCATGCATAATGATACAATTCTTTGTCCAGAATTAAATGGAACAAAGAATGGAGAAAAAAATAAAGGGTTTTCGACTTTTCAGTACAGTAGAAACGTTATAAGAGCAACAGTATATTCTAAACAAAAAAGTGAAATAAATTGTCTTTATAATCTCAAAAAAACGTTTGCTAAAAAAGTCATATGAAAGTGGCTAGGAATCGCCTCATATTGCACCACAGAGCATCCATATTCCAAAACTTTTAGGGGCCCTTTAAGCTACGCCGTAAGGGCTTTGCGCTCCGCGTTCGCATTAATTGTGTCCGTCCTTTAGGAATTCCAGCACCCCCTGGCAAAAGTTTGTTCCAGCGGGCTTGAAAATAAGGTTCAATAGTCCGAAGGTTCGATAGTCCGAATTGACAATAAGGTTCGATAGTCCGAACAGACTCTATGATGGTCCGATGGTCCGAATCGACAGTAAGGTCCGATAGTCCGAATCGACAATAAGGTCCGATAGTACGAATCAACAGTAAGGTCCGATAGTCCGAAGAGTCATACTGACGAACCGTATTGCCCATTCGGACAATCGAACCTTATTCTCAATTCGGACTATCGGACCCGATTCGGACTATCGAACCCTATCGTCTATTCGGACTATCGAACCTTCGGATTAATTAACCGTATTCTATTTTCGGACTAATGGGACCTTCGGACTATCGAACCTTCGGTCTAACGATCATTTGGACTATTGAACCTTCGGACTAACGAACCTTTGGACCAGTGAACCTTCGGACTAACGAACCTTTGGACTAATGACCCTTCGGACTAGAGAACCTTCGTACTATCGGGCTGTAACCATTACAAACACAATACCAGTGCAGCAAGTCATGGCCTGCAGTTTGTAAAGGTTTTTAGTTTGGGACGTGAAAAAGACAAAACAATTATCCATGATGCACAAGCACAAGTGTGTTTATCGATTAAATGCACCATCCTTGTCGTTGATGGACCGTGTATCCTATTGAAGTATCCATCAGACATCATCTTCTGTGTGACACGAGCAGAGCATCTCTGAAGGTCCACTGTGTGAGTAGTTTATCCTTTCTTGTTTCCACAAAGCTGGATTGCGACTGAGATCGTGCAAATACATAATCTTTAAAAAAGCGATCATCTGTAGTCTTGTTTATTAATTATTAGAGATTTTGGTAAAAATGAACAGAAGTCTTTGTAGAAATTGTAGATATAATACATCTTGCGTAAAATATACCTTCGCAAGTTTACAAACTTCCACAAAACGTATTATTTTGCAACATTGGAACGTATAATTGGTTTGAACATTCTACCTTTTTATTGCTTATGTGAACTGTTACTATCGTATTTCAGGACAGTCATCATGGATTGGACTGCTTGCATTATCTGCATGCAAACTACACCAGAAAAACTACGTTGTCCACAAAAAGGTTTAAATTGTAACGCCGGAGAAGTATATGCTCAATTCCTGGCTAATGTTGAAGGGTTTAGGGCAATAAATGCATTGCCAGTTGATGTAGAATACGGAGCCGAAGGGACAGTAGAAACTTTTGTGGAAAATAATGCCTCGTGGCATCATTCCTGAGGTAACATTTATGAGATAATCATGACGTAAGACATTGCATTTTAACGAATCATTGATCACAACAGGGGATAGGAGCGAGGGTCAAATGTACATGTACATACATGTTTAATTTAATACATTAAATGAGAAAACATCCCTCATTTTATCAAACTATTTGTATTTAAATCTTTTAAGAATTAAGAACAAAATTGGCAACTGCACTGATTTCCTTGACCTCAGAAACGTATATTAAATGTAAAAAAACGATCCATGGCTTATTCCTAACTAATATCTCAATTTTAATGTATAAGTGTGTAATAATTAGCCGATGACGTCATAATGATGTAATAAATGGCCCTTCCCATCATCCAATTTTTGTATCCTACCTTGTTTTCGAAAAGGTAAACAATGGAGATGCTTTGGTGTGAAAATGGTGCTTTTGTCCACCCGTGTCACGATTTTATCACTAAGGTACCTCACTTTTCCGCTTATCTTTGGAAAAAGTTTAAACATTTAAGATACTAATAATCAATTACAAAAACTCTTTTGGCATAGAATTTGAGCCTTTCTCTCTAATTTAAAAACAACATCTCACAATACCACATACTTTTTGCATGTTAAAACAAGGTGTCAAAGTGACTACCCAAAATCCATGATTTTAGCCGAAAAAACAGGTCTTTTGACAAAAAAAGGTTTTTTTGAGCCACAAAATCACCCTCAACTATATTCCATCCCAATGACATACCACTCAAATGAAAGATCTTGTTGTCCCCTTTAATTTGATACCAAATTTGTTGTTGAGATGCTTGCAGTTCTGAAGATTATTATTAATTTAATTTTTTTTTAATTAGCTGATGACGTCATCATGACGTCATACATGCCCTTTCCATCATCCAATTTTTTGCGTCCGTCTTTTTTTCGAAAAGGTATACCATGGAGATGCTTTGGTGAAAAAATGGTGCTTTTGTCCACTGTGTAACGATCCTTAGCATTTTTGTTACTAATGTACCTCACTATATCTTATTCATGCATTGCTGAATATCAGTAAAAATTGTACTGAATGTGGTCAATACCCAGACCGATTGCTAGCTGGAAATTAACCCTGCAGGTAGCTTTTCCCGTTTTTGTGGGAGACAAGAACTAATCTAAAGGGACTTTTTTTTAACTGACCCTGTACATGTATAAAGTGAATACAGTCAAGTTGTAGTTTTTTGGGATTATTTTAAAAGCATTGAAAGAAAGGAACAAAAATGGTCCTCATGGAAAAATTATACATGTTTGAAATATTCTCATTTTCTGGGTCACTTACTTGGGTGTAGTCTCTTAGGAGTAGATTCTTTTCGCCGAGTAGACGGATGAAGTAATGACAGGGCGTAGGTTTGAACACACCAGGGTACAGCGCCTTCGCTAGAGTACAGAAAGGCTCCGGTCTCTCCTAGGAATACACACAACTTTTTCATTTGTAGTTAAGTTAAGTAATCTTTGTAATTTGCTTGTATCCAAGTTGTCAGTTTTTTTTGGTAATTCTATTAAAATAGCAATTTCTTTAATGCAATTTGTTTCTCACATTGTCTTTTGATTTTTTTTACAAATCCTATATTACATTGACCCCCCAAAAGATTGGCCCATGTTTAGTTACTGAAATATTACTTTACAATTTCACTTTATTGGCTGTCGGACAATAATTTGGTTTGCGCAGGGTTGGCTGTTTCCCACCCAACAATCAGTATATCGATAATGTACAGACTGGGAACCAGTTTGCTCGGGCCATAGCGGATCTTTTCGCGCCCAACCAACTTTTTGTGCTCACACTCGTATGGCTCTTAGCACAGAGTTGACTCCAGTGCGTGACCATGGAATAGGACTTCCTCGTGGCTACCTAAAATTGAGACCAACGCTGACCCTTACTTCTCGCTCAAAAGTAATTGCCATGTATGTAAAAAGCACAAAACAATAAGCCTTCTTTAGAGTTTTAAAAATTGTTTGAGGGGCCTCCTTACCTTGAAGTAACGGATCTCAAACATCAGATGCGGGCTGGCGAGGTTGTATTTCTGCAGCGAATTGTAGAGACCAGTGTTTTTGCTCCTAAAGTCCGGGAGACCTGCAGCTGCATGTTGACAAGATTAATAGGTGCACGCGTTCTTAACGGTGCTTGTGAAATATGAAAATTCTAGTGGTCGAAGAGGAATGAGTGCTCAAGCATTGTGCCACCTCTGCCAGTTATAAAGGGTGTCTCCGAAGAAAAAAACCCAGCCTCAAAGCCCCCTCTTGTTCACAGCTTTTTAAAAGAATACATCGCAAATATCGATACACATTTAGAGAGTATATTTCATTAGCTTTTCAACACTGGAAAAATCTTTTTCAATTGGGTACACATTTATTGAGTTATGGCCAATTGAATACAAGTCCCGCTTTTTCATTTTGTCCACGGCAACTGATATTTTGACTGCCGCAATAAGAACTCGGCCCGAAACTTGCATTTGTGAAAAAGGCTACCAATTAGGGCAGAGACAGAGCAGCACAGTAAACATCTAAAAAGTTAACCAAATAGTCCTTTTCAGGACTAACATTACTTCCAAAAGGACTAATGACCATTGTTGCAAAAAATAAAAAATAATAAAAAAGAACCAAATATAGAATGAGGGAGCATAAATAGGAGTATGACGGAGCCATTATCAGAAAGATTTAAAATAAAAATATATAGTCAAATAATAAATAAATCAAAGAAGCCCAAATCCTAGTGGTTTTCTGCAATGAATATCAATATCTGGTTGGATAGATTCATATCTGAAGAAAATAGGACCAAGTACAACTACAAAAAGCAAACCCAAATCACTTACATGTAGAGATTCCTGCACCACTCATCACAATGATATTTTTACCTGAAAACAAAATTCAGTGTGTATAAATATTGGATGCAAGATGAAACTTTCTTGAGCAAGGGGGATTTGCCAAAACCCACTTTATGAGAATCCCCCACCCCCCCCCCCCCCAAAAAAAATGGAGATATAAATTGATGCATTGATGAAAAAAACTGAATGTGAATGTGTAGAACTGTGTTTATCCCCACCCCTCTTTTTAAAAATATTTTTCTGACCAATTGAAGATGTGTGACATGTTCATAAAAATAATCCAGACTGACTCTTTTTTTCTTCAGGTTGTGTAATTTTAAATAATTTAGGTTTAAAATTCACTGTAAATGTGTCAGATAAAAAGTTTGCCTCTAAAGATGATTTTCGACAATTTGTAGTAGAAGTATAACAATTTTACAAAGCCCATCAGGTAATTTGTGTATCCATCTTTGTCACATCATAAACTTCAAATAGGGTGAAAGTTTGCCATGGAAAGTTCAGTTCCAAAATTATAACCCTCGTAGTAAAGATCCATACGTGAAACAATACTTAAAAACAAAACATTTAAACCAGTTGCCCTGATGTGTCTGGGTTTTGTGTGTGTGTGGGGTTTTTTTTTCGAGAGAGATGACCTCAGATATTTGCTGTCTACTCACATCTGCCACTCTTGATGTACCTGGCCACACCCTCAAAGCTGACTTCGTCAAGAAGTTGTTGGGGTTTCTCTCCTTCCTTCTGGGTTGAGGACTTGGCATTGTGATGATCCAACAGTTGTTGAGTCAACTCCTCCAGATCGTCTGACACTGTACAAATTGTTAAATTGATGATCATCCGGGGGGGGGGGGGTAGGGAAGTACAGTTGCTGGGGGCATGCTCCTTTGTAAAATGTGAAATCTTGACGCTTTTTCTCTGTCATCTTTAATAATATCACATTATTCTAATAAATATGAGATTTTGTACATTCTTAATACCACTTTAATGGATGAATAAAAAATTACCCCCAAAATCATTCTTGCATTTTAAAACTTCTTAATTTGGCCCCCCCTTAAAAAAATGTAGAAGTTCTATTTTAAGATTCCAAAGAGAGAAGTAATGTGTATAAATATATTTCAAGGTGTTTCGCTGGAATGACATTGAGTTGTCACTTTTCTCCGACAGTCAATTTTGTGAAATGACCAATGACATTACTATTTTTGCCAAGAGGCACAAGGGTGTGTTCGAGATCACCCCACTCTTGGCAGGAGCCGGTCCGCCCCTAGCCCCACTTCAAATTTTGAGAACAAGAAGACCTGTTTTGTTTTTGACTTCTACCAACCCCACTTAGTGATGGTCCCTCCAGAAAATGATAACCTGGAAGTTCCCCCTCCCAGTCCTCACAAATGCCTCCCAAACGCCCCTTGCAGTTATGCCGCATATGGTTACCATGACAACCAATAAAACGACTTGGTTATTAATATATTTTAGAGGAACATCGAATATATTTACAAATTGTTAATTGTCTAGGCACTTGAGTATACCAGAGTTATTGTATACCAAAACTCAAAACCCCCAAAATCATGATTGTATTTGCAGAAATACATTTCAGAAAACCCAAATAAAAGGTTAGTTGTTGTGGACACAAAAGGCCATTTAATCATTTTTCAGTTTGTGCAATTTTTCATTTGTTTTTTTTTCCTCCGTAGTTAAATTAAAAACTGATAGATCAGGCTACTCATACTTTAACAAAATATTGACACCAATTTTTGAACTTTTGCCACGCCCCCAAATGAGATTATACCTTTCATTCTAAATTTGCCATAATTTTTAAAGCTATAAAGGAAAGATTGCACAGCATCCCAGTTTTCTTTCTAATATTTAAATCTTGACCGATGATAATTCTCAGCCATTAATACAAAGTGTTTTGAGAAAAAAAAACCAGGAAATTTGAGAACTTGGAAACCTTTTAAAGAACTAGTCCATGACATGAATTTTAAACTGGAGCATATTTGTAGCAAATACACACATATATCCATTCCTCTCAAATGTATAAAAAAAAAACAACTATGAGATATCCCTTTTTGGTTAAAAAAGAAGAAGCAGCAATGTGCACTATTTTAAAAACATTTAAAATGTTTCATGCCTTTTCCTGACAACTGAGGGCGCTGTTGCATGTTGTGAATTTTGATGTCACTTGAAGAACACACTCTTCAGGTTTTCTCTCAACTTGTAAACCCAATATTCTGCTTATTGAAAAGATTTGTGCATACAATTTTCTCATTGTTTTACTGTTGAAACAACAACGAAGTTGAACGAACCACTGAGAAAAAAAAAATTAACACAAGTAACCCCTTAATTATGATATGCTGAAGCAGATGGTTTCTGCCACATCACCGTTTTCAAGTTTTGCTCATGAGTGTTTTTGTTGATGTACCCTAACGTGGCGCGGCCCCTAACGTGGCGCACTTTGATTTTCGCCTGGACCCGATCGCCTACCTAGAGCAAATGTTTTAACTGAAATTTCACAAAAGGTGAAATTTCATCAAGTTCTATCGAGTGTATCTACCCGTTACAAATTTAGAAGCAGCATTTATTTCGGCGTGATTTTCCGATTTTGTTTCGAAGTGCACAGTGAACCCTTTGAAAATGTCCCCCAAAAATGAAAAAATAATTTTCTGACAAAGTGGGGTATGTAAAGTAGAGATAATAATGGTTTATCAGAATTTATCAACTTTACAGAAATTCTTAAATGTTAATTTGGAAATTTTCCGAGATTTATTCAACTAGTGCGCCACGTTCGGGAACACCGTCAGCCGATATGTGCTCAATTTCCGGGCGCCACCGTTTTTGGAAAGATTTCCATATACGAAGTTCACTCAACACCCTGTGTACAAACCCTATGAGATTGGACTGAAAAATTCTAAGTGTTTTTTAAGAAAATGCTTGTATTTTCTCACTGCTCAAATTGACTTTGATGACATGAAATTGCTATCTGGGGGCTTAATTGTTAGTCAATACAGAGGAAAATTAGTGAACTTCGTATATGGAAATCTTTCCCCGTTTTTGAATTTTGGATTAAATTTCATGACACCGAAATTGTTCACAGAGGTAAAATAGCATACATTTCATGACACCGAAATTGTTCACAGAGGTAAAATAGCAAGCATTAATAAGGTATTTCACTGAATGGATTTAAAGTTTGTCAACAAAGCAGTTCGGCAACACCGATGTGGAAAGTCGGGGTAAACGTCGAAGTGCGCCACGTTAGGGAACACGAAGCACAAAACCATCAACCATGAGCACCAACTTTAAAGCAAATGTACACTTCAAGAGTTGCTTCCTTAAAAAGCCATTACGTCATGGACCCTGTTAGAAAATACATAGGATTAACCTCCCCTACTCTCGGTCCACATAAAATTATAGGCTATAGCCTTGGGCTGCTAGGCCTGCAATTGCCGCCTCTGTGCATGTACATGTACACACGCACACAAAAACATGAACGATGAACTAAAATCACTCTAAACTAGACACTGAAGACTATTTTTAGTGACCTACCCGCGCATTCACGTCCAAATGAACTGTAGGCCCATAAGTTATTATTTTACTGCCTTACCAATTGTCTCGCTCATAGCTGGCTATGATGTAGGGAAGGCGGTCCGGCCCACATATACTAGGTTTGCGATATTGCGACGGAACGCGGGCTACGCTCAATTCGATTGAAAATGATTATGGTCTGAGTATTTGGTATGACAATAGAACTGGACACAGACTGTTCAATGGGCATACGTTGGCCAAAGGCCTTGTTTGTTTCGCTTTGTCGTCTGGACACACAAGGATAAAGGACTGGTCTAAGCTCCAGGGACGCGTGATATGATAACGGGCATTAACATGCATGCTGTTAATACCACGTCGTGCGTTCGCATGCATAGCTACAATCCTGGCCAAGCCTCTCGCTGGGCCCCCCTCCCCCGGCCCCCTGTCAATGTTGTCTCTCATTGCGCGGTGTGTGCTCCATCAGCTGGAGAGAACAACATTGACCGGGGGAGCGGGGGAGTGGGTGACCGTGAAAGGCTAAGGTTATTTCCAAGTGTCTCAACCATTTTGGCCGGGATTGTAGCTAGGGCGTAGATGAAAATCGCAGAATTTTGCTAGATGCATTCGCATGCATAGCTAGGACGTAGATGAAAATCGCAGAATTTTGCTAGATGCATTTCAAAATTCTATCTTCATTGAATGTAAAACGCTATTAAAGCGGAATAAAGCATCGTTACAGTAATGAATATTGTGAAGCTGTTTATTGATGGCTATTATAAATAACACCAAGAATGAAAAATAAAGAATTGTTGTTATATTATATACCAATCTGATCAGGCAATGTCAGACCATGGTCAGACTAAGACACTTAGGCCTAATCCTAACTTCAAATTTAACAGATATGACAGTTTTGGGGAGATCGAACTTTCTTAACTTCATCTAAAAGCAATCTTTGATAATAATGTTCCAAACAATCAAATGTAATTATAAAGTCAAGTAAAATTCCATCATTAAGAGCGGATCATCCACATGGTACCTCAAACCTCCCATTCATTCATCCAATCCATCATTCTAATTATCAAAGTAAATTCATTTACTTTAATTAATCCGAATCTGCAGAGAACTCAACAAGGAAACCAGCGGCTAAATTTGGGACATATATAGTACTTGTTTTAAACCACTGAACTGACGAACATGAATTTTCAATTTGGGACGTGAATGGATAAATTTCGCCTTATAAATTAAGCACTATACCTACCTGGAAATGTACCTAGCTACAATTTAACGAAAAACTCCTTGCTCCAAATGAAGATAGAACAAAAGTTTACCCAAGATAACAATCGAGGACCCGCATGCTAGTCCTCAGTTTTCGTGTTTAAGAGTAAGGACATAGAACAAATTACGTTTACCAAGATAACAATCGAGGACCCGAGTGCAGGTCCTCAGTTTTCGTGTTTACGAGTGAGGACCTAGAACAAATTACGTTTACCTGAGATAACAATCGAGGACCCGAGTGCAGGTCCTCAGTTTTCGTGTTTACGAGTGAAGACCTAGAACAAATTATGTTTACCTGAGATAACAATCAAGGACCCGAGTGCAGGTCCTCAGTTTTCGTGTTTAAGAGTAAGGACCTAGAACAAATTACGTTTACCTGAGATAACAATTGAGGACCCGAGTGCAGGTCCTCAGTTTTCGTGTTTACGAGTGAGGACTTAGAACAAATTACGTTTACCTGAGATAACAATCGAGGACCCGAGTGCAGGTCCTCAGTTTTCGTGTTTACGAGTGAGGACCTAGAACAAATTACGTTTACCTGAGATAACAATTGAGGACCCGAGTGCAATGTCAGACCATGGTCAGACTAAGACACTTAGGCCTAATCCTAACTTCAAATTTAACAGATATGACAATTTTGGGGAGATCGAACTTTCTTAACTTCATCTAAAAGCAATCTTTGATAATAATGTTCCAAACAATCAAATGTAATTATAAAGTCAAGTAAAATTCCATCATTAAGAGCGGATCATCCACATGGTACCTCAAACCTCCCATTCATTCATCCAATCCATCATTCTAATTATCAAAGTAAATTCATTTACTTTAATTAATCCGAATCTGCAGAGAACTCAACAAGGAAACCAGCGGCTAAATTTGGGACATATACAGTACTTGTTTTAAACCACTGAACTGACGAACATGAATTTTCAATTTGGGACGTGAATGGATAAATTTCGCCTTATAAATTAAGCACTATACCTACCTGGAAATGTACCTAGCTACAATTTAACGAAAAACTCCTTGCTCCAAATGAAGATAGAACAAAAGTTTACCCAAGATAACAATCGAGGACCCGCATGCAAGTCCTCAGTTTTCGTGTTTAAGAGTAAGGACATAGAACAAAGGTTAACCAAGATAACAATCGAGGACCCGAGTGCAGGTCCTCAGTTTTCGTGTTTACGAGTGAGGACCTAGAACAAATTACGTTTACCTGAGATAACAATTGAGGACCCGAGTGCAGGTCCTCAGTTTTCGTGTTTACGAGTGAGGACCTAGAACAAATTACGTTTACCTGAGATAACAATCGAGGACCCGAGTGCAGGTCCTCAGTTTTCGTGTTTAAGAGTAAGGACCTAGAACAAATTACGTTAACCTGAGATAACAATTGAGGACCCGAGTGCAGGTCCTCAGTTTTCGTGTTTACGAGTGAGGACCTAAAACAAATTACGTTTACCTGAGATAACAATCGAGGACCCGAGTGCAGGTCCTCAGTTTTCGTGTTAGCGAGTGAGGACCTAAAACAAATTACGTTTACCTGAGATAACAATCGAGGACCCGAGTGCAGGTCCTCAGTTTTCGTGTTTACGAGTGAGGACCTAGAACAAATTACGTTTACCTGAGATAACAATTGAGGACCCGAGTGCAGGTCCTCAGTTTTCGTGTTTACGAGTGAGGACCTAGAACAAATTACGTTTACCTGAGATAACAATCGAGGACCCGAGTGCGGGTCCTCAGTTTTCGTGTTTACGAGTGAGGACCTAGAACAAATTACGTTTACCTGAGATAACAATCGAGGACCCGAGTGCGGGTCCTCAGTTTTCGTGTTTAAGAGTGAGGACCTAGAACAAATTACGTTTACCTGAGATAACAATTGAGGACCCGAGTGCGGGTCCTCAGTTTTCGTGTTTAAGAGTGAGGACCTAGAACAAATTACGTTTACCTGAGATAACAATTGAGGACCCGAGTGCGGGTCCTCAGTTTTCGTGTTTAAGAGTGAGGACCTAGAACAAATTACGTTTACCTGAGATAACAATTGAGGACCCGAGTGCAGGTTCTCAGTTTTCGTGTTTACGAGTGAGGACCTAGAACAAATTACGTTTACCTGAGATAACAATCAAGGACCCGAGTGCAGGTCCTCAGTTTTCGTGTTTAAGAGTAAGGACATAGAACAAACGTTTACCTGAGATAACAATCGAGGACCCAAGTGCAGGTCCTCAGTTTTCGTGTTTACGAGTGAGGACCTAGAACAAACATTTACCTGAGATAACAATCGAGGACCCGAGGGTCTCTCAACAAATGAGAAGGTAAAGCTGCCTTATTATCAATAATATTTGAAAAACTGAAAAGCACTAATCTCATCGTCATAATTACTTCAAATTATGGGAATGAGGAAATAAAATGGCTTACAGTACGTCTTACTTATTGCAACTCTTGTACCATTTGTAAATTTCAAATATATATCATGATTTTTCTGTAAGATCTGTAAAGTTACTGTTGGTCTCGATGTATTTATTAGATCTACTTTTTCAGATTTTTCTTCTTTGCTTGGTGGTTATTTTTTTCACCTAAAAGGCAGACAAGCTGCTCCCTGTATTATGAGATCTATTTTATTTTAGCAATTTGGGAGGAGTTTTTGAACTGTACAAAGACAAAATATATAAAATCCATATTATGTGTTACAATTTGGGGGAATATATATTTCAGATATTCATATTTTGTTCGTCTTCTCCAAGTCGACATTCAATCACCCGTATCATTCATATATCAACTGAATACATGTACATATTTATGGAGGCCACTTGGAAGTTTGTTTTGTTTGGGGGAGGCGGGTGGAAGACTTTAATATTTAAGTACAAGAGATTTAGTTTGGGGCAATTTTCATGGAATTTAAAAATATCACCCATATCAATCATCCATATCATTATGAATACATGTAGACCCGTTTTGAAAACCGCATACACTGGTACAAAATAATACAGGTATATTAATTGAAATTCACAGTGCAAAATAATATACTTGTATTAATTAAATACACTTGTATGGTAGTCACTCCGTCTCCGTTCTTAGTTGAGTGCATTTTCTTTTCAGTTACTACTGGCTGCAGCATCTAGTTTTTGGTGTTCTGTCTTGATAAGTTGCACCAGTTCATCCTGTGGAAAGATAAACTCAGAGTCAAATATCACCGCTATAATAAAACAAAAATGCAAAAGGTGAAATTAATGTGCATATGTGTATTTGTGTTCACGAGTTGTACACAAGTAAAAATCATTCATGAGTTGATCACCCGCACAGCAGCGATAGTTCGCAAGGCAGGCAAAGAGCATGGCTAGTTACCCCAAGAAATGGGCGAGGCAAAACCTCTTTTACTTTATATTACATCAATCTGCAACTGCATCTGAACACTCAATTTTTCGCTGCTTCATTCAGTTACTGCTGGACCTGAAGGGCATCTATACTGTCCTCTGACTGAGTCTTTGAGTCATGGAGTCACTGACTGACTCCCCGACTGACTGACTCCCCCCCCCCCCCCCCCACTGACTCCCCCTCTCCCCTGACTGAGTGAGTCACTGACTGACTGAGTCAATGACTGAGTGAGTCACTGACTAACTGAGTTATGACTGAGTGAGTCACTGACTGACTGAGTTATGACTGAGTGAGTCACTGACTGACTGAGTTATGACTGAGTGAGTCACTGACTGACTGAGTTATGACTGTGAGTGAGTCACTGACTGACTGAGTTATGACTGAGTGAGTCACTGACTGACTGAGTTATGACTGAGTGAGTCACTGACTGACTGAGTTATGACTGAATGAGTCACTGACTGACTGAGTTATGACTGAGTGAGTCACTGACTGACTGAGTTATGACTGAGTGAGTCACTGACTGACTGAGTTATGACTGAGTGAGTCACTGACTGACTGAGTTATGACTGAGTGAGTCACTGACTGACTGAGTTATGACTGAGTGAGTCACTGACTGACTGAGTTATGACTGAGTGAGTCACTGACTAACTGAGTTATGACTGAGTGAGTCACTGACTGACTGAGTTATGACTGAGTGAGTCACTGACTGACTGAGTTATGACTGAATGAGTCACTGACTAAATGAGTTATGACTGAATGAGTCACTGACTGACTGAGTTATGACTGAGTGAGTCACTGACTGACTGAGTTATGACTGAGTGAGTCACTGACTGACTGAGTTATGACTGAGTGAGTCACTGACTGACTGAGTTATGACTGAGTGAGTCACTGACTGACTGAGTTATGACTGAGTGAGTCACTGACTGACTGAGTTATGACTGTGAGTGAGTCACTGACTGACTGAGTTATGACTGAGTGAGTCACTGACTGACTGAGTTATGACTGAGTGAGTCACTGACTGACTGAGTTATGACTGAGTGAGTCACTGACTGACTGAGTTATGACTGAGTGAGTCACTGACTGACTGAGTTATGACTGAGTGAGTCACTGACTGACTGAGTTATGACTGAGTGAGTCACTGACTGACTGAGTTATGACTGAGTGAGTCACTGACTGACTCCCCTATGACTGACCGTGTCACTCCCTGACTGGGTCACTGGCTAAATAACTGACCGAGTCATTTGATAACAATGTCCTAAAATGAGACCTTTGGGTCTAAGGTGACTGGGAAAGCCCATTCTAGTTTTGGCAAATATTTGTGCCATTTTGCATTCAACTGACACTAACAATTAAACTTTTAAATTGTTCACTTTAAAATTATCACCAATTTTCTAAGGATTTGGATACTTTTAAATTAAAACAAAACAAAAATGATTCATCAAGAACCTCATAACTAGAGAAGTGTGGAGGATACAAACATCTGAATGCTGAAGGAGTGGCAGCTTAAATACTTCTTAATAAATAAAGACGAGGCTTCGCCTCGCCCGCGTACGTCTTCGCCTGTTGAGTCACAGGTGATATGTATTAATACAGGTTTCGCTTTTTTTCAGCGACTGGCAGATGAAAAAAGTTAAAGAAAGTAAATTTACCTTCCATCCCAGAAGTTCAGCTAGTTTGTAGAAACCATCGTCACAAGACCCCAGATAAAACACATCTCTGAAATAAAAACAATTTAAAAACCAAATTAAGTGTTTCAGCATTCAGGTTTTTTTTTATTTATCCTCTGCAGACATCCATTTCTCAGCATGCAGACTTCGTAACAAACACCTTTCCTGACAGTTCATACCAGGTGTGAAAGTGAAACCAATGCAACTTTGTGACATTCGCTGCCATTATGGAGGACACCAATGTACATGAGGACACCAAAAAAATGCAAAATAGTACCCCACCTTGTCTGTACAATCCAAGCTTGAAAAAAAAATCAAAAAAAAAAAAATAAAACGTGTTGCCGCATCAATTTCGGAACTTTGGTTTGACCAGAGACCGAGAATTTTTTTTTTTGGCCTAACAACCAAACATTCACGTTTGCTAAGTTATCACTGTGACCATTTCCAGTTTGGGTGAAAAGAGAAGAATTGCATTGATCAAGCGCTCTAAGCTCTTTATTATTTATTTCTGTAACAACCCATGTCTTTGAATTACCTGTAATTATCTGCATAATCAAAGTTGAAGCCAACACTCGTACCCATGAATTTCATCAAAGGGTCAATCTGAAAAACAAACACAAACTTTCAAGACTAATGGGCAACAATACGTGAGCCTCTCCAATGCTATGTTCAAACTGCACACGTCATATGATCTGATACACCGTGCCCTCTGGAGACGTGCACGCAATAGGGAACAAAAGATTGTATACATCTCCAAAGGGCAATTTCTATGGATGAATACGTCTCCACAAGATTTTCACGAAATAGATATATGGATTTTACTAAAAAACTAGGAATTTCCAAGGTGGGTTGATCTGTCGCAAATGGAAGAGTTTTTAGAAAAGGGATATTAAGTCCAAATTTCAGCCAAGGAAATTAATTCTGTTTAAAATAAGAGCATTTTGAAACTTCACTTTCAAACTCGAAAACTTTACTACTGAGAACAAAGAAATGTCTCCACAAGAATACAAATTTCAGTATGTGTGCACTCGCGCACATGTCAGACTTTTGTGCACACATGTCAGACTTTAATCATGATTTTTAAATCGTGTGCCTACCTTGCCGCTCAATTCGTAGTTGATCAAAAGTCTCGGGGTGGTAGCTGGTACTCTGTGAGACAGTGAAATACCACAAAAATCAACAGTCAAGAGCAGTAAATCAACCAACCAGGAATTCACTTTAGACCAGTGGTCACTTTATTTTTGATAAAATGTTCGCATAAATTCAGTAACGGGTTTCGCCCGTAACTGATGAAGCCATTTCATAATTTTGAACCTTATTTTGAATTTACATCTCAAATTTTTTTTTTTTTTTTGCCTTGAAATGTGGAATTTTTCAAAAGCGATTTTTTTTTTTTTTTTTTTTTTTTTTTTTAAATATTTTTTTTTATATATTTCAATTTCCTTTTTTTTTCAATGTCGGATCCATAATCCAAGTAATTTTTTTTAAAAGCCTAAAACTAAAGATTTAGTGCTTACAGGGTTTAGCACAGACTTTCTGTACCAGTACTAGTGAGCATTGTTATAGAAAGGTGATTCATTGCCCCGCATAGAATTTCATGACAAGCAGAGCTTTGAAAATGGGCTGGACAGCTAAGAAGTGTCTCCATCCAACTTACTTATTGATCATTGCTGCAAACGGTTGAACCATTAATGAGGTCCCAGAAACAATCAGAAGGTCACATTTAGGGAAATCCTGCCAATAAAAAAACAAAAAACGTATTATGTATGAAAATTATATAGTGCCTTTCATACGTGAAATACCCAAAGAACTGAACAAAATTTTAAGACATTAAATTTACATCTACAATATAAATGACATCAATGTCATTACTTTATTATAATATCTGTGCTGTACTCCAAAAAGGAAAAAATATGTGTTGGAAAAAACTAAATGGGAACAATTATGTTATGTAAGTGAAAAAAGACAAACGAAGGGAAACTGCTCATCTTTTCCTGAACTCCTATGTTCCCTGATCATTTGAAACCCCATAAAACCTTTCGTATGACTTTGAAGAATTTAAAAGGGAAGTCCTGACCACTTTTATTCTACATAGGGAATGACATCCATAGAGCACACAGAATGTTGGAACAAGTGGTGAGAGAAATCAGATAATTCAAATCCAGTTATATATTTTTTTTAAAACCAAATAACGGTTATTACCAAAAGCTCCCTCTCAGATCACAGTCAGGCTTACAAAAAGTGACAAGTGAGGTGCAGCATACAATGCCCTCCCAATGATTGGGAATAGTTTATGGGAAGTCGAATGGGCAGGCTATTCATGAACCGAGAAGACCACTGAGTGAATGTGGTGACACAAAAAAAGCTTGTGTCACAAAAAAAGAAAGGCCCCATTTCTTTAAAGGGTTGGTTTCAAATATCCGGTTTTAAAAAATCCACATTGAATAGTGGAATTCACACTTAATATTAAAAAATCTGGATTTTTTTTTCTCACCACTGGTTGGACCACAATGAATGTACATGTTCCATATGTGTTGTGGATTTTGGAATATTTTGGGAAGGTATTTTGTACACATGGAACCTTCCCTTATGCAGTGTTGTAGTCGAGTACTTTGTTCCGAGTACCGAGTACTGCCGAGTACGAGTAAGAGTACCTGAGTACAAGTACAGGTCTCCAAGTACGAGTACTTGTACTAGTACTTGTAATACAAGTACTTGTACGTACTTGTATTATGAGTACAAGTACTTCTATTTCCGAATATGGCCATACAGCAAATGGTTCATTGTGCGTAATCAGCCAAGGCCCAGTCAGACTAATATACAGATCCACTGATGGCTAGCTGTTAGACGTGTTTGTTCGGACGTGCACAAAGAAAAAAAAAATAGGAAACGTTGTTTTCTCTGCAAGCCGCTCAACCACTTCCAACTGAAAGTATCAATAATGAAATGAGGCTGTGATAATTCAAGCTACACCGTTTTTTTTTCCGAGTACTGCTATTCTAGTACGAGTATTTTGATGATTGAGTACAATTTTGACATGTCAAGTACAAGTACTTTGCTGCCGGAGTACCAGTACTGCCATTTCGAGTATGAGTACTTTGATATTCGAGTATGAATAAGAGTACTCTAAAAAAGTACTTGAGTAGTACTAGAGTACGAGTAACGAGTACGAGTACTACAACACTGCCCTCAAGCTCCAAAACCTACCACATTTAAGGGTGCCGAGGATAGGGGTACAATAATCGTGTTTGGAAAAATTCCAGTACTTCTACCAACTGACGAATCACAATGCATCAATTTCAAACAACCGGACAAATTGATTTTGAGAAACAATCTCACGGTACCTCCTCCACTAGCTTGTCAAACCCCTTGGGCATGTCTTCGCCAAAGAATGCACAGTCTGGCTTGATGATAGCTCCACAGTTGTTGCACTTTGGGATCCTGTCTGCAAAAATTTCATCTGAAATTGGAAGAGAAATATTTTAAAATCCTTCAATGTTCAGTCTTTGCCATTAAACTGTTGAGCCACATAACGTCAGCCACAGACTGTTGATATGACAGTAACCTAATTTTTTTTATAGACAAATCCATTTACCAAATCCATTTACCACAATTAGTATACAAATATTGAGTGGCTCAGCGTGGAATGGGAGGAATATTATCGCAAGGTAAAATCTGGACTTTTCCATTTCACGAGGTGAAGCCGAGTGAACTGGAGAAGTCCAGCGATAATATTCCATTTCACAATTTAAAGCTACTCAATATTTGTTTTACATAACTGGCATAATATAGATCCTTGTCATTTGATATATATGAACTTTTATTTCAATACGAAATTGGTGGAAAAATGTATTTCTCTCTTCCAAACCACCCCTGCATGAAAATGTTTGAACCCAACGCTGTAGCGCTGGCTCTTTGGAACTATACGCGCTACGCACAACGCTGAATGCGCACACCAGCATGCATTTGCACACATGAATACCGCGTCATGGAACAAAAATGATCCTGACTGTTCAATAGTATTTCCCATTGCCCATGGGCGAATGGGACTTTTTGAGCCTCGGCGTGAATGGGAGCAATAACGAATGTCACGTGATGTGAATTCCACCAATCAAATGACAAGGATCTGTATGTCGATTTTATAAAAGGAGTTGTTTGGTTGTACTTAAGTACAATCCGAGTACTTTTTGAGAATACATGTACTTGTACTCCAATGCTAGTAAGGGTATTCCAAAAAGTTCTCGAGAATGCCCAGACTCACAGAACTCGTACTCGAGAAGCACGGTACTTTGACTCGACTCTTTGATATCGCTCTCCAAAAACTTAACATCGTTTGTCATTTTTGAATTTTTTTACTTTTTTACATTTTACTTTTTGGATAGCTGCAATGATGTACTCTACTCTTAAAAGCCCAGCCGGGCACCAGACTATTCCTAATTTGCACTGTACAAGATTTTAGAACACCCAAATGATCCAATACCAGTGTGAGAGAGCAGGTAGTGGGAGCATACTGCTCGTCACCATGGGAAGAAGGTTGCCGTCAAGTCTTTTCCTTTGTGTCCTTTGACCTTTGACTCACCTCTGACCCACTTTTGGCCATACTCTGTGTAACATTCCTTCCCGATGCAGTGAGCTGTGCTGAATCCTCCGTGAGCTTCCACTATCAACTCATCTTTCATTCCAGCTATCTTGTCCAGTGTGTCAATATTCTGCATGAAAATTAAAGGAAAAGAGCAATCTTGAATATTTCTTTAACTTTAATCCTCTTGGGTATTTTTAGTGGTGCAGATAGGGGAAATATTTGGGGAATCGTGCCTTTGATGATACAAGCATGGCATTTCGCACACAGTCAGAGTATGTCTAGATATTTGGCTATACGGCCATCACAGATCTTTGTAAAAGTATAGGTAGAAAAACAAGCACTTTTCAAAATTTTCAAAATGGCTGCCATTAATCTACCTATATTTTTTCATAGGACAAATCTGTGGGGGGGGGGGGGGTTTGGACTGATGAACGGACCTTACTATAATTCATTTGAATTATCTTTTCTGTAAGTTACCTGCGTGTAATTCCTGAGCACAACGTTCTTTTCGCTCATGAGTCGGATGAAGTAATGGCACGGTGTTGGCTTGTAATCTCCCGGATAGAGCGACTTGACTAGCTTGAAGAAAGGCTCCGGTCTTTCCTGCGACAAAAAATGAGACAGCTTCTAACAGAGTGAACAGAAATCTGTCTGCAAAGCACACAAGAAACTAAGGAAAGAAAGAAACTACAGGAACTCTTCTTGTGCAAAAAAAAGAATTACTGCTTGCTTGAGGGTTGGTTGTAAAGAAGTGAATCATAGGTCAAACCAAAGGCACAAAATGTCACAAATAACAGGAATGTAAAATGGCAAAAGAATGCCTTTGTTATACTTCATTCGGACAGTTCATCACAAGACATGACTAGATTTGCGATGGTAATTGTGAATGACTTTTTAGGATTTCTTTTGACTTGAGTACATCTTTGCTTGAGGCTACCCCACTCCATCCAACAAGATGCTCAACCAACCGTTAGTTAAACACATTGATTTTCTTTGTATATCAGGTATGGTTCTTGACCACAAATTCAGAGGAGGCCAAAGGACATTTCATTGCTATATGTTATGATTTTAAAAATTGTTGCTATTTTTAATAAAAAGCTAATTTCTGAATGGGGAAACCAACAAGACAGAGTAAGGAGCATTTGAAGTTTTGTAAAAATCCTCACGAAATCTCTCAGGGGTTCCAACATCTGCTCTTTTAAACATTGCCAATCACTTGCAAATATTTTTTTCTTTTTAAAATAGGGGAAATTCCATGTTGAATCAACTGAAAGGTTTTTAGCTGCGGGAGAGCAGCTCACTAAATCATCATGTCTCTCCATTATTAGTCCGTTAATTACTAACAAACGTTGACATGGTCTATTGCTCCTACATATTTTGACCGATTTCAACCAAACTTTATCAAAAGTATCAGTAGCCCAGCCCCAACATGTCACATGACCAAACAGGGTCAAAGGTCATCATGGGGTCACTGGGGTCAAAAAACCTGATTTTTTTTTACTCAACACACTACTCCTTCCAGAAATTACATGTCACAATCACGTGACTTATGCATGAACACGAATTCGTTGACCCGCAGCCTCCGAGATATGTCCAATCGAGCTTGTTTGATTTACTGCTCCTTACCATGAAGTATCTGATCTCAAACATGCGCTGAGGGTTAGGAAGCTCATACTCCTCCAGTTGATCATACAGGCCGGTGGTTTTGGTCCTGAAATCTGGAAGTCCTGCAGCTGAGGAAAAGACAAAACCTAAACGATCAAACAAATATTTTGTGAAAAACTAAAACATGACAGGCAACGACAGATATCCAAAGTTGTTAAGACTCACACCTGAAATGTATTTTAACGGGTATATGTGCTTTTCTTGGCAACTGAGGGCGCTGTTGCTGGGATGTCACTTTTGGCAGTTTGTCTCTTCAAATTGGAAACACAACATTTTGCTCATTGAAAACATTTGTGGATAAAGTTCTCTCATTGTTTAACTGTCATTTACTAAAACAGCAATGAATCGTCCATGCAGAAAGGTGATCACAGCAAAAAAAAACAAATTCTGGGGAATTTTCAAGCTGAAGCAGATGTAACACTGAAGTTTCTGCCTTGGGGTAATTCCACGGTTACTCACGTTACATTTGCGTAAACGTGAGTAACCGATTTTGTGCGTCTTGTTTATCATACATAACACATTTTTCTGGATGTCATCTTTGGTGCTTAGGTAGGTCTAGGTCTACTCTATCTACCATGGGGATAACAGTTATTAATCCTTGTCAGTAAGGTAATTACAGCCCAAGGAAACTCAAAAGTACATCAAAAATGTAACGTCAGTAACCGTGGAATTGCCCCTTGAAAGACATCACAGTTTTGTTCATGAATATGAAAATTAATTATTTCAACCAAAAAAAAAACTGCACCAAAACATTGTTAAAATCGCAATATGAAGATTAAAAAAGAAGATGGTCTACAAAGGTACATTTTAGGGTTTTTTGGGCAGGGGCCAAAGCCCTTGTGGGGGACGGAAGGGACTGATTCTGCAGTATGTACGCTAGTCCGAGTGACGCAATAACGAGAATACAAATACTCTACAAATAAACATCTATAATTAAAACAACTTACATGTTGAGATCCCAGCTCCTGTCATAAAAATTACATTTTTGCCTGAAAATCAATCCACAAAAGAACAAAAAATCAAAACCATTTCAGATTTTTTTTATTACCAGTCCTGTCTTTACTTCAAGCAAGGTTTCCGTCCAGTAAGATTTGAGGCTTTGCATGGTGGAGATACTAAATAATGAAAGGTTTGCGGAAACACCATGTTCGAATAATTTCTCAACCAAGAGAATGGTTCTGAAAAGAACCAGAGGTATAAACTCTCTGTTTCTGTCGTTAAGTTAACCCTAGCCGCCCTGAATCCTCCAAAATCCTTTTTGCAAATTGGAGGAATTTGCAGGATTGAGATTACATGGCCAAAGTGCGTTGCTGATTTCGGAGTACGCACTGTGTCAAGGTCTTGGGCCGGACCTTGTGTTGTTTATGCTCAGCCGTGCATAAATTTAGTCCTTGATTATACTTGACATCCTCCGCATTGCTCCAGGATGTCACTGCCTCTGCCTCAGCCTATTGACAGTCATAGCCGGAGGATTTTGCAGGATTCAGGCAGTGGTCACCCCTCCATGGACCATACTCAAGAAACAACGGAGGAATTTGCAGGATTGAGTCTATATGCTAGTTTTCCATGAGGCTGATTGGAGGATTTTGCAGGATTGAGGCTACATCCTAGCAAAAAGGCCTAGGGAGTTAGGTTAAACGGACTACTTTTTCGGGTAATTGGAAATGGTCATAAGCGCGGGTTTAAGAAAAAAAACAACAATGAGACTTCAAAATATGTGAATTCCACTCACAGTTGCCACTTTGGATGTATCTGGCCACGCCCTCCAAGCTGATTTCATCCAGGACCTGTTGAGGGGTGTCCGCGGCCTCAAACTTCTCAGCTGAAGACTGACTTGAGAACCGTTGCGTTAACTCATCGAGATCAGACACTGCAAAGTTTCAAAGAATTGATCTGTTTATCAAAAGGCAATTATTATTTAACAAAATCACCTATCCCATGGGCATGGCTGGCAAGGGTAGGGTGGCCACAAAATTAAAAATGAAACTAAAGACTCGCGTTTGTTGAGTTACAAACGCAAAGTTTTTTCATCATCCCGTAAACCATTTGGAAGAAATTTCTGTTTGGTTTTATTTGAGACTCATGTCTATATTTTGAATTCATCTAATTTTGACCTTCCCGTACCCGGAAGTAAAGGTCAAGCAGCTTACACGGCGTATATGACAAAACAATTCACCAATTAATGATCCATCTGATTAAAAAGTACAAACATCATTGATTTGTTTGTTCAGGAATTATAAATGAAAGATGTTGGTCACTTTTGTCAACTAAAATGGTCAACCATGTACACTTCTGCGGCTTCTGGAAGGTCAACTTTAGAAGTTTGATTCAAAATATAGACATGAGCCTCAATTCAAAACCAACCCAAATTTCTTTCAAACAGTTTATGGGATGACGATAAAACCTGGTATGAACTTAAACTCTAGTCTAAAGATGTGAAAAAAAGTGGGGGATGTCATCATGATGTCATCAGGTATTCCAAATTTTACCAAATTGCCAAAAGATAATCTTTGGACAACCGCAAATGACATTGCAAGGTTTCAGAATCATGATGTCATCAGACTGAAATTATAATTTCGATATTTTTCAATTCAGTGATGTAGTGCCTTGATGCTGGGCCTTGGCCTTAAGGCTCCCTTAAGGCTTGACTTTAGGGCCTTGGCCTTGGCCTCGAGGCTTGAGGGCAAAAGCCTTGGCCTTGGCCTTGAGGGATTAGTGCCTTGCAATTTTGAGTCAAGGCTCTTCAAGGCCCATAGATTTTTGCATTTTCCAGATAAATCTGTCTGAAATGTTGCTGTTACCATTTTAATAATGTTACCATGATGAGGAGGGAAACAGATTTCACTTTTATAGCTGCACATTTTGTTACCATTGTAGTACATTTGCTGCAATAATTTTCTGTACACTTTATAAGTAAAGCCACACAAAGTTTTAGTGAGCTACTTTTTTTCTAACTGATGATCAATCTGATTGGTTGTATATATATATCTCCCTGATAAGTGCTAAAGATTTGCATGTATCTGTTTATTAGGTATAATGCTAATATTTCTGACCATGTTGGCCCAGCAAATAAAAATTCCCCAAATCAGTTTCTTGGATCCCCCTTTTGTTACGCTCGGGAGAATTGTGCGTCAATATAGAAGTTAATCATTATTTTGTTTTAGTTATGTAGAACCATATATTCATGAAGACCTGAACTTATACTTTAATAGATACAATGCAGTCATAAAACATTATATGTGAGCATTTTGATTGCAATTAAAGACAAGTTGTTCTTCTTAATAAGTGATTCGTGATGATGTGTCATGTGACTATAATTAGTTCTATATTAGTGGTCATTTTATAAAAGGGCCTTGGCATTGGCCTTGGCCTTGAGGGTCTAAGCCTTGGCCTTGAGGGTCAAAGCCTTTGCTCGGCCAACACTGTTTTTCATACTGTTCACTTCATGATAAAGTACGCATCCTCTCTATAAACTTAATCAGTATACATTTTGCACATTTTAACTAATGAAGCAGTCAACCCAGAAATACATGCATGCATACACAAAATGTATACACAAAATGTATACACAAAATGTATACACAAAATGATTAAACATGACACCCCAATAGGCACTAGCTGTTTCTTTCAAATTCAAACAAATTATGGTTCCACTGGAAAGACTGAACTGTGTGATCTTTTTTTTTTTTTTTCGACATGCAATATTCACAACCTAACCAGGCAATGTCCAATGATGTAATTGTCTGCACGCTCACCCTGCATTTGTACATGTATTTCAACAAGCGTAAATCTCTATATTTTTCCCTCGATGAAATTCCACCTGTGTGATCGGTCGACACGGCTACCGTAGTTTGTGTGCTTACATGTACATGACACAATGTAATGCTTTGTCAGTTACTGTAAGGCCCCCCCCCCCCCAAAGAAAATTATAGTTCTGCTCCCAGTAACCTACCTATCCTATTTTTGACAGCACTACCCGGTTTCTTTTTTGTTTTTTGGGAAAAAATGAGGGAATTACCCAAAAGATATCCATTTCTACCTTTTCTCCATGACTATACATGCAGATGCCTCCATATGATCGTACACACACAAAAATGCCCCCCCCCCCCAAATAAAAAAAAAATGCCCAACCTACCTATCTACCCTATTTTCAAATGCCATGTAATCGGAAGCAGCAGTTTTTTTTCTGGCCTTATCAAAATACTGCACATACAAAAAGAGTTGAAAGGCAAATGTTATTTCCCAATGAGAAATGCTGGCTTTACGAGGCCACCGTACAGGTACATGCATTTGTGGTATTATTCTTGGGATTTCCCCGCTTGAGAAATGACTGCAGTGAGAAATAACGTGCAGTGAGAAATAACTGAAGTTGTCACATATACCAAACTTTACTGAAAAGTGTGGTCTTCTAAAAGTACCGGTACTAGAGAAACTGCTGGAAAGCAGTATAGTTTATATGTTGTATTCCAAAGTTGGTCAAGTTATTTCAAAAAGAGTGTGCAACTTTTCAGGTGAGTTGAATAAATCTCTTAATCTCTCAAATTTAGCATGGGGTGTTACACTGCAGGGTAAGTCAAGTTTTGTACTTAAAGAGCCCATGAAGTGAACATTTCTTAGGAACATATTTGGGTGCATATACCTGTGTTCCCCAATACCTATGTTCCCCATCCCTAACCCTAACCCTAACCCTAACCCATGCCCTAACCCTTGATGAACATACATGCAGGTATCGGGGAACATCGGGTAGGCCCCACATATTTCGTGCAACTTTCTAATCCTCTTCAATGTAAGAAAACTATTTGAGTGACATTCCTGTTTGGTTAATTTTATTGAAAATGCTCCTCTTTATATAATTTTGAAAAAATGTCCATGCTTTTCCAGACAACTGAGGATGCTGTTGCTGTGATGTCAGTGCAGGAAGACAATTTTCATTTTAGGTGTTTTCTGTTGAAGAACCCAGAAATTAAAAAAAAAACATTGGTGAGAAAAGTTTGCTCATTGGCTTTACTGCCATGTACTGACATAGCTCTACTGAGTGGAGCGTTGAATTATGGGTACCCCTCCATACAAACGCTCCACCGATTCGCCATACTTTGGTAGCACCATCACAGTAGCAAAGTCACAAACCCACGCGAGGACAAAAAGACCCCCAAAAAACGGTAAAGAGATTACAAATGAGAGAGACAGTTATCCTGGATTGATCTATACATTCTTGACATTCCATGAGACCCCTTATATTGTTCCCAAACAGCGAACATTTTGGAAAAAAAACAGCAAAATAGTTTGAAAACTTACAGTTCAATGTGTTTGCATGGAGGCTCAGTTCTTGAATTAGCTTGTCAATGAGGGCGTCTGACGTGACGTCACCGTCGTTGCTCGATCGCGAAGAAAAACAAGTCGCGCTTTATCAACGACTGTCGTACGGCGCGGATCGGAGCACGTATCATTACACGAAACAGTCGTTGATAAAGCGCGACTTGTTTTTCTTCGCGATCTAGCAACGACGGTGACGTCACGTCATTGACAAGCTAATTCAAGAACTGAGCCTCCATGCAAACACATTGAACTGTAAGTTTTCAGACTATTTTGCTGTTTTTTTCCAAAATGTTCGCTGTTTGGGAACAATATAAGGGGTCTCATGGAATGTCAAGAATGTATAGATCAATCCAGGATAACTGTCTCTCATTTGAAATCTCTTTACCGTTTTTTGGGGGTCTTTTTGTCCTCGCGTGGGTTTGTGACTATGCTACTGATGGTGCTACCAAAGTATGGCGAATCGGTGGAGCATTTGTATGGAGGGGTACCCGTAATTCAACGCTCGACTCAGTAGAGCTAGTACTGACACAACGAATCATTGTTAAAAACAATGTTTTGGACAACGAAATAGCCAAATTCTGGCAAATTTTTTGCTGAAACTAGTTGTAACATTGAGGTTTCTGCCTGGAATGACATCATATTTTTGCTCATGAATATGGACATTTGCAGTAGCATTAAAAACCAAAATGGCACCAAAATACCCTTGAAAATGGCAAAAAAAAATTGAAAACTAGAGGTTGTAGGAACAACCACACGGTTTTGGGCCATGGATTACCGCAAGTTTTGCCACACACATCAACTCAAAATGCATGTTTAAATCCATGTTTGACTTTTTCAACATGCCGCCAGAGGGCGCTCTAACATTTGATGACGTCAACTGTAAAATATTTGTACAGTATTGCCTAGGCAGACACTCACATCGTTGAAAGCAAGTTTGCATCTTCTGCACATTTCAAATAATAAGGCACTTCCGGTTTCGACCGGAAGGAAGGGTCACATGATTTTGCTCTTAATACCGAAAATGAAGACCCTGCAATATTTTATCGATTGCCATACAAAACAAAATGAAATCTGTAGCAGTTGATTTTATATTGATTTTCAAAGATTAAATCTAGAAATCTTTGATTGCTTGTAATATGATACTTGATGACGTCATTGTGACGTTATTACCAAAAAGTTCAAGAGCTATGTTAACTGTGCTATTTATAGCCAAGTCTTGATTCTATCTATCACGGGTGATTTTTTAGCAATTTTTGAAGGTTTAAAAGTCTTTTTATTGTAACTTTCGGTCTGATGACGTAATCATTTTTTTTTTCGCGCAGAGGTCTCGTCTGCATTAAGGTCATCATGCACACTAATTCTGAAGCGATTACCGCAAATTTCGCCACAGACATCAAGTGAAAATGCATTTTTGACGTTTTTTAACCTGCCGCTAGAGGGCGCTCTAACATTTTATCGTTGAAAGCAAGTTCATATCTTCTTCCACTTTCAAATTTTTAGGCACTTCCGGTTTCGACCGGAAGGAAGGGTCACGTGATTTTACGCGCACAAGGTAAAATGAAGGGCATGTATTATCATGTCGATTCCCGCAAAATTCAAGTTCCGGTCTGTCATGGTTGATTTTATATGGAATTTCAAAGATTAAATTTATTAAACTTTCAAGTGATGTCACGTGACCCGTGATGACGTCATAATGACGTAATTACAAAAAAGCACATCTTCAGTGGATTGTGCATTCATGTATTGACAAATGAAGTTCATATATGTTTCCATTTTTCCAAACAGTTCCGGAGAAGCATTGTGTCTTGGAGAATAAAAAAAAAAACTAGAGTTTGAGGACAAACACACGGTGTTGGGCTAGAGGTTTGGCTTTTTCACATTGTTTGATGTTGATTGTTGTTGTTGATTGTTAATGTTGATTGTTGATGTTGATTGTTGGTTGTTTATGTTGATTGTTGATTGATGATATGTTGATTGTTGGTTGTTTATGTTGATTGTTGATTGATGATGTTGATTGTTGATTGAATTTGACGGTGGTTGTTCATGTCGATTGTTGATTGTTGACAGTTGATAGGTGTTGTTGATTAACGATTATTGAAGTTGATTGTTGATGATTGTTGATGTGGGTTGTCGATGTTGATTTTTGTTGTTGATTGTTGGTGTTGATCGTTGATTGTTGATGTTGATTGTTGATTGTTGATGCTAATGTTGATTGCTGATGTTGATTGTTGATGTTGCTGTTGATTATTGATGTTGATTGTTGATGTTAATGTTGATTGTTGATTGATGATGTTGATTGTTGATGTTGATTGTTGATGTTAATGTTGATTGTTGATTGTTGATGTTGATTGTTGATGTTGATTGTTGATGTTGATGTTGATTGTTGATGTTGATGTTGAGGGTTGAGAGTTAAAAAATAGCGCGTGGAGTAATTATACAGAGGATCTGCACGCACGTATGGTGCTGTACTGTAAACTTATCTAGTACAATTGTAACAAAAACCCACCAAATAGCTCATATCTCTTAAAGTAAAGGTCGCACACCATTGGCGCAATTCAAGATATTGCTCGCCATACCCTCTTAACCCCAATGCGCATGTTTGTAGAAAAAAAGCGCCCAATTTAAAAAAGCGCCCAATTGGGCGCTTTTGCCAGCCCAATGGTTGAGTATCATATAAGGGGAAGTTTCCTTTTACGCAATCGCAGCACACTATTTTTCGGGATTTTCCCTTTGTACGCAATGATCCCCATTTGCTGTACACACAATGGACGTGGCATTAAATGAGCGTTTCAATGCGTAGGCGTGTTTAACTTCAAACTTCAAGGGGGCTGCAGGGCATCTTCTAGTAAATTTATTGTAACGAAACCTTGGAAAGTTTTAGACCCATCATTTAAGTGCCATTTGAAGCACAAAACTGGATTATATCTGTGACGGTTGATTTTTTAGCAATTTTCAAAGGAAAAGAGGTCTTTTCATTGTAACTTCCGGTCTGATGACGTAATCATTTTTTTTTCGCGCACAGGTCTTGTCTGCATTAAGGTCATTATGTTTATTAATTTTGAAGCGATTACCGCAAATTTCGCCACAGACATCAACTGAAAATGCGTTTTGGACATTTTTTAACCTGCCACTAGAGGGCGCTCGAACACTTGATGGCGTCACCGATAATTTTTTTTGAAAGATCAACCCACCCACAGGCTAACATCGTTGAAAGCAAGTTCATATCTTTTTCCACTTTTGAATTATTAGGCACTTCCGGTTTCGACCGGAAGGAAGGGTCATGTGATTTTACGCACACAAGATTAATTGAAGAGCATGTATTATCATGTCGATTCCCGCAAAATTCAAGTTCCGGTCTCTCACGGTTGATTTTATATTGATTTTCAAAGATTAAATGTATTATTTTTTGAAGTGACGTCACGTGACCCATCATGATGTCATAATGACGTAATTGCAAAAAAGCACATCTTCAGTGGGTTGTGCATTCATGTATTGACAATTGAAGTTCATATATGTTTTCATTTTGACAAACGGTTCTGGAAACGAATGTGTCTTGGAGAAATAAAAAAAAATAAAAAATAGTAAATTCTTACAATAACAATAGGTGTTGGGCTCAGGCCCAACACCTAAAAATAGTGAACTTTTACAAAAACAATAGGTGTTGGGCTTAAGGCCCAACACCTTATAAGGTTAAATGGGACACAAAGGGGCATTTTTAAGGACTGCATTAAAAAAATTACATTGCATGGGCCTTTCAAATTCTAATTTATCACTTCACAGAATGACCATGGAGCCTTTGATGAATGTCTTTGATCAAATGGAACCCGAAGACTTCTATCATAGTGTACTGACAGATGTCTTGGATGATCTCATGGATCAGATCGGCGGCTCCACGTTAACCAAGATTGAAACGGTTAAGAAGGCATTGAGAAAGATCTCCAAGGGGTACACAGTGGGGCTTTCAAACACCTCTAGCCAGTCTTGTTGCAACTGGAATGTGCCAGCAAACCGCTGTGCCTACGTCTTCCTGTACTTGATGCAACACTGCCATCTCGTGTCCTTCTCGCTTCAGGAAACATCAAAATCCTTAAGGAGTTGGCGCAACAAGAAGGAAATCTTGAAGGTTTGCAGCATCGGTGGCGGGCCCGGGTCAGACCTGGTTGGCTTGACTACCTTCCTTCGTAAGAAAGAAATCTTCCCAAGTAGTCTGGAATGTCGGGTCTTGGATCTGTACCCTAACTGGAAAGACACTTGGGACAAGATATACCAATTGTGTATTCCCGAGGATTTTTCAGTGAAATACGAAAAATGCGACGTTGTCAGAGATAAGGACCTAACTGTTTCCACTCGTCAATTCATCAAACAGGCTGACATGCTAACCTTGTCGAAGTTCTTCTCCGCAGTGTCTGCTTTCTTCCGAAACGACCGAGGCAGTGGCGATCTCCTTCGATCGATTCTCCGTGACATAAAGCCGGGCTGCTTTGTGCTGTACATTGACAATCAACACGTTAGCGACACAAAGTTCGAGCAAGACTTTGCATCTCAGGTTGATGGACTGCATAAGGTGCATGAATTCCGAGACACAGTCACCTTATCTATTGGACAATATTCCAGCACTTTGGCCAAATACCGTGATGATCTAGATTACAATCCATTGAAAAGCTGCGATGTCTTGATTCAGCTTTATGAAAAGTCGGCGGTTTAGCCAGCTAGTCAACCAGGAACCATTTCCCAGGACCGACCCACCCAAATCCCAACGCAACATTTCAGTTCATCGGTTGACCGTATTGAGTCTGGTTTACATCACCGGGCAACTTCGACAATCGTCCCAGCAGCTCATCCCAGCCTAAGGTACAAATTATTTCCTGCAAAACGAAACTCGCAACTCCTTCTCCATCACCAGACTTCTATGCCAACAAATTACGTGTGCCGACGTCTCCAGTCATCCATAGAATCAATGCTTTCCCTCAGTCAGCAGGCTATTCTCACCCTTCAGTGCCTCAACAGACTGGCACGCACGTGAGGCAAGTACCAATTTCAGCTTGGCATGTGCTACATGTTGATTACACTTCAAGTTACACAACTATGCAACGTGGGGAAACTCCACCCGCGAGACAAAGACCATGCCTATCTCCACCTTCTGGAAATACAACCTATGCAACAGGTTCGTCTTACCGAGCTCATTAACCTGCTGGTCCGTGTCTCCCAAAGACGGATGTTTGTTATGTGATCAAGCTAAATGAGTCGTTTGTCAGGAACTTTCATTTGGAGATTCAGGCCAAAATAGGGCCACTTCATCACATCACTTTATTACATCTTTTGCCGTTCCGACTTCCATAATTTTTTAACTAAAGATGGTATCAGCATGCGGTTTCAGTTTCACAGCAGTAATGCTGACATTTTGCTCTTTTCAAATCTGTAAAAAAAAAACACTCGACCAGGGTCGACAAACGAATCATTTAGCTGGATCGCATCACATATATTACATGTAGGCTGTCATACAAGTAAAATGAAGAGTACTGCAATTGTGGCATTCTCAAGTAATTTTTTATTTGATTTTATATTTTTCCTCTTCCAATTATGACGTGTCCATTTCAAGTTACTGTACAGCATTTTATTATAATTTTTTTTATAGAATAAAGTATTTTATATTCTGTACTTTTACAATATAGACCTTATTGTTGCAACCTGGACAATTACATTTAGAAATTCAATCCATTGTATTATATATCAATTTAGATACGCATATTGACACTTGCACATAGCCGCACAATCGAAAAAATTCGTAACTTTGTAACAATGGAATGTAAAATTATATGGAAAAAAATCCGGTCCTTAAAATGATATGAAATGTAGGTCCTATTGGCAGGTAATCCATTTTGTTATTAATTTGCATTTTATGGTGCCAACTAGACAATAGTCATTACCCATAGTTTTTGATTTGCCATTAACAAAGGACAAAGTTAAAGTGTGAAGGCGCATATTCACGGAGCATACAGCGCCGCTATACTAGCGTCTTGAACCAAGACTATTTTAGCATTTAAGATGAGAAACCAGGGTTTCAAGGCCTTGGTTGCTTTTTTTTGCTCCTTTGGTTGGTTAAAAAATTGCAAATGAAGGCTAGACTTTGTCAAGTATCTCTTTGTTATCGATTTTCTTTTCATAACGCCTACTTACCATTCAGTAAGACTTGAAGGTTTTTGCATAGTGGAAGATGATAGTTTGCGAAGTACTCTATGTACATACATGTGTGTAGTAAAATCTCTTTTGTGACTTTGTGGTTCTGGAAAGAACCAGTTTAAAACTCTGTAATCTGCAATTGCTCCAATTTTTGGCAAACATAGGAAGCTTAAAGATAATGTACAACATTTGCTTTTGCTGTAATTTTCAGAAATGGATGGATTTGGGGGTTAGTATTTACAGCAAGTTATTGTTACACTGACCTACTTAAAGTTTTGTGTTCATGCTGGAAAAACCTAGAAAAAAAATTACTGTTTTCGTAGTCTGGTTCCCTTACCTTACTACAGACGAAACAAAACAATCTATAGACATCAGGGAATTGTCAGGTCAGGTAACTAGACTAGCTGGCTGTCAACCGTTCATGTATGTGTAACCGATTGCAAAAAAAAAAAATTACAGTGAGGCTTGGAACGCATAAATAGTCTGGCACCGTCCTATTCAACAGTTTACAAGGCCTATTTACACATGTGATTTTGTCGCAACGACTATGTAGCGCAGCAATGTCGCACACCCATGTTAAAACCAATTTGAGTTTAAAAAATCGCGCGATAAGTCACGTAAATGTAAAGGCGCTCATTGATTTGTGCACGCGACATTATCGCGCGACATTATCGCACGACATTATCGCACGACAAAATCGTGTACTTGTGTAAATAAAATTCAGGGAACACGATCAAAATGGCTTCTTCGTAAATAAGGCCCATTGCACTGCAGTTGACTTGCCAGGCACAAGATACAACTCAACTGTGTTTGTGTTTGTAACTGTACATACATGTCTTGTTTTTAACATTTGTTTTATTAACTTCTTTCAAATGATTTTCCTTTTTTTTTCCTTTTTGTATCGGTATTACTTTGTGTGTATCTTGCTGTGATTTACCTTAAGTGTATTTTTCACATGGTGTAATTTCAATATAAAACATTTATTAATGTGTGTACATTTAACTGCAATTCGGCCTTTCGGCCGTAAAAATGTAATAAAATAAACCATTAATAATAACTCTATTTCTGATGACTTCATAATGACATGAAAAATTGTTCACATCTTTGGACCAGAATTCAAGTTCATACCAGGTTTTATCATCATCCTGTGAGCCATTTGTCAAGTAACTTCATGTGCATAACACAAACTGTTTGTCAATAGGTCTGTCTCAAAATGACGTCACTTCCTACAGATTGCCACTTGCATCAGCATTTTAGGCGTCAAACATTTATGACGCTCATCGGCTGCGCCGTATTTCCAAGACATTACAAGTAGGATGAACGCGTGTTTAGAACGTTTTGCACACTGCGCGCGCACGCACCAGATGACATTGAACACATAGTTGTAATTTTCCTACGAAGATGGCTTCCTATGAGACAGATCTATTGCAGTATGGTCTATCAGATTACAAAGTATGAAGATGATTGATCATTTTGTTCAAGAGTTATTACTGAAAGTAGTTTGTCACGTTTTGAAATAAAATCCTTTGTAATTTACCTGATGACGTCATCATGACATAAGAGTTTTGTGTTTATACCATGTACCATTTAGGAGAAAAGTCACGGAGAATTGTTGTCGAGAAAAAGCCAAAAAAAAAACCAACAAAACAAAAACAAAAGAATTTTAAAACGGTGATCGGGTTGTGCCTGATCACCAAAAAAACTCTTGGACAGTAGTACGAGTAGCAGAGTAAGATATTTTTTCTTTCACCTTCTGTCTGCCACCGTGATTATATAGAGGTGTTCCCTAACGTGGCGCACTTTGACGTTTACCCTGACTTTCCTCATGTAGAGTTGCCAAACGTCTTTGTTGACAAACTTCAAATTCATTCAGTGCAAAACTGGTACTTTTACAATTAATGCTTGCTATTTAACCTCTGTGAACAAATTTCAGCCGAAATTCAAAAACAGTGGCGTCTGGAAATTGGGCACAAAGTCGAGAGTTCCCCGACGTGGCGCACTTGATTAAATCTGGCACTAGGTGGCAAAATTTTGAGAATTTCTGCTATACCAGTGCCACTAAAAACTACATCTTGGAATGCCCAGATTTTTTCACACATGGATGCATTCAAAACAAGAGGTAGGCCTACAGTCACAAAACAGAATTATTTACCGCCAAAGAAAGCAACTTCCACACATTTTTCTACATGTGGCTCATCAGAGTGTGCTAGAAAGTAGTAAAAGTTACTAGGACTCAATACAAGTTACCCTTTTTAACATCCGTCATGAGTCGCTGTTGGGCGCGTTTCATTACACGATCGGTCTATTCTGCAGGATATCTCAGACTTTACTTACGTTTTAAAAGAAAAATTCCTCCAGAGCCGTGAATTAGAAAGAAAAGGTGCTTGATTGGTGGGTAGCGGGATCGACCGATAGCGTCATGATCGACCGATAGCGCAACGGGATCGACTGATCACGCCCAACATTGCCAAATCATTACTAAATGTTAAAAAAAGGGCGATTTGTAGAGTCCTGTTTAGTTAGAGAGACTTCTCAGACTAGCTAGATAAGTAGAAGTAGGGAAAGTTTTCCATACTAGTCCTCCACTTTTTTCAATTAATTTGCAAGCGCCAAAAAGTTGCATCCTTTATGGTTATTTCCTCCACTTTCCCTCCTCTACTCTCACCCTCTCCTTTCCTTTAATCTTATTTCTTAATCAGTCACTTAACTTCATCGAGATTCGAACCTCGGACTCTTCTTTGAAACACAACAATGTTTCAATAATCAATCGGTGGACGTATTTAAAGTATCCATTGAAAAAAGCCATGAATATTAAATAAACTAACTTTTCATGAGAAATTAAATATTCATTAGGACGTATTGCACTTTCATTGGCCGGCTCATGCGTTGTCGATCTAATGCGTAACGTACGTACCGCTAGACTTCTAGACACTTCATATGGCCGGCTGCCTCTAACGATTAGTTAGAAACTGAACGGAAACAGTACATCCAAAATGTGTTCTAAAGTCTTTTACAGACACATTTTTCCTAAAAATTATTCGCATTGCCGAAGCTTCCTCAGCTGGATTCGTCTTGGGTGAAATCACAAGGTGAGGAGAAAATTGATGTGTTTGACGGGAGGTAAAGTGGAGGCCTACTAAAGTAGGGAAAACTTTCCAGAACAGAAGTATCTAGCCTAGAAAGGTAGGCTGGAACTTGAAGTTGAAGTAAGCCTATACTTTTTTTTATTTTAGGTTAAACACTACACAGCCACCACAAAATAAAAAGAAAGTGGGGTAATCCTTACTTTTAGGACACCTCTATTTTGTACGAGTTCTGTTCAAAACTGACTTTTGCAGATGATTGTCCAGTACCAAAGTGACTTTTGCAGGCTAAAGAAGTCTTTTTTCTTCAGACAAACTCATGTTAGTCATGATTTTGAAAGCACTTTCAAAGAAAAGGTGACTTTCCTACCTTTTTTTGCAGTTCGCCGTCTTGCTTTTTAAATTTATATTCTGTTTGTCATCGTCGTCTTTAACCCCTCATAAATCAAAACCCTGCCCTCTTTCTACAAAATCAAACCTGATGATATTCAAGAGGTGTGTCATTGCCAAATGTTCAAATGTATCGATAAATATCAGAATGTCACTTTTGAGTGTCATTTAGTCAGCTGTTTTGGTGAGTCTTGTAACCTTATATAGGAAAGGGGTCCTAAAAGTAAGGATTACCGAAAGTGGGGGGGGGGGGGGGGGAGGGAGGGGGGTGTCACAATCTGCAACGCCCCAGCCCCAACATCCCCCACCCACCCTACCACCATGCCCCCCCCCCCCCCCCCCCTCCCTTTAAAAAGGGGGCTTAATATTATTTAGGACTAGGAGTTTTTTGCCCGGCCAATTTTTTTTATTTTTTTTTTAAAGCATATCTCATCATCATGATCACCATTACGCTGATTACCCTAATTACCAAACTCACTTTTCATTCAACGTGCTTGCTGTTCGACTCCCGCCGTAGTACAGCACCGGCTAGCGGTCCGGTTACAGCTCCGTGTTTATCACTTTATGTTTGCCATTCACAAATGCCCGCGCCGCCGCCACGCAAATGAATGATTGCAGGCCAACTAGCCTCTTACCGACTCGCCCCTTACCGACTCGCACCCTGACCGACTCGCCCCCTGACCGACTCGCCTCCTGACCGACTCGCCCCCTGGAAAAAGATGCACCGTACGGGGACATCGTGAAAAAAATAATAAAAAATAAAAGACAGTGGAGGGGAACACGTACATTGTAACATTATTCGAACACCAATTGGAAGGATTTCTGGTACAAATGCAAGCGTCATTTTTCCGGAGTCGGTGCCCGTGGGGCCTGCGCGTAGCGGATGGGTTAGAATATATTTTTATAAGACACTTTTCTATTTCCCGGCTGGAATAGGGGGCACATTTAATACAGCACTTGCATTTAATGCTTCATGTCAAAATATATTCCAAAATATATTCTAGAGTAGAACATGTACCAGTACACGAAATAATGTAGGCCATGTGTTTTTTTTAATAAATGAAGAATAAAATCGTCATCCCCTTTTTTATTTTCACGACCTCAGAGAGAGATTTACGTCTGGTTCTCTAAATATTTTTTTAAAAGGAAAATGATTAAAAAAACCTAGCCCGTTAAAGTTTGCACTTTAAGTTAATTCTTTTGTAGATTCCGGGGAAATTTAATACGAATTATGCTCGGTTTTTTCTTATTTTTAAATGAATATGATCAGGATTAACAACATCCCTTAAATAATAGCGTCAAAATATATTCCAAAATATATTCTAGAGTAAAAAATGTTCACAAAATAATGTAGGCCATGCGTTTTATTTTTTAAATACACGAAGAAGTAATCGTCCTCCCTTTTATATTGTCCCGGCCTCAGTAATACGATTTAGTATGTCTTGTTCTCTCGATTTATTTTTAAAGTAAAACGATTTCAAACACCCTAGCCCATTAAGTTTTGAACCCTCAGTTAATTCTTTTGTAGATTCCAGGGGAAATTTTAATACGAATTCTGCTTAGTTTTTCCTAATTTTAAAAGGAATACGAATAAGATTATCAACAGCCCTTTGACTTCAAACTTAATTTCAAAATGTATTCCGAAATAATTATATTCTAGAGTAACATTTACAAGAAAATGTAGGCCATGCAGTTTTATTTTTTAAATAAGCGAAGAATAAAATCGTACTACGAAAAAAAAACATCGGGAGCCCTACATTTAATGAATTATTTGGACTTGGAATATCATCCCCCAATCGTTTATTTATGTGCATGTACACAACACGGAGGTGAAATTTCACGTTCAATTCAGTTTCCCACATTTTTCGCAAAAAGTTTTCCCCTGTCTCTGAGGAAAAAAAAATGCCCAAATAAAATCTCAGCTCCGAAAAGCCTTTCCAGAGAATGATTGATAGCCGCATTGTTCAAATTGATACAATGCCACTCTTGTTCGTTACAAAGCATATATATTTGGGTTCAGCTGTAAGCCACCGAACTTTAAGGCCTTTGAGAACTTGCCGCCAGTAATTGGAAGATTCTTAGATGATAAACAGTGATGATAAGTATCTCAGCCAATGAAATGAGCCGGTTCCCGGCAAATAAATATGCCATTGGTTGCTTTCATCACGGATCGTCTGATTCATGAATATGACTTCCTTCCACGCGCAACTGGGAGTGATTAGCTATCTGAGCCACAGGTGCATGGCTGCATGCCCATCACATTCCAACCTGGTTGCTTAGAAATACTGTTGCTAGGAGGCTCCCCTGTGACGCCTGGGAGTGGACTGCCGGTTGCGCAGCCAGAAATCTTGTATGTGATTATTTTGAAACCTTGTACGTGAAAGCGGCAGCTCAGGAATGCTGCCGCTTTCGGGAAATTTGTGCAGGCAAAGTTTTTAATATTTTGGAAATTGGAATTTGGATGCAGTTTGCATTTCCGTTAAATTAAAGGTTGTTTTTTTGGTTTTCTTTTTAAGAAAATCGGAGCCCCCCCCCCCCCCAAAAAAAATACAAATAAACGATTTTCCTCAGGCCTTGACATTTCTTGAAGTGATTCGACAACACTTGCAGAATGCAGACGATTCATTTCGTCTTAAATTATTTTATAGCCTGCAGACTTCAAAAGAACATGGAAAAACTGGTAGTTAAACTTAAAGTGTATACAAGTGTACTAACAAAGTAAGTATATATGTGACCGCAGTTACCACACATTATACCGGGCAATGTGTTCTCCTCCACTGTCTTTAATTTTTTTTTCACAATGTCCCCGTACATACGGTGCATCTTTTTCCAGGGGGTGAGTCGGTCAGGAGGCGAGTCGGTCAGGGGGCGAGTCGGCTAGGAGGCGGGTTGGCGAGGGGGCGAGTCGGCTAGGGGGCGAGTCGGTCAGGGGGCGAGTCGGTCAGGGGGCGAGTAGGTAAGGGGCGAGTCGGTGAGGGGCGAGTCGGCCAGGGGGCCGGGGAGTTGACCTGACACCAAATGGATGACCACCAAAAAGCACGATGTGCCAGCTGGCTTGCTCCCGTCTAACGTTACAACTTTAGTATCGATTCTCAAATATTTTTGGTTGATCTTTACAAAAATCAGTATCTTTCCAAGTCACAAACACACTACTCACTAGGCGTGTAACTGTGAGAAGAGTCGATACTGTTTTTGTGATTGATTCGATAGTTCTGATATAAATATTCGGAAGACCACCTAGTCTGGTACCTTAACCACAATTTACCTCGACTGTCAACAGAACCCCAACTAGGGAGATATATAAGCAAACAGACGTATGACACTCAACCATTGATCTCCATATACACAGACTGGATAGGACATCGCGCCGTGTTTGTGCACGAATGCGCGGCCGAACAATGGCGGCGCGTTTACTGTCAGACGGGTAAACGCGCATTGTGCTTTCGGTAATCCTTACTTTTAGGACACCTCTATTTTGTATGAGTTCTGTTCAAGACTTTTGTAGATGACTGTTCAGTACCAAAGTGACTTTTGCAGGCTAAAGAAGTCTTTTTTCTTCAGACAAACTCATATGTTAGTTATAATTTGGAAAGCACTTTCGAAGAAAATGTGACTTTCCTACCTTTTTTTGCAGTTCACCATCTTGCTTTTTAAATTCATTTTCTGTTTTTTATCGTCGTCTTTAACCCCTCATAAATCAAAACCCTGCCCTCTTTCTACAAAATCAAACCTGCTGATATTCAAGAGGTGTCATTGCCAAATGTTCAAATGTGTCAATAAATATCAGAATGTCACTTTTGAGTGTCATTTAGTCAGCTGTTTTGGTGAGTCTTTCAACCTTATATAGGAAAGGGGTCCTAAAAGTAAGGATTACCGTGCTTTCACTTTGTTTACTTTGGAAAATGGATTGTTTAGTGTAATTTTTCTTACAGGAGGGAGTTCAAGCGCTCCTCCAAAACAATCTTTAAAAAAACCCTGAACGATGAAGAGTTACCCTCCAAACAGCTTTTCCACACTTTCTTGATATACACTTTCTTATTATGCATTTTCAAAATTCAAGAACCCCCCATTTCCTTTTCCCTTATTTTTTTTTAAAATCCCTTCTCCTCTCAAAAATGATTGTAAGTAAATTGCCATTTCATTTTTGGCACATTGGTCATTAGAGCACACTGAATTACTCCATCAATGAAATGAATAATTGTATTAATAATATGCCGAAATGACATCATATTTTTTTAACTGAACACTCACACGAGAAATTGTATGGAGATTCATTCAAATGATTGATATATTTATTAAAAACCCTGAACATAAACCAATTACAATCTAAAAGGTAAAAAAAACCTTAATTTTACAAAGTAATCAGTAAAAATTTCTTCCCGTCCCTAGATTGATCAGGGAATGACATCGTTTACCTCTTTGTGATAGTTTGTGAAAGGAGATGAATCACAAACCAAAATAGTACTATATAATTTTGTCAAAGAATAAATTCAAGCTACGCACGGTCTTGCAATTAAATGTTTAGCTATACTTCTGAAAATAAATATAATTACTTGTAAGTGTAATGGGAATCGTTTTTGTGAGCGAATATGACGGTGTTTATGGCTATAGCTAGTAATCTTATATAACGACGTACACAACATAATTTCAAACCGTTAAAGTGCTCATTGCTTTCTTCACCATACAAACTGTCAATAATGTGACAGTCATCTTGGGAGCTTATAAAAATACTTGCATTGAACTCCACAACTTCTTTCCAAAACCAAAATCAATCAATGTTAACAGTTCCACATCGTAAAAATTGATTAAGTCAAACGCGCAGATGCATATCACATCGCATGTTCCATTCAGTGGATGATACAGTCGATTCCATCCCTCCGTGAAGTTCTCCATTTTCGTCCGGCTCGGTCCTGCAGCTGGTGGTTTTTGCTATATGGCTTTGCTGAAGTTCTTTGTTTGATATGAAGGTCAATCGGCCAGTTGTGCAGTAAGTTAGCATAAACCATCTCCTCGGTTTCTCTTTATAAAGAAAAGAATAGAAACATTCCGGTAGGCGTTAAGCCAAGGCAGACATAATTCAATCAGATTTTGCATATAAAAGTTATTCGAATAAACTATCTTAAACAAGTCAACTTTTGTTCATTGCCATTGCCGGGTCAATCATGCACGTTTAGGCCTAGGTATGTCTTTTAAAGAAAAATAATGCCGACCACTGAGCATGACAGGCCTAAATCGCATGGAATTTGAACAGAATATCTCGCTAGCTACCACACAGGCCCGTCCCCTCAAACTCAGAGCGACATAATTTGCTTTGTCATTCCCATTTTCATATTTCTCCATGCCATGTTGTATAGGCCTCGTTAAAAAAACAACTTACTTGCGAATAATTGTCCTATTCTTCAACGCTCCTTACTTCCCGACTCCAGCAATCTAATGCTGAGCACACCTTGACTATACTCCTCGTCGATTTTGATCAATTTAGATCTCTGTTTCTTTTATTCTTCCAAAAATGACAAAGAAAGCGAAGAAAACCCAACTTCATTTCTTAATCCTCCATTCGAAAGTGTACACAATTCGAAATGCGAATTTGTGTTCTTTACCCTTTTCAAAATACGCGCGCGCGGACGCACGTTCGTACGCGAT